AGCTCAGCAGCGTGCGGTGGAAAGCTGCTCAGTCTGTCTAGTGCAGCCGGCTCGGCTATGCTCTCTGTGCACTGGAGAGCCCATGCGCTGCAGCGGTTCCCTCACGTCACTCTCCCCCTCTTGCGCAGTAGAATAGGCAGTTCAGCCCCCAACGCAATTTGCGATTCTCTCCGAGCCATCCCCGAACTCCCAGCCACAGGGGGGGCAGCGCGCTGCCACCGACAAACGCCAGACTAACGACTGTTCCCCACACCACTACCACGGATTTGCGTGTTGTTCTCTCTCCCCCTGGCCTCTACTATGCCCACTCGGCTATTGTTTCCCCTGTGCATCTTTCTGAACACACGTCTGTCTGATTGCCGCATCCCCTTATTCCTAGGACCCCCCATCTGTCAGTCGGCTTAGCCGCACCCTGCATGCAACCCTATTTTGTCTACGCCTCTGTTGCTGCTCTCTCCAGTGCCTACCCTCTGTGCCACACACCAAATGCTGCCCATTCAAGACCAGCAGCACGTAAGCGGGATGCAGAGTTACTCCACGCGGTTCCGCTCATTTGCCCACCCCCCTGGATACGTTCAGATCATCCTTGGAAATAAGTCTTCGTGTTGGGAGCTACTGTGCGATGGTTTCCAAGGTTGCGTTAGACGGTTTCAATTGGGAAACCTAGTCGCTTTGCGCTTACCAGGAATAGCACCCAACAGGCAATCAATAACAGAAGAATCGACAATATTCGTGTAACTGTGTGCATGCAAAAATGCAACAACGAGCAGCTGCGGGTCATACGAGCTACCAAATACTTGTACATAGGTAATGTGCAAGGATGTATATCCATATATTTCTCAAGCAGAGATGCAAAAACGAAACACGTCGCGAAGCAAAAAGGCCAACACATCTAAGTGAGTTACACTTCCCTATGATTCTATGCATTAGGGTCTGTGACTGTGTGCTCACAATCAGCTTCTTCGTCCCAAAACAGAAGTAACTTTTCGGAAAACCTCAACTGCAGCAACGAAACTGGGTCAAGATGCAAAACAATCTCCTTCGCAACTCCGTTGAGCTCTAATCAACCTCTATTTCCTGTACGAGATGCACATGTGTACTTCTTCGTTTTTCTTCAAAATTGTCCTTTCGTCGAGAGGAAAAATCGGTATGTATTTGAAAAATTCACCGTCGTGTGCAGATACCTGTACATATATATATATATATACATATATGTATATATATATATGGTGTACTGCATACACTTGCATACTCTCACAAGTACATACAGGCACACTTCTGAAGACCAGAAGATGCGTGCAACATGTAATTGAAAATTTTAACGCATCTATGCACAGATTGGTCACTCTTTATACCCCACTTCCTATGCGTAAACACACACGCATACAAAGATGGGTAGTCGTTTTGCCCAATTTTGAAGAAAATGCCTGCGTGGGTTTTCCCTCAACGACAAAGTATACGCTTTTACAAAAGCGCTGTAGAACCGAGGCGCAACCCTCCAAAATATTCCATGCTTCAAGCCTCTAAGGCATCCATAAACCTTTCCCCATATGCGGTTCAGCGTAACCCCAAACATATGCATGTTCAACGCCAGGCATTTCTGGTTTGGTGTAGTGGGGGACGCTGTCCCAGTCTACCATCAGTGGCCTGGCGGGAGAAACATTTGGCTCTTGTACGGCGCCGATTGTTTGGCTTTTCCCAGTAGCTGAGATGCCTCTGTTTTTTCTCTGTCGCCTGACGTAGATGAGGTACCACGATAGCAAAACTAAACCCACTAGGGCTGCGCTAGCTACTGTCACTGGAACAATCTTGCTTCGAAGACCCTTTTTGGTGTCTTTCCCCTCTTCAGCAGCTGTCTGTGCTTCTTTCGAATCGCCTGCCTTGCCATCGGCTGCACCCGCTTCATGAGCGACGGTGTGGCGCTTGCCTGATGTACCCCCAGTCTTCAAGTCTGCAGGCAAAGGCAGTCCAATCCATTCAGCACTACTGCCCCTTGACTGCAGTCCGTAATTAAAAATACCCTGAGTTCTTACCAGGAACTCAAAGGCCGAATCAAAAAGCTTCAATGAAGCACAGCGCGCCAACAAGACAGATACCGATTCCTAAGTCCAGCGCCTCAGCCCTCATCCCACGTTCCTACACCTAAATTCGGTTCTTTTGAATCTCACACTGCCTTTAGACACTCCCCAAACCTGCATCCCTACACGTGAAACGCTTAGGCTCGAATGACTCTGCTGAGCGGTCACACCAGTGAGACGCGCGTATTCATATCGCTCCGTTCGTACTGGTACCAGGCTCAAAAGTGAGAGAACTTTCTTTGCGGATCCCGCTTCGGCAGCCCCTTGAGTGCTCTCCTTACCGCAACTTGTTTGCACCAGTATGTGCAATTCGGTGATACCCTTATCTTTTGCTGCAGTGCGTAAAGCTTCCACTAGACCGTACTCTACACAAGACACACATACCGCAGGCCTGCATTCCTTTTTACCCGGGGAGAGAGGTTTATGCACCTGCGGAGGTGCAGGTGCATAAAAGCACATCGACCAGCCTCTCGAATACATAGAGCCTAGACGTTAGAACTTACGGATGACTGCGGTGTCTTCTCCCGGCACGTAGAGCTTCGCATGTTGGACTTTCTCAGAAATATGGGAATGAGCAACAAGCCCCCCTAAAAGGTTTCCATCCCCGTCCAGTGCTGCACACGACAACAAGCGAACTCAACGCGTGCACGTCCCACCAAAGACGGGTCTGGCCGTGCATTATTGCATGCACCGCATATTTGGATTCCGTCAACCAGGATCATTTTAGCCCTTGTCGAAGGCTTAAGAGGTTCAGTCAAACAAGCTCTATTAAGGAATACAAAACGTTTCGATCCAGTTCACGAATTACCGATGAAAGATTGAAACGAAGGCTTTTCGATGCCTTGGTCCATATCCTCAAAAGCACTGTTCATCATTCTTTGAGCCTTTTGAACTTGATCCTTCGTTGCCTGGGTTATTGGTACTATTTTTATTGATTTTTTGGCTGCACGCACAACCAAATCCGCTGATATCAACGTCCGAGTTCTTGTGAAGGCCGGAAGCCTCCTGTTTCGCATGGTGTTAGGCGTCCCTTATTTTGTCGTGGTATTGCAGGTACGAACGCCCCTTAAAGAGGGAAGCAAGCCTTTGGCTAACGCCCGCTTCGAAATTTGAAATATATCGAGGGCTGGAGAAATTCATATTCTTGAACGGTTCGTGCGGATAGCGCTAGAGTATGCTTTCGCGAGGGTCTGAAAGTTACTCCTTGGTAGCTCATGAGGTCTATCACGCCTATTCAAATTGAATGGTGTATGCTACTTCTCCTGCCTTCTCTGATGTGGGACCTTCTAGAGGCCTTCAAGCTCACACTTTAAAAGGGCCTCCAGCTCCTTGCGTGATTTCCCCTTGCGATTCGTTTTCTGGTTGTCGGAAACAATGGTAACATGAATTTTAGCGTTGGAATGCTCAGACACCGCGCGAGCCTTGAACCTATCTGGGTTGATAAGCTGACGCCACCACCAGTTCAAGAATATGGTGTCGAAAAAGTGGCGCCACAAGAAGTCTGAAGAAAGCGCGCAAAGCACACACTATGGATTCGAGTGCTGGACCTTGTCGGCTTTGGAGGCTTTGACCCCTATGGATAACAGACGTTGAGTCTAGGATCCATCATATGCCCCGCGAAAGGCTTCAGCCGTAGCGCACTCGGGAAAGGGGGGGAGAAGGAAGGGGGGTCTCTCTATCAGCTTGCCTCTTTCGTCGTAAGTGTATGAAGGAGGAACAACCTTGCTGTGGATATGGATATTGGTAGTACGACGCGGGGCAAAAATTCCGGCGCTCAAGCCTTTAGCCTTGACTGTCGAGCCACCTGCAACTGCAACTGTGCCTAAGGCTGCCATTGTTGTTGCTGATTTCCTCTTGCTCACAGTATTCGGCCTTTTGTTCAGCCCCCAAAGCGCTTCCTCGTCCCCTGCCTCTTGCGCCACAGAATCGCTGCTTTCAGCACCCTCATAATCCTGTTCATGCATTGCATCGGAGAGGCCTCCCCTTCCCTCCAGCTCGGCTTCGTACGTTGAATCCTCATACGGGATGTTTTTAGGGAGTGCAGTCCACATGTCATCCTTAGTTAGCGTCCTTTCGGGCATTGCAAGATTCGGCTCGCCAGCTTCCGTTGGCGTGTATGTGAATGTGGTTTGGGGTGCCTCCACGGAGGGGTGCCTCGAGCCTAGTTCCCCCCCCTCTGGTTCGCTTTTTTTCGCTGCACGTTCCACATCATCAGCACTCGCCTCCTCTGGAAAGGCGCTGTAAGGCCGTGCCGTTGTTGTCGTGGTTGTAGTGGATCCGCCACTTGGAGGTTCCCCCTCCTCCGCCTTTTGTGCAGCTTCGCGTGAAAGATCACCGACCTCTGCCGCAAACACAGCCGGTGCGGCAGCGGTCTGCTGGGGGAGGGAGGAAGCATCGCTTGAAGCTGCGGCATCTTCGAGGTTGCTTGTCAACCCGGCCGCTTGAGAGCGGCTCGTTGGTTCTGCTCCGTTGGCGGAGTCGTTGCCTCCGTTGCCGTCGAAATGCAACGACTGGTGATCATCAGCTGCGGCAGCCAGCAATACGCAGCACCAGCAGCTGCACAGGAAGCGAAAAATCCGCAGACTTCCCATGCTGTTGCGCGTCTTGCAATAGTATCGCGATACCATGCCAATGATGAATATCAGTACGAGGGCCCCTCTCCGAGGCACTCCATAGAAGGCATGCGTCGTTAACAGTCAGCCCTTATATTTTAGAGCTCTGCAAATGAAGGGAAAACAAAAAAGAGCCGCTTCAAAATGCACTGTTCGCATGCAGTGTTCAACTCGAAGGGCGAACTCTGCATCCATGGGGTCGCGTGGGGCAAGAAGCATTCCTGAACCGGCTGCCCTCATCGTACGTTCCCCATCCAGAGAAGCTTTTGAATATCCTGTTTATCAACAATGAATGCTGAATATTCAAGCAATGTGCCGATCACTAGGAGGAGCATTAAGGGCACGCCGTATGCAACTTCTCAATGGCTTGCACAACAGATCCTTTAAAGAGAGACTGCCTGCGCCGCTCGCTTCTCTCCAAGAAACAAGAACGCACTCGAGGGAATGCGTGGCAAGGCCGCGATTTCGATTTCAAAAGGGCTCAGAGGCGTGTGTAAACGTTGCTTTCCGTGGATACGTGCACATCAGCACGCTGGGCGAACAGAGCAAGGGCGACACGCCTTCCGGAACTGAGAGCGTCGACAGTTCTCAGCAGAAGTACCCCAGGCGGAGCAACAACAACAGCAGCACTGGCAGCAACAGCACCACTGGCATCACTAGCAACAACAACACCAACGCGCGCGGTAAAACTAAGGCCTCTCGAGACACCTCCGGCACGAGCAGCATTGGCGCGAATCCGCGTTTTTCTCTGTTCTCTTCAGATGTGCTGGCTCTCCCTTCTTCTCAGGCCGTTCTGCACTTTGCCAATCATATAAATCCTGCCTACCTCTTCAATAAACATGACCTGCTGCTTTTCCTGCAGCAGCTCGCAGTCCTCCAGCACGTGCGCAGCAGTGGCAGGAGCTTTTGCATCTTTTGGAAGCGAGCAGCGGCAGCCCTACTTCTGCACAAAGACGACGGCAGACTGCTGCGCCTCGCCTTTCTGAAACTTGCAGAGGCAAAGTGCTCCTCCGCCTGCTTTGACCTCGTAAATCGTGGATTCCAGTGTGCTCCCCCTCGTACAGAAAGCCATAGCTCCTTCGCTTCGTGAATGCACAGCACACGTGCGGTCTGCCACACGCGAATGTTGTACTTTGCTGCTCTCCTCAGTCTGAGCACGCCAGCGTTTGGGGGCAGGAGAGGGGAGCCATGCGGTTTGTGGCTTAATGTTTTTGCAGCTGCCGCTGGTGCAACTGCATTCGAAGAGTTACAGCGCCTTGGAGCTGGCTGACCTCTTTTGGCAACTCTCTGTGCTCTCGCTCCCTTTAGACCGCGCTGCTGCCACGCACGCAGCCGTCGCAGCAGTGGCAACGCCCCCCGGAGCAGCTGATGCTGCAGCTTCTGACAGGGTTCTCCTGTTTAGGGAGGCGCTGCTGCAGCCCTTGACGCGCAAGAGGAAGATTCTGGAGAGCAGCCTTACTCAGCACCAGCAGCGGCTCATCGTCTACAGGCTTATCTACGGAGCCGCAAAACAAGGGCTCAAGATTCGAGACGCTCCAGAACTCTTTCCACCAATCATCGATCAAGGCAAGCGATAGCACCGTTACTCCAACGCTCACGCAGGGTAGACTTCTACGGGATCTTAGCGGCAGCAGCTGCAGCATAAACGCAGACATGCCGGTAGGAATATCATTGCCGACGCTACAATGGATCTACGTTTGCGATTCCAGCATGTGATCTGCTGGAGCCTCGTGCTACGCGCGGAGATGGAAGCCATGACGTCTTCTCCGCGTCTCAGACGGTGCGAATCGTCTGGGGATGTGCTGCCCTGCAAAGCTCCAACAGGAAGCTTTTTGAAAAAGCTCGAAGCCGCATACTTGTAACCCCTTTACCCTATTGCTCACAACCTGACACTTCCATGCGCTCGTTGTTCACTTTTCATGCGCTGTTTCATGAGGATTTTTGTGGCGCAGCGCTGAAAGGGGAAGCCAAACAGTAGCCTACATTGTAAATATCAACGACCCTTTTCCCTGGCCTAGTTGGATGTGCATGTGTGTATCTGTACATGTACGAGTAGGTAAATGTGTGTAGTGTACATGCACTTGTGTACGTATAGGTGTACGTGTGTACATGTGCCTGTTTAGGTGTATTTGTGTGCGTGTACATGTACGTGTGTGCACGTAGGTGTACGTGTGTAGATACATTTGTGTGTACGTATTGGTGTACGTGTGTAGATACATTTGTGTGTACATGTGTGCGTGTGTGCGCGTAGGTGTACGTGTGTACATGCGCATGTAGTGTGTACGTATAGGTGTACGTGTGTACATGCGCATGTAGTGTGTACGTATAGGTGTACGTGTGTACATGCGCATGTAGTGTGTACGTATAGGTGTACGTATGTAGATACATTTGTGTGTACATGTGTACGTGTGTGCGCGTAGGTATACGTGTGTAGATACATTTGTGTGCACATGTGTACGTGTGTGCATAGGAGTGCGTAGATGACTTTTCATATGAGGAACTCCAGATTCTCCTACAAGTTTTTCAAGCAATCGGGCTCGCGTAAATCCCATCCCCTTTCCCGTATTCCCCTCTTTAAGAGTGAAGCAGCGCAAGCGCAAGCCCCAAAGAAGAGCACTATAGAAGTTTTAAAATTTCACGTGCATCCAGGAGCACATATCAGCCATAGTGCAGAAGTATGTGTGGGGTTTTTGCTATGTGGTTTAGAGACAACATTCTTCTAGGGGCCCTTCAATCAGCTCTGAAGCAAATATCCTCCCTCACCCGTAAGCGCTCTAGCTCTGCGCACTCTTAAAACGTCGATGATCGCGTCTTGTGCATCCTTCTAACTACGTCGGGGAGGAAGTTCTTCACCTCCGAAAATTCGTGTTCAGTGTGCCGAGTGCCTAGTATTGAGCACTTAAGATGCAGGTCCGTCACCTGCCATGATGACATAGAGTTTGCTGTTTCTTCAGGGGGAGTGTCGACTGTTTCTACTGCCCGTCGAAAAGGATTCAAAAGGAAAGAGAAGAGAGTACGGCCAGTCTGTAATCGTAGGGCTTTCGCTCTTTGCTGTGCACGTGATGGTTGCTCGAAACTTGTGCCGTGTTTTCCCCTTCTTGGACGTTTTATATGCGGTCAAACACTTTCGTCCATTACAGTTCTTCTCGCAATTACTCTCACCTGCTTCTTCCCTCCCTTGACAGTCAGTCCCTCCAAATCTCTATCATTACTGCCAGCGGTGGTAGCTGCACTAAACGGCATTAGCAATAGCAGCTCTAAGGAATTGCAGTAGCAGCGTTTCCGATCTCTAACGGCTTTTTTTTCGCTGTGCAGGTGTCCATGACAGACCATCTACCATCGTATCCGCTATCACCCAAACCTTAAAGGAATTTTTTTGTTCGCCAGGCTTTGTTGCTGCAAAGGAGCAACCCATTTGCAGATAATCTATATGTACATATACAGGCACATTTGTATTCACTCCGTAGACACTAGATTTTACAATTTGGCGTATTAAGGAGGTGTATTTTTCCTGTGCAAAAATTCTGTTCAGGGCTTCCCCTTGAAGCCCTCCGCAAACGGAAGAAACTTGTACTTTGAAGCAAAAAACTGTGCTGCCGCGGACAGTGGTGCTGGAGCGTTTGCCGAGGCAGTTACACCAGCCACATGTTGCACAGACTGCTCCAGGTATTGAAACCCAAGCGGATGCCACTGCAGGTGTAAGAGCTTCCGCTTATTGCTGCGCCAGCATTTCAAAAGCTTTTCAGCTGCTGCCTCAGCAACCGCAGGAGTTAAGGCTGCAGAAGCAGCATCAACTCATCCTTTATAGCACCCGCAGCATACTCAAAAGCAACTGGATTGGGAGGAGAGCGTGGTAGACCTGTTTAAGAGTCACTCGATGTTTCACTGCTTTCGGACGTGTCTTTGTCGCTGACTTCCACTGCATCGAAACACGCGACGTTTTCTGCCATCCGCTGCGTCCGGGTGCCTGCAGAAGGGCAAGCAAAGTACAGGCAGGAAAACTGGTGCAACGTTTAGGAAAGGTAGAGTACCGACCGATGTGACACCGGAAACATGACACAAGATGATCTTCAGATGTGTACGTACAAATCAATCCATCGAGGCACACTACGGCGGTACAGAAAACAGCCCGCGATGAATGCCATGGGGGAGTGATACAAGGGTAGTGGAGGGGGAAAGCGGAACGCCGGGGACCATAAGCAGCACAATGCAGAGAGAATCAAACAAGTTCATGCGTGCGTGAAATTGAGCTTTGTATAAGGGTGCACTGCCAGAAGAGCCCATTATAGGTGGCGAAGGGGCGCGACGAGAACAAAAACGAAGGGGGGTGAGGGATTCAGACAAGACACCAGAATCAGAAATGCAACGGCCGCTGCTCTTATTACCGTGTGTGGTCCATCTGCCGGCGCATTCGTCATATTTGATGACAAGGAATTCTTTTAGAGGGTAAGAGACGCGGCGGACGCAACCAGAAACCCCTTGAAAGGTGGAACGGAAAGCTCGCCCTAAGACCTGAGGGCAGTCATTGTCGGTAGAGAAACGGCTGAGATAATGTCACTCAGTCATGTATATATCAATACTATGAATATATTTATATATATTTATATCTATGTATAGAGAGCGAGAGAAAGAAAGAGTGCAAGAAAGACGAATTCTGCTATCTTGAACTCATAAAACGCGAGGCCGGAGGCGCATGAGGGCGTTGCGGAGAAGTTGCGGATACACCAGAAAGGGAGCACGCAGCTGAAACTGCGATAAGGAAATAAGTGTTTGCAGTAACGGCGCCATCAGGAGTTGTATCTGGGACGAAGGTATGAGGCAGAAGACACGACAGCACGCGTTGGCTGCTGAATAAAAGCGGGGAGAAACGCATGAGGAAATACAGCAACTGCAGCTAGAGCCTCAGCAACGGACTGCAAGTCCATCCAGCATGCGTTCAACTGTCTCCTGGCAGGCCGTAGCCCGTGGGCCAGTGTCGCCTGCATCACTCATTCTGGTAGGGCGTTATGGGTGCTGTATTTTGAGCCGGCAAAAATGCTGCAGCTCCGCGGAGGAGTCGCCTAGAAGCAAGCGACTGCGGATTAGAAAAGAGATGCAAGCATCAAGAGGGGGAGTAGCGGGTCGATGGGGTGGGCTAAGCAGCCTTTCTTGCACCAGTGGAACAAAAGACCACTCAAGGCTTCCCGAAGAGGAGCGCCTCGATTACAGGAGACGCTGTCGGGATCTGCGTCAGCACGAAGTCTTCTTTATAGGCGGCAGCTAAGAAATGTGAACACAGGCGCTTTGCTTCCACTGCTGTTGCCGCTATGGATTTCAAGGCAGGTGGTGGTTAAAATCCCCGTCAAAAAAACACAGAATACGCGCTTAAAGAAGAGGGGAAGCTAGGCTACTCCGCCGTGATTATTGCTGCAGGGATGCAGGCTCTGACGCTCGCTGACTTTCCACAGTTGAAAGCTTACCTGTTTCGCCTCCTTCTTCAGAGGGGCTGCCTGCCTGCCTGCTTGCCTGCCCTGGCTTTCGCCTGGTGCCAGTGCAATCCAGCTAGCCCACCCCGCAAAAGGAGATTCGGATGTCAGTGCCACTGCTGATCCGGGGAATGCTGCTGGCAAAAGGGTCTAGCTCCTAAGCCTTAAAGCTTTTTCAAGCCTCAAACAGCATTGCAGAGCGAGAAGCCGCGCGCTTTCAATGAGCTACAAGAGACCACATACACTCAGAACCGCATACACCGGCCAAGACACGCCTGTCTACTGTTTGACAGACAGCATGACTTAAAATGCAAAGCTCAAAGCACACAGATGAATGAGAAGTAAAAAAAAGAAATTTCACTAGCAGCAAAACTTGAACCTTCGGAGTCTTGCCCAGGGCCCCTCCCTGCCTGGCAGGAACAGCGGCGGAGGCGGCCGCGTCAGCAGCAGTAGCAGCAGCAGCGACGCAATCAGCGCAGCACTCCCACCACAATCGAGGTTCCCCAGTTTTCCTATGACATTTCTAATAATGTTTGCCTTCTCGGGAGCTGCCGTAATTGAGTGGCGCTCAGAGAGGACGGCGGCATGCCAAAAAGCGGCGTCCGACGCGCTTTGAATTGCGGGAAACTCGATGTGTCGTGGGAAGCAGGCACTCTGTAGGGCGGCCCCTTGCAGCTTCCGCAGTGCATTCAGAAGGAGTGCAGCAGTATACATATTTGTACATATATATCCCGCGCAGCACGAACAAAGCGTTGCCAGCAGCAGTAACGGTCTACCCCTCTGACTGAGGAGTTACCCTCTTCGCCATGACGGCAGGAGAGCAGCGACAGACCCCCTGTAGGCGGCGCAGGACTGAGAGACAGCAACAACAACAGCAGGAAGACAGTGAGGAGGAGCAGTCGGATGGAGAGGAACTGCAGATTGCCCTTGCACTGTCTCTTTCGCTGCAGGAGCAGCAAGAGAAGCAGGAGCAGAAGCAGGAGCAGCAACAGCAGCAGCAACACGAACAGCAACAGCAACAGGAGCAGGAGCAGCAGCAAGAGCAGCAGCAACAGCAGCAACACGAACAGCAACAGCAACAGGAGCAAGAGCAGCAGCAAGAGCAGCAGGAGCAGCAGGATGAAGATCCGCGCGTCATCTCAGCCGTAGAAAGGGCGGCTTCCTGCCGAACTACAAATAGCAACAGCAACAACAGCACCAGCATCCAGAATACTAGCTGCTCGGGAGGGAAGAATGAGCAGTCTGGTAAGCCGATTGCGCGCATGCAACGCCATCAGCGACCCCATGAGCTGCTGCTGCAAGATCAGGCAATGCAGCGGCAGGAACCGACGCAACCGCAGCGTGACTTGGGTGCTCGAGGACGCATGCGGAGCCGCATGCGTTCAGGCATCCGCAAGGAAGAGCAGGCAGCAGCAACAAGCAGCAGCAGCGATGTCGACAATCGTAGATGTAGGAAGCATGCGCGCATGCAAGGGCAGGAAACCGAGAGGGACTGCACGAGCAGCGAGGATGATGAGGATGTGCAGCTTGCAATTGCTTTATCGCTATCGGAGCAGACGGAATTTCCGAAAGACAGCAGCGCTGGCAAGATAGACCGTTCAGAGGCTTCTTCGAATTCCAAACCAGCTTTCGTGAGTACACTCAAGAGGAAGCGATGCGGAGATCAGAGCGGCAGCAACAGCGTCAAGGTTTCTGCGGCGCACTCAAAACAGCCACGCGAGAAGCGACTGCGCGCAAGTGGAGTGTCTGTGCCTTGCTCAGGCACTGACAGCAGCAGCAGCAGCAGTGGCGAAGGCAGCAGCAGCAGTTGGTGCAGCGACTCCGATGGTCACGAACACGCTGTTCGCGCGAACGATCAAAGGCGTGAAACCAGCCGTACAGCAGCTACTGGTGTCATGAGCGCTCAGAAAGCAGCAACTCGAGAAGCACAGCGAGCAACTAGCCGCTGCGGGGACGGCAGCAAAGTCAGCAGCAGCAGCAGCAATAAGAACAACAAGCAATCGCTGCTGGCAGAGCGGCGTGCTGCTCTGCGTGCTGAGCGGAAGCAGAGGCGCCAGGAGGCTGTTGCCGCTGCTGCAGCAGCAGCGGCAACAGCAACGGCAGCCTGGAAGGAAGAGAAGCTGCTGGCTGCCAGAGACTTCCTTTGGGATGTCTTAACAGGTGCCGAATCAATCGAACCGCTAAAGCAGCAGCAGCGACAACAGCAAATCCAGCAGCAGCAGGTGCAGCAGACACTCACCAGACTGCAAGGCACCTTAACCAGCGAGGCAGACGGCATGAAGCAGCAGCAACAACAGAAGCAGCAGGAGCTCTTGCAAACCGCACAGGATGACACAGAGATCAGAACCTCTGACGCAGCTGCCAGCAGCAGCGGCGGAAGCAGCAGCAGCAGTAGTAGCAGCAGCAGCAGTAGTAGCAGCAGCAGCGGCGGAAGCAGCAGCAGCTCTATCAGCTGCAGCACGACTACCATTACCACCAACACCAACACCGATAGCAGCAGCAGCACCAACAACAATCACAATAGTGCGTTTCACAATTATGTGACGATTGAAAGACTACAGGAAGTGGCAGAGGCTGCCGCAGTCGACTTGAGCCAAAGAGATATACTCGATATGGTAGCCGCTGCTGCTGCTGCTACTACTACTGTTGGAGGAGACGCAGCAGAAGCAGCAGCGGCAGCAGGGAAACGATATATCACTTTTTCAGAATTCGCCGCAGTCTTCAACCATGCAGGCCTTAAAGTAGAAAGAAATGGTCATGTTTGGTAATCGCAACGGCGATTGTGGCTTTAGCTGCCCCTTTGTACTGTAGGCAATGCAGTTTTTGTTTCTGCCATTTAGAGTGCTGGCTTGGCGCCACGGGTTCCTCACGCAGTGTCTGCACTGGCCGGTGAGCACCTGTTTGAGAACGTTGCAGCAGCCGCAAAAAGACGCTGGCTGCCTTTTATTGAGCGACTGCTGCTACATCGCTGCGGATGTAGCAAGCAGCAGCAGTGCAATGCATATGCAACTCGATGCTGGCCGCAAAAGCAGGAATCGGGAAGGAAAGAGAGCTTTCTCTGTGGTGTAACTGCTGCTGCTACTGCTACTGCTGCTGCTGCTTAGTCTTCGACTCCTGGTTCATCTGGTTCCGCCCACTCTTCAGCATCTGTAAATGCCTCTGGCGCGTCTCCTAGAGGGAAATCAGCAAACTCTGCTTCTTTGTCTGCTTCTTCTAGTGCATCTGTCGCTGTTTCTCCGTTGGCGTATGCGTCTATGGGAGACGGGTCTTGCACTGATGCTGCTGCTGCTGCTGCTGCTGCTGCTGCTGCTGCTGCATCTATTGGCGTCACTTCTGGTGTATTTGTGACGGCCATGGCTTCGGAAGTTGCGGCCGTGCGGGGGAGCACGCGCACAACCTGCGGATCGCAAGCAGAGAGTTGGAGGCGTAAAAGAAGCCTGACATCCGTTGTACAAACAACCGCATGCGAGACACAACTACGCTGCACTTCCTCTTGTGGAATAGTGACACACATAGCTCCCAGAATTCAGCATCCCTCAAGGAGGCGAGCATAGGTGCGAAGTATCCCTGCGAGGGGGAGCAGGATTCACTTGGAGGGTTTGCGGTCAAAGCACACAGACACCCGTGAACTCTGGAAGGGTAGATGCGAGGGCACGACGATACCGAAGGCGTGGCACATGTATACACGTGTACAGAGAAAAGAAATACATGTATGTATCTATACATGTGTGCATTGGTGTGAACGCTTGTGTATTGGTGTTACGAATATGTCGTAAGAATTCTTACCTTAGCAATGCTGTCTAATGAGGCCAAGTACACGTTGGCACCTTGCGCAAAAAAGATGCAAGTGGCATTAGGAGATCCCAGAAGCAGGCACTCCTGCTGCAGTGCGTGGCGATCGTGCTGCCGCCCTTGCCTCGTGCTCGCAACTGCCCGCTTGAGAAACGAGAGGGAAGGTTTAATGGCCTCGGAAGGCAGGCGGTTTGCTGCTGCAGCAACTGCGTAGGACGGAGCTGCAGCAGCTGCATCCGCAACTGCGGCTCCGGCAGCAGCTGCGGCTGCGTTTGGCGACAGTACCCTGCCATTCCTTGCTGCTGTAGTGGCTGCTGGGGGCGGAGACTCGCAGGAGCCTATGGGTCGAATATAATCTCTGTCATCGTCTTCTTTGATTGGCGGCAGCGGGTGCTGCGGCAGCTGCTGCTGTTGTTGCTGTAGCAACTGCAGCATGCCTCTCCCTAAGGGAGCGTTCTCTGCTGTTGCCGTTGCCGCATGCATTCTCGCACAGGCTTGAAGTGCGGCTTCTGCTGCCGCTGGAGGCAGGGTTTGCACCGCGGCTGCCGCTTCTTCACTGTGGAGGTGTATAGACACCCGAGAGCCTGCAGCCATTGTCAGCTCGCGCCGACCCAACAGTTCACGCCGTGGACGGCATCCCTGCTGCTGCGCAGGCAGCGGGACGGCAGCAACTTGAATGTCGATCCCCTCGAGCAGCGCGAGCGACTCTAAGTCTGCCAAATCTTGCAGACGGTGCTCTGAGCAGAAATCGTACACTCGGCGTTTTCTTTGCACGCTCTCTGGAGCGCTCGTTCAATTAAAGCAACTTGGAGGCATCAGTGTGAGGCAAGGACAAGAAAGTAAGTACTGCAGGGGATGTGGAGGATGTGGAGGAGCCAAGAGAGAGCGCCACACGCATAGAGAGAAGCAGATGAACCCGTCTTGCTGTGCAGCTCGGCAAATCTATCTATTCAAACCCTCATATTGAAATGCGAAGGGCGCAGCCGCCAAAGAACGGTGAGCAGTTGAGAGAATATACACCCGCGAGCGCGCCACCTACTCAGCATTAATAAAATTCGCTTTAGATCCTGCGCAGTCACAATCCGAGGACTCGTCTCATACTGCGGCAGCGCTTGTTGCTGGATTGGCAGCAGTAAGCGGTGCTGCTCCCAAGAGCAGTCCAACAAGGCGAATCCGCTGAATGATCGACGAACCTTTGGAGGCCAGCCGTAGGCAACGACTTGCCTGCATAGACCAAATCATGCACACGCACACACACAGCCCTCCCCGCAAACAATGTAGTCATCCGCTGTCAAGCGGCGGCTTAGAGTAGTGTAGCGCGTACACATACACCCCACAGGCAGCAGGGGAGCGGCATGCGCTCTGCACCCTAATACTTATATAGCATGCTAGGCGTATATGCTATGCGCTAGAACTGTTGGCAGGGTTCCCCACCGAATAACTTCCTCAGCGCGGCGACGCCATGGAGCATCGAGGGGATCGTCGATCTACAGAAAGCGCAGACACACATCCGCAACCTCAAAAGCATAGAATTAGATCCGCTAGTTCGTAAGAGCTGCGATCTTCGCTGGAATGCTAGGGGTTTGGTTTTTTCAGCTGCAAAGGCAGCCTCTCTCTCCGAGCCACGCAGACGCGCGCCGTCTACAGCTTTATAGGTTCTATGGATTACCTGCCCCATGTCAGCACCGATGGGCGAGGGGGGATTGGCAAAGGCATATGAGGTGTCGAGGAAAAACAAGCTGTTGTCAGGCGACGGCTGGCGCTGCAACGCAAACAGGTCAGAGCGACGTGCTCGGCAGAGATCGCAAGCAGAAATAAATAGCTTAAGGCAACTCGCGCCAAGTGACAAAAAAACATGCTGCCACAAAAAGACGGCCAGACAGAACAGCGCACAGGAGAACGCATGTACATCCGAAGCAAAATCGTCTATTCAACCGCCACGCAGACACCCGACTGGGCAGTCTGCCCGTGGTTTGCATGCACGAGATATTTTACTGGTGCCTGGTTAAGCTCCAGCAGCGGCAGCGGCTCGTCCTTCGTCACAAAGCCTTCGCCGAGAAATTGCTTCAGCTTGTTTCTGTTATCGGGACTGTAAAACGGCAGCACAGTCCGCACGTTGCGAATTCGAGGATATGCGAGACGAGGCGGGCAAGACGGTTAGGCGACAAAAGCGGGGTGAACCAAAGGCTTGGCACCCCCCAACTCGAGACCTTACTTGTAATGATTTTTCAAATTCTGATACACGCCCCGAACTTGAGTATTCAACAAAGCCTCCTCATCGTCATCCAACACCCACTCTGAGCCGCATACGCCGAGCTGTGCAAAACGACACCTTCGAATCAAGAACGCTGCAACGACTTTTCCTGCCTTCGCCTGTGTGCGCTACGCGCACAACAACACAGCAAACTCAAATATTGGTTTCTGTCACCCCGCAGAGTTCCTGATCCGTGCTGTTGACAATACCTTCACGTGGCTGCTCTTCCCGTTCTGACCACTTCGCCTCCTCAGCCATAGCTTCCGCAATTGTCTAAACAGACAGACAGACAAAGAGCTGGAGAAACAAACAGATAGAGAGACAAACAGGTAGAGAGACAAACAGATAGGGAGACAAACAGCTAGAGCGCGAGAGAGACAAACAGATAGGGAGACAAACAGCTAGAGAGCGAGAGAGACAAACAGATAGAGAAACAAACAGCTAGAGGAACAAACAGATGGCCCCATAGATAGCCCAAGAGACAGACAAAAACACACAACCACCTACACAACCACATAGACATACAGACGTATTTTTTGGAGCTGTGGTACCCCAGAACATGCCTCTCGCTGCTACAAAGGGAAATCGAAGCGTGGGATTGTCAGACGTCTAGGATTGGAGTTCTGTGGAAGGTCGAGGGTGCGCAAGCATTACCTTTACAGTCTTCCTACAAGGTACTGTATTTTCCATCCCTTTTTCTTCTGCTGCATCTGAATGGCAATCAGCGAATCACAGCAAAAGACTTCCGTGCAGGCCCCTCTGGCCCCTGCGACATGAGCGATCGTGCCTTAAGAAGCTACCAGCAGCACGTAACGGCATTCGCACAAGTAACGCGTGCAGCCAAACTCAAGCGTACTTTCTGGCCAGGGGCCAAGTCCAGAATACATTTTATCATATTCTAGCAAGTCTGTCTGAGGCGCAGACACACTGCGGAAGCCTTAGATCGTGAGCTTCTCGCGATAAGGGCCTTAGAACGACCTGCTTAGAAAGGAAAAGACTCAAAGAGGGGGATCTCAGGAAAACATCGGCGGATACGCACATGCACTGCTGCGGGTTCTTGATCAACCCGCTGCTGTAGCGATGCGTCAAGATACACTTCGAAGTCTGCAATGACAAAACACAACACGGAGGCACGATCGTAGCCTTGCCAGACAGAGTAGAGGTGTGCAACCCTTTAAAAGTGGGCATGATGCTGTGGCATGCTGCGGCTTCGAATTTTGGCGCTGCGCTCGTCGCGGATGCTCCTATGACTCAATGCTTACTGTTGTCCATCTCCGTTCCTTTGACTACCAGGTCAGGTTCTTCTTCTTGCAAGAGCTCTGTTGCCACGTAAATTCGCTTGCCACCACTGCCGCTTCTCGCCTCGCTGCTGTTGGAGTGCTTCGCAGTGTATGCAGCAACGCGCAGCTGCTGTTGCAGCCGCTGCTCCTCCTGCTGCTGCTTCCGCACAGACGCGTCTATGACAAGATTTCGGGGGGGCGCTACAAAAGGGTAATCGCTGAGGCACAAAGACACACGCATCAATTTTGTCGTATGGGATGTTGCTGCTTCCCGTACGCCGCTTGCATGCTTCCTTCTACCAGAGAGTGAGCAAACTTCGGCACAAGCGGTACCAGAGAGCAGAACGATCAGACGCAGAATGCCAACAGAAGCACCAGGGGAAGCCTCTGCGCCGCGGTGTACATACTCTGTGCAAATATCTGAAATGTCCTCATTCGCTGCCGCATCGCTTGCCGCGTCTGCTGTTGCAGGTGTATCTGCAAATGCCTCTTTTTCCTCAGACGCTTCTTCTCCTCCTGCCGCTGCCGCGGAAAAAGTTGAATAAACCCTTTTCCTGAGCGCTGCAGCCGCGCGCGCTGATTGGGGAGTGCAGGACGTTTCTGTCTGTGCAGTTCGCACCGCCTCCGTTTTGAAATTTCTGGCTTTGAGGGGCATCCCCTCCTGGGGGAGAGTCAGGGGATACAACAGCCAGGCCGCTGCATGGCGCAAAAATCTTCGCGCTCGTGCTGAATCAGCCCTTGGTACTGCAGCTACCGGCTCTTTTGACGCTGTACAGAGGACGCCAGCGCGTATCCCTCCCATGAACATACTTTCTCCGCTAGCTACTAGGCACCCCTGCAGAAGAAGCAGCAGCAACAGAAGCCGCAGCTGCATGCTGCCTACCCTAGCAGTTGGATCCGCAACGTACACGCCGTGAATTATTAGCTTCTCTCCCCCCTCCCCCCCCCAGAAGGTATGCCAATCCGACGAGCACCCCCCCTCGTTGGGGACGCCACCGAATGTTTATGCGTTTTCGACGGTGTTATGCGAAAACATCAATTACTTCTAGCTCGAAAGGAATCTTTTTCTTCCAGACAAGCAACGAGAGACTTAAAATCCCATCCCTTACCCCGCCTCCTGCCCCCCTCCTTGCCCGTCGAGACCTCCCAGGCAAGTCCGCGCAGCCGACGACTTCGACATGCCTCGACTACTTTGTTCAAGCAAAAAACCTTTTTGCTCAAATCCGTAAAACACCTTCATTTTTATTTCTTTTCCCATCGCCTTAGATGCGGAAATTCATGATTGGAAGGCCGCCTATATGAGGATCCGAGGGCTAGACTTCCCGCATTAAGCACAGTCGAGGTAGAAGAGGCTCTTGACACATGAGTACATCTCGGCGTGATCAGGTAGGTAAGCAAGCTATTCTGTGGCTCTATGAAATATTTGACGGCGAGCGTGCACGTGTGCGGCTAGTGGTCTCTGTTTCTACATAGGGGAGTTGCGCGCTTACCCTCTGGAGTCGTTGACAACATTGTATCCCAAGACAGCGAAACGCCAGCGATGACCGCCTTCCGCCAATACTTGAATACTTCCCCTCGAGTTATAGTGCTCTCTCGCTTTCCCAAAGAGCTTCTAGCCGCAGGGTGTGCGAGCTGCAGTGTGGTCCTTACGCCATGCACGCCTCGCAGCTTCTGTAGCGGGCTAAGCTACAATGAGTAACGTTCTCATACACCAGTTTCATTCAACTATAAATCAGCAGTCACTGGAATATATAGCCTATTTGCTCTTCGTATATCGTGCTTACTGGAGAGTGGGCTGTTAGCTGTCTACACAAACAAGATGCAATGGTGTTTCTGCGTGCGCTAGCGATACTATTTGCGCAACCAGCTGTCTATGCTCCGAGGGCCTAGAATGTGCAGCTACGCACACCCTAGATGTCCTTCTCCCTTCTTCCCGTGAATTCCAAAGGGCGCGGGAGAAGCAAGGGTGCAGCTCTTTCGAGAAACACACAGTAACACCTTACTTTTGTCTACAGCCTGGATTGAAATGTCTGCTTCCCTAGGAGCCCTTTTATGCAGGGTAGGAGCAGGGAAAGACGTTGGATCTTTAGAAAAGCATCCACTCTATACCAAGTTTGTCTCGAGTAATGTCTTGCCCTTCAGAGTCCATAGAGGGATACCCCAGGCAAGGGAAGAAGCTAGTTGTTTAGAAAGACATTCAATCGCTTTCTGCGAAGTTTTTCTGGTGTCTAGGGCTTTGTGTCTCCCTGCAGAGAGCTTAGCTGAAGGGTTACCATATTTAGAGTGCGGCAGTGATCGCTAGCTTCGAAGAAGAGAAACTCCCATTGGGCATGGCGCTTTGGGAAGTGTTTGCGATGTGCATGCGCCTACTCTTTCGGTTGTTTCACAAGTCCACTGCAGCTCGGTCTGTGGCAGCAACAAGACATGCTGCTAGGAATGAAGACCTTTAATATGGCAAGTTGAACATGAAGTGGGAGGTATTTTAGCCACACGTCTTAAAGTATAGCCAGAAAATCATTCATCATGGAGTGTGCATACAGCAGCATGCGCGCGTGTAGACGCCTGCATGCGTCTTGACGAAGTTGCTGCAGTCCAGTACGCAGCAGTGCACGTGTCTTGAAGACGCTAAAGTCTATAGGCACCACCCATGAATAACACGTGTCTGCGTATACAGGACTTGGTGCGTAGGCCTCTCCCTCTACACATGCAACAGCGTATACACGTACACACATGCTTATAGGCAGCACAGGAGAACGCGAAAGTGATGCAAAGGGTCCCCTCTCCATGCGCAATGCATGCATGCACTGCGCATACATGTCTCGCACATGGGTGAATGCACAGCTGCCTATAGCCGCTCATAGCGGTTTGCGTTCTTCGCGTCTCCCCCCTATAAAACCAAAGTTTGCTTCAAACTGCCTGACGCATCTCACAGACGCTGCCCCTGCACGAGGGCGTTGAGGGGCACAGGCCTTTCCCTGCCGTTGATTTCTACCAATACCTCTAAACCCCTAAAAGCTCTAATGATACCCCATGACGCATACAGGGGATGACTCGCGCCGACTACAACAGCCTACGGACGCACACCGCATGCACACCCAAGGGCTAAAGAGCTCGGCGCGTAGCAGCCCCCTGCACATCCCATTAGAGGGAACCCATAGTATGCGCACATACACGCATTACATGTGTGGAGTAGCGGCACTAGCGGGTGGAAGACGCAACAAACAACACCAGCAGAAACAGGCAGTGAAGGAGGCGCAGAAAACGGCCGTCAGGCAGCAGGAGCTACCCACCGACTGTAGAGGCAAAACACACAAAATGAAAGGATCTGGATCTCACCTCCTGCCCCTCCCTGGTGACTGACAAAGGCTCGATATCGTTGCTGCTAACTGCGCAAAAATTTCCAGATGATGAGATTACAGCCCTTCCCCCCTCAGCGTCCACGGAAATGAGCACACCCTACAGCAAAAAGACACGTACCGGAAGCAGGGAACCGCAGCAAAAAGGCATGTGTCGCTTCAAGGAGACAGAGTGCTGGAGCTTTCAGTTTTACAGAAAAAAAGGCATATCTGCGATGCTCTCGGAGAAACCCCATGTCCACCTCCTGCTGCTACTCTTGCTACTGCTGTTGGTTGTCAAAGAAAGGAAAATGCTGTTCATGGAAAACAAACCTGTTTGGGGTGATGAGGCCCCTTTGTCACCCGAACGACAACGCCTTTGAGACACCATGGCTGAAGTTCGTGTCGTCCTCCTCCCCCTCCAGCAGCGTTCGCATCCGGGGAAGCTGTGGAAGCTAGCTGGATGCTGCTGCGACGAGCAGACATTGAAGATACTGACATGGAGCTGGTTTCTCCGCCGCTGAAGCGCGAGGCACTCCCGAAGCTCGATGCTTTTGAGATCGACATGGCGCTGTTGGTCCCCAAAGAGAGAGACAAGTCACTCAGAGATCTGCGCATATTTTTTCGATACAGGCGCACACAGACAGACAGGCACGCCTACGCCTCCTCTAGACACGCACAGAGTCTAAAAATACCCCTCAGTGGTCATCATACATCGAGGGCTCGTGCACACTGGGAAGGAAGCAGCCGAGAGGCATCGCACCCCCCACCTGCATCCATAGCGTGCGTGGAGGGGGCGAATCGTGCTTACACAGCGTCTTCGTCGATCAAAGCCTCAACTGCTGGATTCGGAGATTGCGGCTGGCTGGAGCGTTGCGAAAGCGGAGGAAGAAGATCTGCTGCCCTAGAAAGCGGCGTCAGAGCTCCCGAAGGGAGGGCAGATTCGTCCCTATCTCCGCAGAGAGGTGTCATCGAGCCGTCAAGTCCTCCTGACAGCGACATTCTAGAAGCGGTGCTGTCGCTCAGCGCGCCTAAGGCTCCTGAGAATGCCACACACCAGGCATGCAGAAACAACACGCTTCATATCCATTGGCGTCCACACTACACAGCGAGTGTCGCTACATCGGCCTCATTACAGGATTCAACTTTCGCACATGCTCTCTCGCTCCCGCTCTTTCTATCGTTAGTTTTCTCTGTGTGTCTTTCTCTCTACTTCATTCGTGTATCTCTCTCGAAAAGAAAGCCTTTATAGAGGGGGCCTCCGGAGATACAAGAAATTCTTTCTTAAAGCCCCTACGTTCGTAGTCTTTGCCGCTTTCTAGGACTTGCACGTCACTTTTTAAGATCTTAACGACCTCAGATTTCGTTTGCAGCAGAACCCTACAGCGCAGCCGCAAGACACAACACATCATCATGAAGCGCAAAGTGCATGTGCAAATGTGTATACGTGTATGCATGCATAAATGAATATACGTGTATGCATGTATAAATGTGTATACGTGCATGTATGCACAAACGAATATACGTATATGTTCTATGTATATATGTGTATGTGTGATATAAATATACATACACATATATACATACACATATATACATACACATATATACATACATATACACATATATACATACACATATGTACAGATACACATATATACATACATATACACATATATACATACATATATACATACATACACATATATACATATACACATATATACATACACATATATACATACACATATATACATACATATACATACATACATATATATATGTACATTGATAAAAACATGTATGCATGTATACGTTTATATATACGGCTATGCGTTTGCCAGATTTGAAGCCTCAGCCTGCAGAAGGCTGTGATGTATGCGTGGTTAGGCTGTGGCTGTATCCCTCATCCCTCCTGCTCTCTTTGAAAAACGCACGTCAGTTCATCTCTCTCGACGGATCGAACGTTTGCAATGACGCCTTTGTGTCTTCCTCTCTGCACTTTAACCTGTTTTCCCACGAGAGGATCGACGCGTCTTCCCAGCCTGAGGCCCCCTGGCCCGCGGGGGGGCCCCCCCCCTCCACGGAAGCCGCCGGGGGGCCCCCCCCCGGGGCCCCTGAAGGGAAATCTGCCGCCTCCGAGGGGCCTGGGGGCCCTAAAGAGACTGTCTCCGGAGGAGACAGTCACCGCTGCAGCGTCTACTGCAATGATGCCTGCGTTGTCAGTCTTCGCTTTGACGCGAACGAACAGCGTGTCTTTCCAGATGTGGATTACTTGACCCCCCTCCCTGAGGCTTTCGACCGGAATAACACCTCCGGAGGGGCCCCCTCTACAGGAGCACAGGGGATTCGAACAGCCCCTGCATGCCAGCTTGACTAGCGCATGCCGCTCCACGATTTGCTTGACTGCGTCCGTTGTGGTCTGGAGCTCGGTGTGGATCTTTGTGTTCAGCTGCGCCGTGGAGGAGTGGCAAATCGTGTTGTTCGGGAGCAACAGGCGCAGCGTCTTCCCGCTGGGGTCGATGTACACCAACACGCCCTTCTCGCCAGACGTCAGATCCACGAAATCCAAGAGCGAAAAACCCCTGATCGACACGAGGCCGTCCTCGCCGCAGCCGCTCTGTGCGGCGTGCGTCAGAGACTCCAAGAGACACTTGAACTGCAAGCATTCAACATGCACAAAGACACCGCAGCAGACAGCGCTGCAGGAAGCGTCCTGTGGAAGCCTCTGCCAAAGGCACAGCGCAACAAGATCCCTCGAGATCGACAAGACGTCTTGCACGACACACACTCAGCAAAACTTGATGACGCGCACGTGCTCACACAGAGCGCGCGATAGAAAGATCACACAAATTGCTGCAGACTGCTAAGAAAATAAAGGGGCGTCTCCCCCCGTCACCCCGGTAGAGGAGCAAGCGTCGCCAGGGAGGAGCAAGAAAAAGAAAAAAAGAGAAAGGGGGAGAAAGGAAGGAAAACGGGAGTGTGGAAAGAGCTAAGAGGACGCTCAATAGGAGCAGCATTTCGAGATCTGCTACAAGAAGCAGGTGAGAAAGGGTGATGCCCACAGAGCAAGCAACACAGTGCGCCGTGCAGAACTGCTGCCTCGCAAAATTGGCTATCCAAAATGCAGCACCGCTCATGCAGAACACCCCACACCCCACCCCCTTCCCCGCATATGCGGTAAGGTGTGTATGTAGCTAGCTGGCTAGCTGTCGGTCTTGCATGCAGCCGGAGATGCGCGGGGTTCGCACTGTGAAACTGAGAAAACGTCATATATATATATCACACCTCGGAGCACGTAGAAGGCGAGAAAACAGTTGCCACGAGCGTTGTCTTGTCAATATGCGTAATGAGGCCGCTATGGCCAGTGTTGACACCTTGCAAGGCACGCACTGACTCCCCTTCTCGGAAATCCTTCCGCACTTCCGAAGTCTGCAAAGAGTGCAAGCAATTTGCATGCAGATTTCTTGAAACCTAAGGGTAGCTACGGCAGAAAGCAGTCCTCCAAGAAGAAAAAAACGGTAAATCACGGTGTGGAGTGTTTGTCACTGTGCTGCAGTGTTTATCACTGTGCTGCAGTGTTTATCAATATGCTGCAGTGTTTATCAATATGCTGCAGTGTTTATCAATATGCTGCAGTGTTTATCACTGTGCTGCAGTGTTTATTAATAGGCTGCAGTTTTTTCTACCCTGAGCCTTAGCGCGCCAAACTTGGGGTCGTCCAGAGTAACTTGAATCTGATTATCTCCTCCATCTGAGTTTTGTGGCAGCTCGCTGATTCTTCCTCGCAGCCCTTGAAGCTCTCCCTGCACATGCCAGCGCATCGCATAGGAACAAAGACTCGACACAAGGGGGAAGACGACGAAGCACACAGAGTCTCATCTGAAGGCGTGGAAGAAAGGAAAAGCGCCTGTAAAGGAAATCATTCGGCGAAGGGGCTGAGGATGAAGGTGGACAGGAAAGCGAGAAACATCGCGAAGTTGCTCCGAATAGCTTCATGCAAATGCGATTTGAAGCACTCTGCATATATATATACATAGGGGGAGGGGCTGCTGCTGATGAACAGCTATAGAGAAAATGCAATTATCTTCTGAGCCGGTAGGCTTCCTGGAGGCGTGCGTGTTTGTTCAGGCACATGCAGAGGCAGCACTTTTCGTGGATTATTTTAAAGAGACTGCCAAAGCCGATTTACGACACCGTTCTGCTGATGCAGTTCGACGCCCATTGTTAGAGGGACAAAAGGGGTAGGTGTCAGGCAGGCAAAAGCAAAAACAACGCCTTTCAAGATATTCTTTGAGATGCTCTGCAGACAGGCTGACACTGAAGGGGCAGATGCATCCCCGCGCAAGCAGACGCAGCAGCCTCCAAGGCTCGGACACCAGGCAATGCCAGCCTTTGTATAACGAAACACAATTCCTTCGCCAATTCACAATAAGTGAACATCGCGCCAAGTCGTTTTCACGCCTACCTGAATTATTATAACACGATCTCCTAGCAGGAAGGCACTCCGTTGCTGCTTGAGTAGCTGCACCAGGGGACGGCGGCCTGAGAAAAACGGAAGCGCATATGAAAATAAAAGTACAAAACCATCAGAAAGCCATAGGTAATCCAAGACGGGGAAAGGCCATACACCCGGGGGCCGACACATATGAACAATACACAAGAAAACATGAAATGTGGACTTTTACGATCAAAAATGCACACGAGAATAAAAAGTAGCCTTTACACTGTCATTGTCGCGTTGAAAGAAGCAGAAGGATAGTAGGCAAAAAGAAAGGGGGCTCTCTCAGAAGTGCAGCAGAAAGGAAGGATTACAGCACAGTGCACCTTCTTCGTATAGCCCCAAGGGCACAGAGCATATACATATACATATACATATATATATATATATATATTTAGTTATTTAAGTTTCTTCCAAGTGGAATTTGCAATCCCAAGATATATAGAGTAGAGAGCAAGCAGCCATTCTGAACCTCGCAAAGCAGAATAGGGGGTGCTCTATGTGTAAAAAGAGGGGATAGGTGGAGAAAAACAGCACCATTGATGGATTCTTCTCTGTCTGCCTCGGACATAGGCTGCGAAAACTCCCGAATTTCTGTTAGAGACGGCGCAGCGAGCGACCCAAAGAGCAAATGCCGTAGCGCAATTTTTCGCACAATGTATCCAGCCTCTTCGAAGGTACAGCCTGAAACATCCAGAGAATCCCGCATATATATCACAACGGCAGCAAGATAGCTTCCTAAAAAACGTGATAACGCAAAAGGCCGGAGCGAACACGAGGAAGGAGTCAGGTGTGTGTGTGTGTGTATATATATATATATATATATATATAGACCAGAGGGAAGCGGGGACGTCTTCAAGAGAAGATCGCCGACAAGAAAAAGCGCGACAGAGGAAGGCGAAATCAGGGAACGCAGGAGAGGTACGGATGTAAAAAAGGCCACGCAAGGGGGAATAAATATGAGGGTGCATGCAGTCCAGGTGTGCACTCTGCAAAGCCCCGTGCGCGATGACAGCAGGCAGGGCCCGAAATTCAAAAGATGCAGAAAAGGAGCGTAGAAAAGGGGCTTATCAGTGCATGCAAGAACCGAGTGCGGTATTCGACGAGCACCATCCTGCAGAACCTCTACTATCTCAGCGGATATTCGCCTATCAATATAAGTACATATATATATGTATACGCCTATTAATATGCGTATATATAAATATATTTATCTATTGACTTGCCGGCAAATCGGACCGTGCCAGGACTAATGCCCTGTTCAACCTGACCGCCACTAGCGTCCACACGTTCTCTATCGAAGAATCTTTTTTCAGGACGGGCGCTGCGTTTGAACTGAGCGCCTCCGCGTCCTAGCGCAGAATCCTTTCCTGGTTTCTGGAAACAAGGCAGATTACGCACGCATACATGCATACTAAGGTGCCTCCACAGCGTGTCAGTCTGTCTGTCTGTCTGTCGTGCATGCATGCAAGCACCGAGAGAAGCAGCACCGGAGTCGAAGAAGTCTGTTTCAACGTGAAGACACGTCCAGACGGCGCGACGACGGTCTTAGCGTTGGAAGGAAGGAAAGAAGAAGCATGCATGGACGCGCACTCCCGTGCGACGCCAGCTCGTCACTTACACTCGCCCTCTCCAGCATGGCTTGAAGATCGATTCGAGGGATAAGCCGGACAGTGGCGTAGACACCTTGCTGATCGGCAGAGACGATTTGCGCGAGATCGCCAGCATAGAGCCCCCGCTTGACACGCACGAAGTCGCCGCGCTGCGGCAAACTCTGCTGCTGGATCTTCAGCTGCCAACACACACACACACAGGAGGAGAGAAGAAAACACACAGCCAGATGAAAGAAGCTGCGCAGCAAACTTCCGCCGTCCTACAGAAATCCTATGAAGCCAATGCGGAAATCAGTGTGCCGCACAGGAGGGAGGGTGGCGCATGCACGTGAGAAAGAAGTCGACAAAAGAGGAGAAACACGCAGAAAACTACAGACATACAGACGGACAGATCCACAGGCAATGCACAGAGAAGAGACTATGCCCGCCCTCCATGCCTCTATATGTCCAAAAGCAACGAATGAAAAGCCTCAAAAAGCACATGCACGCCACTAAGAACTGCCATTTGCCAACAGACAGCAACAAAAAAGGCGTGCTCGCAGCTCTCTCATACAACACTCGTTCAAGTCTGCACACCTGGCGAAAGACCCCTGGCATCTCCTTCAAAGGCACCATCCTTATTTCTCCCGAAAGACGCAAATTGCGAAATCCCTGAAGCGCTTCTTTGACCGCGAACTGGCTCTCCGCCTCTACGTAGAGATAGCCTGAAAGCATTCGTGCGACAGCACAAAAACACACCCACACAAACGCTCCGCCGCTCACCAGAAACACGTCATGACAAGAAAGAGCTTTAAATTCGCGATACATGCACAACAAGCAAGGGCAGACACACCAACAAGACAAGCCTCCTGCACCAAACTGCAGGCAGCACAGTGCGTCACACGGCGGAGCAAACGCATGCATCTACAGGACACAGCGGTGATTCAGAAAGCCCCGCCAGAAAACATCTTCGTGGACCCCTCTCTTTTTTTCTAACGCGCTAGCTACTGTGCCACCCAAAAACAGCCTGGAAGCATAAGAAAACACGCAATACCTTTTAGGTCGTCAGAAGCGAAGACGGAGTATATTTGCAAATCCATGCCCTTCCTCGCATGCACGAAGCATTTGTTCAGAATTGCAATAACTTCCTCTCTCTCCGTCCCGCTCTATATCGCAAAAATCAGCCACATGAGCACTTCCAGCTCATAAAGCCCCACACGAGACTCCAAGCCATGCGAGCCACCATACAGCAAGTCATGAAGAAAATGCAATGTTCAAATTCGCATGCTGCAATGCAGACAGCTCAGCACACGACTGCACATGCGAAACGCTCGCACTACCCCTGTGCCCTGTGTGTTGTGCCTGCGAAGTGGAGCCAGTCATGAAAAGCTTGGCGACTCTGTATTCACACAAAAGCCACGCCTAAGGCTCCGAAACTTGTAATAAAAAGCAATACCTTATTCAAGCGAACCATCCACAGTTTAGGATCGCGCATGTCTGGCAGAATGCTCGCCTCTGCGGATTCTTCATCTGCGAATTCCCTCAATCACACAAAAGATCAGCCCGCAACGCGTCAAAGCAAATCTCGAAACACTCAGCCCCTTACCCCCCAAAAGCATGCACCCGTTGAACGCTGAGCCTACAGTCCAAAGCCTCCGCTTCATCGAATTCGTCATCTTCTTCTTCCTCCCCTTCTTCGAAAGACTGGTCTTGATACCTCCGCGTCAGAGAATCAATGGCAGACACAAGATGCGCTGAGCCTCCGCGTCTGCCCCATTCTTGCTGCTGCTGATCCTCCTGCTGCTGCCGCTGTGCTGAAATTCTGCGGGCTTCTGCAGCCTTCGCAGCCAGACGCGTTGCCTCTCGCGCTTCTTCGGGGTCGATAAATTCATCGCCTTCCTCTTCTTCCTCCTCATCACCAACCTACTCCCGAAAACGCAATCAAAGGGAAACGCTCAACCCTCGCGCGAGAGCGAAATCGAGAAACATCCATATGCATAAACCACACACAATCTCACGAAGCTTCCAAAAAAGCACCGAGACGTTAGACCGGCTACGCAATCCCCCAGTGCCTACACACCCCCCTTGACTCTGCCCCTTTGCATGCGCAGCGGAAGCGAGAAATACAAACCCTAACTCCTCTAAACTCCTCGAGGCTGTCAGCCATACACGACAAAACGCTAACGCTGCACCTCACATCTCAACGCCACAGCGCCGAGTTTCGTATACCTCTAGACACGCCACGCTGGCTGCAAATGAAGAGGAGTAAAGACACAACAGGGAAAGCAGAAAGAAGGCAGCACGAAGGCTTTTTTCAACGAGCTCAGAGTGCTGCATCGAGCCTTCCTGTAGCCTATATCCAACTGCCTGGTTACCTGTGCTTCCACATCCAAGAAAGCGCTAACGCCTCTTCTTCTTTTCGAAGCTCTTTCTCTTGCATGAGTTTTGCGCTTCTTAGAGGCTGTGCCCTTTGATTTCTTCTTGCTGCTGCTGCTTTTCTTCTTTTCTTTTGGCCTCTCTTCTTCTTCCTCCTCCTCTGCATCAGACCCTTCAAAAGCAGAAGCATCCGACTGGTTGCTCTCGCTACTCTTCTCCTCGGCAGAAGAACCAGAGGCCTCTTCCTCCTGTACACAGGCGTAGTATCACCCCGCAGTGACTGCCACACATAGAAGACGCCCTTGCCACGTTCTGCTGCAGTGGCTGCAAAAGCACAGCAGCAGCATGGAGGCACGCCCATCGATGCCCTTTTAAATGACACCCGTGTCAGGATTTGCTCTGCTGTGCACTTGTGGCAACGAACCTCTTTCTTCGCCATTCTGCCGAACTCTAGTAGCCCTTAAGACACACGCACGCCTCAGGATCTAGGCTTTAGGGTTTGAACTGAAAGCAGCTCCAGCCGCTACAACTCAGGTGTATGGACAAGCAACATCCACAGACAGGCCTTGAACGCCAATCGCTCAGTCAAGGGGCCTTCGCCAAAACGAGCTTTATTAGGAATGTGGACGGCAGTTTCCGAAGGGATGCTGGAAACAAGAGCGCCAAGGCGCAAGTGAAAGGTGGTACAGACAGATTTAAGTCTTAAGAAACTGGCTCGAAGCTCTAAGGTTCAGCTTTTAGGGTTTCGAGCAACAGCAGGGGTCCCTATGCATGCAGCCTGAAAATGCATGCAAGCGCAGGAGGAGGGTGGACATTCCTATGCCACTGTTATGTTTGATAGATAGTCTATTTTTAAGTATCCACGTTTTTATGTGCTTCGAAAGTCAGAGAAGCAGGCGTACCGCGCAAAACGGTTGTTCATTGGGGCTTTGGCGCCTTTGTACAGCACGAATTCACTGTCTGTCTCAACGCATGAAACACTGCAGCCTAACGCTCAAGCTATTCACGGGCATATTGCAGCGCAAAGCGTTTGCTTTTTGATTAGAGGGTCAATAGGCGCGTTGAACGATTCATGAGTTTCTGCTGCCTGCGCGTGTTGCCTGCCTTGGAGATTGCAGTCTCATCTAAAACAGTCTCCCCTCAGCGAAATTTGCGCTCTCCAGACACCCGGCACTTGCTGGAAAGGTCAGAGCTCAACAATTTGTCATGAATAGTCGGAAAAACGCCGTAGGTATACCAGGAATAACAGAATGCAGCAACTGATCCGCATCCGCGATCATTTTGACGTGGCGATCAAGCAGCAAGAACCTGCCACACCCAGTAAGCAACTCCTAAGTTGTGAGCGTCAACGGCTTTGTTTGTTTCGCTTCATCCCCTCTTGTCTATTGATTGGTCTGCCTGTATGCACCGCTTCGCTGTTATCTCTTGTGCATTGGGGTTTACGGTTCTCCTTCTTTGCATACACATTCGCAGTGCCGCGCTGAGAGGTTGCCACCGATCCATACGCTGTCTCAACTTTCGCTCTTCTACTGTAGCAACTGTATGGATTTGCAAGGATGCCTATTCAAGAATTTTTTCCTTAGCTGCGCACCGTATACGTTTCTGGGCTGCAGATCCTCCTCCACGCCCTCTACAGAGATGCTGCTGCTCCTTCTGCCGAAAGGGCAAGGGAGCTCAGGGGAAGTCTCAAGAGCTTTCTACCGCGCCGTTCCCTAGCAGCTCTACAGGCGTACCCACGGTGACGCCACAGACCTCTCTGCAAGGAACACCCCAACGGCAGAATCCCACTGCAGCCTTCCTTTGAATAGTTGTGCCTCAATGCTGGCTTATGCTTCTTCATTAGGCACACCTCTACGGAGATGTGGCGCTCTGCCCTAGGCATCTCTGTTTAGGGGCTCAGTGTTTGGTCTCTAGAGACCTCCATGTACAGTAGCTGCACCGAAAGTCGAACAGAACGTGCCTTTGTAATGCTCACTTTCGGGTGCATTCGCGAGAAGTCGCTTGAACTTCAGGAGCCAGGGTGTTTTTTGGTAGTTTAGATAGGACCCTATGTAGCTTCTTCACCGTCAACGAGCGTTTAAAAGTTTGTTCTGTATAAGAGGAGCTATCTGCATTGCTATTAAAAGTCAAATCCGGCAGCAACCGTGAGGTATGCGTGTGAGTGTATGTGTATTGTGTGTGCTTGTGCGTGTGTGTGTTTGTGTGTGTGTGTGTGTGTGTGTGTGTGTGTGTGTCTGTGTGTCTGTGTGTCTGTGTGTCTGTGTGTCTGTGTGTGCTTGTGCGTGTGTGTGTGTGCGTGTGTGTGTGTGCACTTTTGAATGCCACCTCTTTCCCAAACTTAAAGAGAACTTCTTCCCCCATCAGGGTTTTTTCCAGAGCACATGGCTGCCTCTAGGGGGCCCCTCTGGACTGGCAGGTTACCGGTACCAGTAGTTCATATGCATGGACGTATGGGTGGTCTCGTATCGATACGTATGGCAGATGCGTTTAGAACACCGTGTGCTCTTCCCCGCATCTATCTGCGGGTAGGAAGTTTTTGTAGAGGCATCTATCTCCGAATATACGTATTTGAGGGACTTCGCTGCACTACTGAATGCGTTTGCATGTGATGCCACGCAAACCACAGAAGCACAGCACAGCTACACAACTCTGCCCGCGCAAAGCCACGCAGAGGCCTACACCGGCTTCCTAATAGCCCACCGGGCAAGCCTCCTTGCGCAATAGGCATGCACATGCATGTCCAGACTAGAAAAAATCCTGAAGATTCAATCAAATGACTCATTCACGCACGAAAAAACCGGGACATGAGCATCGCGAGAAACATGCATGTTTACACATCCGGAAAAACAACTCAACCTCTGGCGTTCATGCACTGGAATGCGGCCTGTGTATATCTCTTTGCGTCAGTGCACTCCTAGTTCACGGGCATCGTGGAATATACGTATTTTTGTGCGCTCGTGACCGCTTTAATCCCTGGGGTCTTCAGAGCTTCTTCTTTCCATTTTTGAGAATTCCAGCCTTTTGACATCTTTTTAAGACTGGTAAGGTGTCGCTTTCCCGAATTCGTGAGCTTCAAGTGGGCACGCTTAAGCTGCTTTTCCAAGTCAACTGCAACAAGCCAAGCGCAGAGACGCAAAAAATGGGGTTGCACTTGACAGAAGATGGTCAGCAGGAACTGGGGAGAGTGGCAGTAAGGGGAAGAGAAGTGCAGAGATCAGGTGAGGACGTGAGGCCAGTGAACAAAGGGCCAAAATATATAAAGCTGGGTTGGCGCATGCACGCATTGCATTTGCACAGCCTGCTACCCAGAAAACCTCCTCACTTGTTGCTTTCGTGGCATCGAAAGGATCCACTTGTTCAAGAACTGCACACAATTCAGCGACATGTACAATAACACTCCCCTACACTGTGTAGGCTTCAAGCTTTGACGCCTAGACTCCTCGGAAGAGGCGTTCGTGTCTAGCGGGTGGGGATAAATGTGCATGGGTCCCGGATAAGGCCTAGGTGTTACAGTTGAATGCAAAAGCTTTCAGAGCTTGCAGTATGGCTGTTGCAATCTCACCAACGTCCACGAGGGTTTCAAAGTAGCTTTTGTGGTACTTCGAGGGTTCTCCAGGGTGTTCATCTGCAAGGTGCGCCAACGACAAGAACGCGTTTGGGGGGTAGGGTCACGTGCTGAATGCACTTTAAAGGGCACATTTTTGGGGTCTATGGTACGTACAGCTGTGCACAACTTTGTCGTAAAACTCAATGTTTCCCCCAAAAAAGTCCTTCACTTCTATTGGCGAGGTGTTGGATTGATTGCATGCTTTTACTGCCGCATTTACAAGGGCCTCTTTCTGCTCGTCCTTCTTTGCGCTCAGATGTGACATCGACAAGCGGTACAACTTGGCGGAGAGCTGCACGAAAATCAACGAGGGTTCACGACTCAACCCTGGAACTCGACAACATTCTGGTTTCAAGCGTAAGGTCATAATGTTCGAGGTGTACATACCTTATGCGGCACGCCAACTTTCATATGCCTCTGTCCCTCTGCAAGCAAACAACCGCATAGGAGGAGTAACATTAAAGGAATTCTTGGTGCGTAAGGCTCAGCGTCGCTTGAATCCCTTCATGCTTGTGGCATTAAGGTTTTATGTACCTTTGACTATCCTCCAAAGAAACATTTGGCTATTGAAGTCAGTCTTGCGTTTTTCTGCTTCAAGAAGAAGCACATCAGCAGCCGGCGCATCTCCCAGAAAGGGCTGCAGCTGCATCAGCATGTTTTGCCCCTTTTTGTAGCAGCTTCTCGCCGTCCGCAAATAACTTGTGGTTCTTTCCAGTGCCTCCTGAGCCGCTCCAGGAGTGGCCGCAGTGGCAATAGCGTGTTTGATCTCCTCATCGTTTCGGGTGTATACGCTAAAGAAATCCTCTGCAGAACAGTGCTTTTTTAGTTCAAAAGGTAGGATTGCTGGATCTGCGATTAGCGCTTCAAGATAGATCATGTCTAGGGTGTTCTGGGCATGTGGCCTCTGTTTTTTCCTGCGCTTCGTCTTCTTGCCTGCTGCCTCTTGCTCTCCTCCAGAGGTCGAAACAATTGCCTGGCTCTGTTGTAGATTCTTAAGATACTTTTTAACCATCTTCACCATCTTTTTTCCCCCGTAGTGCCACACGACAAATGCACCATGGCCGTCGGTAAGCCATTCTTTGAAAGGAGAATTCTTAGGAAAATATTTTTCAAGAGTGTCGGTCTCGCCGGCCCCTCGAGTCTCAGTTTTGCTTTCTTGAGCTTCAAAGGCTTTAGTGCTTTTTAAAAGCTGCATCAGGAAAGGGGCTAAAGAAAGAAACAGCAAGTAGTCAGCAGTAAGACAAGCAGGCGAAGCGGCAGAAATGTTCGCCAACGTCAAAGACACCGCAACTGAGGGCATGAAGCGCAGCACACGCAAAGGCACATTGCCTCAACCCGTAAGGGCCTGATAAGTGTCGCAGGTGCAACAGCGTTTACGTCCAAAGAGCATCAGCCAGCACACCTCCCTAAACTTGAGCCTGACCCCCCGTGTACTATTGCATCATGCTCTGCAAGAGAGGGATTCGAACTTATGTTTTCAGTGGCCTAACGCTCAGGAACTGGGGTGTTCGTGGTCTGGGTACTCTGTGTTCGGTCCTTTTGAAAGCTGCTCTCCAAAGCCTTGACAAATTCTAAGTGGAGTCCTGGTGCAACATGGCGTTTCAGATAATTAAGAATGGGCTTTAAGGTCTTAGTTTCCGCTGCCCTCTGTGCAATTTCGCGGTGGACTTTTGATAAATCTGCGCAGGCAGGAGAAGGCGGGTAGTAGCACCACAGGAGTGCGGCTTGTACCACCGCACAGACAGAGGGGAGCTGTAGAAGGACTCACAACTTTGGAGCAATCAGCGCTAGCACCTAAGGTGTCGTCTGTGATGTCGTCTTAGAACTGATATATAGGCTTTGCACTGTCCGTACACATTTGCTTGGTCTTCTGGTATATCCTGGTGTATTTTTTTAATTCGAGGAAGTGCAATAGCAAGTCCGCAGTGTCCGGGTGCATCTGTTCAAGGGCCTGTCTAGAGAGGCGTGAAGAAAGTGAAGTCTCAATTTGTTCAATCGCCGGTGTTAGGACAGCGTCCGAGCTTTGCTGCCCTGAAAGTGATTCAACTGCAATGGCCTGAGTCACTGCACAAACAAACACTAACAACCCCCGTTCCATGAATTTCTAGCTTCAATCACGCTAGCGGGCAACGTTTGCAGGATATTAATGCAAGGAGTACAGATATGGTCTACACGTCAAAGATGCATCCGTACGACTGCTGATGTTTCCAGAGCTATTCCTCACTGGCAGTGCGGATAATCTGCAGCGACGGGTGGCTGGCCTTGCATGCGCGGCGGCTCTCTTTAGACACGCGTTTTGCTGCAATCAACAAAGGGTAAAGAATTTCTCAAGTAGCATAGGAGCCGCTCAAGAATGCAGTCAATAACAATGATCTGGCATACAGCTAAATGCGTACATGCAATTGAACACAGAATCAAATATTAAAAGCCAGGGGGTAAAGAAGATAGTTTAGAACGTTTCGAAACCAACCGGGCTAGCTTAAGCAAGCGGTGCTCAAAAATACAAACGTGTGAAATGCATGAATGGGCTATCCAACAGACTATGCCACAGCGGCAAACACCCTTGCCACCGCACAAGGCGCTTAAATACATATTTGTGTGACCCTCTCTGCCATCATCCTTCGTGCGCTCTGTTCTCCTCTGAGTGCTGCGCATTCCCTTCCGCTTCTTCCCAGAATGCCATTCTACTTTTCCTGTGTTTTGTTCTGCGTTGGTGTTTCTGTCCCAACGCCTGTTGTGCTCCTTACCATCCTTCGCTGCTTTTTCTAACTCCTGTCGCACTTCTGCCTGCTTGTGAGCAAAGGCCGGGTCCTTCACAGCTGCTTCACACATTTCATGAAGCTTTCTGGGGGAGATGCAGAGAAACTGTGCTCGCGCAGTGAGAGAACCGTGGGACGGCGCAACGGCGGAGAAGAAAGACGGTGCGCGTAGAGAAAGAAAGGAAACCGCAGAAGAAACTCCGACAGCACTTCGCAAAGCGTTGCGAATACCTGAAAGCAAAAGGAGCAGATGCGAAATAGGAATCTAGAGAAGAGCACGCAGAGGCATGCAACGTAGCAATCATCGTCTCACTAGAAACATTGTAGATGCAGAAACAGATAGAAAGGGCCGAAGGAGGAGGAAGCTTAGCAGGTTGCGGAAGAAAAATACTTGCACAGGGGGAAGAGCACTAAAGAAGCGAAGAATAGAGAATACGAAAGAGGTGCCCACAAACACAGGATGAGCATGCAAGACAGAAGGGAGAAAAGGAAAGGAGTTCAACTAGCAGTAGGCAAACCAAGGGCACAAGGAAGCTGCATCAAAAACAGAAACCCTAGGCTAAAACACACGCAATAAGAGCTTCCCAAAGACCACTCCGTGACTCAGTCCAATCTTACAAACTTGCACCGTGCCACAATACATATTTGTGCCTGCACTGCCACTTCCGTGCCTTACCAGCATACAAGACCCAGATGTATTGGTGTGGGGGTACAACCGCAGCGGCAACTGCCAGCTTTGCCAGCACTCCAGCTTTTTTTTCCTTGTCTTCTTTGCTGGTTGCTTTTTCTAAAGCAGTAAAGGATGAGGTCAACGAATCCAGCTGCTTTTCCCTCTCGGGGGGAGGCAGGGATGCAGCGGCAGAAGACAAGTAATATCCCCCAACCAAATACGCATATGAATGCACCTCATCCAGAGACACTGCATGAGCAACATTCACACACAGCAAAGCACATTAGGGGTCACTTAGTACTTCAATTCCGGGGGCTCTGAGAGAGCGTGTAGGAATATCTTGTGGTGAACAGGCTGGAGGATTCTCACCTTGTTGCCTTAGGGCATACTCAATTTGTTTGCTTAGCTGGGCTTCGTGGTTTCCACCCTCCTTGTCCTGTTTCTTTTTCTTCTTTTTGCGCTTCTTTGTCTTCGTTGCTGCCTTGTTCCGCTGTGAGCTCTGCTTCTTTGCCTCTGCGGCCTCTCTCGTGGTGCCTACTGCAGCTTCACCTTCGTTCAATGTCTTTGGTTGTGTATGGTCGTTTTGCGTGCTGGCATTTGAATCCTCATGCATATGCACTGAAGAGCTACGCGCATGCGGTCTTGCGTCGGTGTCAGCAGTGTCCCGCGACGCTAGAGGCATGTGCACGAAGGATGAGGCAGCCGCGGAAGATGCCAAGAGAGTAACAAATGACGAGACGGAGAGGGCGGAAGAAGGAATCGATAGAATACCCTCTCGGTCATGAAATAAGAGCTCCATGAACCCTCGTTGCATCAAACAAATTGAAGCATCGGAGAAATCTGCAATAGCCAAACACCAAGTTCCATATTTATGCACTTCTCCTGCAAGGGACACAGCCAACTAGGTAGTCCGTGTGAACAAAGTTCATGGTAAAGTGGAAACGACCAGACACCCTAGCGCACGTTCTTCGTAAGTCATGATTGTTGAGAGAAAAGCACACACTTCACCCAAGAAATGATGGGACGTATTTACAGCTACACCTTTAGTGATATGGGCAGCCAATACGCCACAAGCAAGAGAAGTAGGCAGAGCACAAATGGCTGCTTTAACACATGCACGTCCCAGGGCGGTACGCCTTAAACCGAAACGACACGTAAGAGCCCAAGACATGTAACGGACGGAACGTTTGTCACTCACCTTTAGCGGTAGGATGAATTGCAGGATGATTTTTCTTTGAATCTGAGAAACCCACTTGCCCACGCACTGCGAAATCAGAACTTGATTTCTGGCTCAGAGTATGCGGCTCTCACTCAGTGGGTGTGAATTTAATTTACCTTCAAATTTTCTGATGCCTTTGGTAACGCATTCCTGAAAAAGGAACATCCACCCAACAACACGTCTGACTGCAACACCGTAGCCTAAACCTTCTGTTCAACGATCTGCTCTGCTTGCTGTGACGTGCTGAATACAACTGACCTGTAGATGACTTATAGCATGAGCCTTGAGTTCCTGCTTTTTAAGTCCCTCAGCTGTGGGCACCGATGCACAAACCAGAACCCTAAGAGATGAGGGCGCATTACCGAACGGCACAATTCAGGTGTACGTAGCTGCCCAGTTACAGCGTAATGTGGGTTGCCTTTATTCGCTAACTGCGTGGGGGAGTGTGAACAGTGTATCCTTGCATTTTCTCAGCAGCTTCAGCGCTTTCGTTACAAGTCGTTTGTCCATAGATGCGTTGGGTGCAATGTCGAATCCCCATTCTTGCCTGTTAATTTTGTCGGCATCTTTGTTTGTGTTACAGCATTCTATCCACAGTGCTAGCCGTCTAAGGCCCATGAGGTTTTGTTCCGCGATTTGATGAAGCAGCTGCGCGGCATCGTGCGCTAGTTCCTTCTCCCTTTTGCGGTCTTTCTTTGCCTCAATAAACGCACTAAGGGGAACGGAATGCGCCTCGGTCTTTGAATTTGTCTTGTGTTTGCGTTTGCCTTTCTTCTTGTGCTTCGTTTTCTTGTGCATGTCCTTGCTTGCTCTGTTGTGCGCCTCCTCCCACCGGGAATCTACCGGGAACTCTTTAGTATATGCATCAGAAAGGCGTAGTAGCTGTGCCTCCAGCTTGTTCGACTCCAGCACTAAAACAAAGTACACAAGAGATGCGAGCCTTTACAGTTTAGTCTCTGCGTACTAGCTGTACGTGCAGCATATATGCTGATCAGGGATTGGATTCGGTTGGTTGCTTTAGCGAACGCATTCTATGCTTGAACGGATTCGATGAATGGCTAGGTATCGGTACTTTCCCACCAAGTCCTGTAGGAACGAAATTGTAAGCGCTAGTAGCTCGGCAGCATGTGCAAGCATGAGAAGAGTATATACATCGACTAGGAACCCCTCACGTTGATCTTTGAGACTTTTTGAAAACTCTTCATTCCCGGTTGTTTGTGCAATGCGGTCCAAGAGAAGGTGGTAGCTGTCTGTCCATGCGGCACCCCGTTCTCTCATTTCTGTCTCCCGTAAAACTGCCGCTGACTTCTTTAAGACAGAAGATCTGGAGTTCCCCGGCGGTAACGATTCAAACTCTGCTGCAAACTGCTGCAGATTAGCAAGTAAAAGGGACGTCTAAGCACAACAAACACAAACACTCCAGCGAGTAGATAAGCTTTAGACAGTGGACGGGAGAAAAAAGTAGAGAGACACGAGAAGGGATTAGATTGAGTGCCCTGCAAAAGAGCAAAGAGGAGAAAGCAAAGCTAAAGGGCTGCATTTGTCAAACGGCAGATAAATGGAGACAAAACATCGAAGGCGCAAGGAAAAGAATCCAGTATATATCAGGAAAAGAAGACAAGGCTCCAGACAATGAGATAGATGAGGCCATTACAAGAGGTCACACCTCTTTTGGCGACAGGGGTTTTTGCCCCCTACAGAGCTGCTTCTCTTTGTGCATTTCGTGTTCGGTTCCTGCTGTTGCCTCTTTCTGAGCTCGGAAACACCACACTCAATCTTTAAGCTTTATGTTAATTCCACTGTTGCGCGATATTTGGGATGCTTGCAGCATTGCCGGGAAATAGAAAAGATCGGCGAAAAACTTAGGAGAAGAAGACGAAGCGGTACATACGGCAGTGTAGAGATGAGAGCACAAGTGGCTTTTCAAAGCTGATGTTTCTGTTGCTCTGGTGGTGCTGTGCTTTTCTGCTGCTGCTTGCCCTCCTCACATGATGTTCCCTTGCTCTATGCGCGTTTTCCTTTTCGTCTCCTAGGCTTACCTTGTTGATATCTCCATGTGTTTCATCGGTCTCGTTGATTGTCTCCTTATTTGTGCCTTTTTCTGCTTGCCCCTGTGGTGTTCCGTTCTTCGTTTTTAGCCTCCGCTTTAAAGCCGCGGCTGCTGCGGCCACGGTTGCAGCGGCTCGGAAAGAGAGCTTTTTGTGAGCTCCCTGAGCCATCAGCACACGAGCTAGGAAAATATTAACATACTTGCATACTCACTGCGATCAAACCATTAGACATAGATGTAGCAGAGCGTTAAAGGGGCACACCCATGAATATGCAACAATCCGCATTGAACTGCCCTCTTTGGGTGTGCTTGCTGTATCCACGGGCTGCAATCAAGGGCCTAGCTTTTTGCAATTTCTGATCGGTAAATTGCACTTTACCCGGAGCCTTTGTAAACCTATTTATACTATCGAATATTCATCACCAGCAAAGTTACTGTGCTCATGGCTCTTTCAAGGGAACGGACCTTTCCTTCTTGTCCTACCTCCTGTGCCTCAACTGCTGTTTCATCTATTTCATCAAAGTGTCTTTTATGCGCCGTCTCTTGGCCACTTCGGCTTTCTATTGTCATTTGCTCCTCTTTCTCTTCCTCCGTCTGATGAACTGCCTTTCCTTGCTCTTTTATTTTTGCCTCATCCCCTTTTCTCGTGGTGCGTCTGCGTTTAAAAGCAGCGACGGCCGCCGCAATTTTCATTGCACCTCCTAGCGAAAGTGGCTTTTTCTGCTCCTGCGCACAAATCAGTGGCTAATGAAGTACTCGTAAAGTGCTGGAAGTCGGCGGGGAGAAGAAACACGGACATGAAAGGGCTAGAAGGAGACTCGGCACAGTGAGTAGAGGTATGAGAGGGGCGTGCCAACCTGCCGTAAGAACTTCTCATTAGATAGCAAAAGAAGCAAAAGACATGGGGGGGGAGAAGGCAAGAAACTACACAAAAGCAGTTCCAGGCGTAGGAAACGCTGGAAGGCGTAAAGAGAGCGGAGAACGTGTGGCAAGGGGCCTGAGACACATGGCAAAGTTCGTCTTCATTTCACGTGGTTACAGCCTAGAACTCCCTCCTGACAAGCTCAGCTGGTTCCACGTACTTCTGTTGCGTTGCTTGCTTGATGGCCGTCATGTGTAGATGGCCTTGGAGCTACTTGAGCCTGCAGCGACTCTTCTTGCTCTTCCATTGCTTCCTCTCTCTCATCGTCCGCTGTGCTCGGGCCTTTCGATAGCGCTGTTCCCCCTTGTACAGACTTCTTCCCGTTTTCAAGAGTAGGCTTTAAGGTAGCAACAGCTGCATCGACTCTTGCTGCGCCGCCCAGAGTTAGGGGCTTCTGCAGACGCACGTCAGGGAATACAGGGACAAGGCCGATGCGCGCAGACGTAGACAGGCATGCCGATGGATAACAGCTGCATCCCAGCGGGCACTTCTGGAGCATTTGAAAGCCTGTGCGCTTCCGTGTAACCGTCATGCACCTCCGAATCTTCGGATTTAATATGCGCCAACTCTTCGGTTGTGACCCCCTGGGGAGAGCTGGTTCCCTCGCCTCTCCCTGTTTCTTCCTTCTCTGCCGCCCGTTCTTCGCTTTCTTCTTCTGCTTCTTCTTCTTTGAGACTCTTTGAGTCCACCGATTCAGAAGGTTTTTCTTGATGGTTAGAAGCCGCGGGGTGTCGTGTCGAAGGCGGGGGCTCGACGTGTGGTTTTGTTACTTCTGCTTCTTTATTCTGAATCGAAGCGATGCCCTTTATCTCCGAGAAAGCCTTTACCATGCCCTAAGAAGGGAGACGCGAAACCGTGACAGGCTATGAAATAAGATATTCTTGCAAGCTTCGTGCTAGTTTTTTGAGTTGCATCAAAAGTGCTAGAGGGTTTCTGCCCTCCTATGAAAGTGGCGTCATCAAGAGAGGTTCTGCAACGGTCCCCCTTCTTCAAGCTGCACACCAAGTCTCGCCGTTGGGGGCCTCTCAGAGCCGCATGATCAGAGAAAATCTCTCTGGGAAGATTTATTTTACCTGTCCGTTTTGTTGCGTGAGGTGCTTAACTGTTTCGGACATTTGCCTAGCTTCTGCAATCAGGCGAACCGGTGGAATGTAGTCGGGGGCTGCGCCAAAACGAAAAGCAGTGCCAAACGCGAGGAGCATGACAGGGACACAAAAAGTACGCAGCGGTGAAGACAGGGGCATGCGCGAGAGGAGAAAATCACAATGAAAGGGAGGGATGCTTGGTCAGGTATACACCTAAGGGCTTGTAGCATTGCCTCAACATGCGAGAAAAGCAGGTCGCAGTTTCAGCAGGCGTGCGCAACAGCGACTTTAGCAGGAGTTGCGTAAACTGCGCGAGTACGTGGGCGAAGACACGTCTATGTGTAGATGCAAAGGATGCACCAGCGAATTTCCGGTTGTATCTTTTTATGGTGTGCGTGTGTTTGCCAAAAATGTCTCCCTCGGAAGCTATGTAAGAAACGCTGTGCGTTTCCCATAAAGGGTTACATGCAGACGCAACTGGCACACGGCCCCTGTGGAAGCATGGACGGGATTTCCAGGAGGTTGTGGATGTCTCAGAACGCTTAATATTCGTTACACCTCTGGCATCCAAAAATGCAGCATTTTCGTTTCTCTTACTTGGCATACGGAAACCATGCATCTTCTCAGCGCTGCGTTTGGCGACGTTCAGCCAGCTGCCCTCTCTGGCATCTAGGGGGTCCGCTAGATCGTCAAGGAGTCGAGAGGCCAGCTCGTGCAGAACCATTCGGTCCACAGCAGTCAAAGGCGACTGAGGATTTTCCGAGTCTAGTACGCGAAGCGAGAAGCTTTGGAGTAGCGCTGCAAGCTCTCGCTGTTTCTTTGCTTTGGCACTGGTGGGATCGGAGGCTGAGGTGCGCGGCTCTGCCTCCTCTGCTTCCCCACGGGCTTCCGACAGCCCAGGCAAGGCATCCCCTGCCAGGTGTATGTACAGCTCCATGGGCACCACTGCAGCTGGGATAAGCAGCATCTCCTTCCCATTTAAAAACGCAGCCACAGAGGCCACTGCGCGCTGCACCGGCCTCGGCACCTGGTTATATACCTGCAAGCGAACAAAACGGGAAAGATAGAACAGAAATCAGCGTTGTTGCAAAAGCACAAAAGACTGCAGAAGAGCGCTACTGCATTAGGCCGGGGCATGCATATACAGGGATTCAGGGAAGCAGGGGGAGAAAAAGGCGAATGGGAGGAAACTGCGTGCGTATCTCTGGATGCGCGCTGTCAGGAACTGCACTCTTAGCAGAGATATTACCACTCTTTGGGGTTCCTTACCTTGTACAAATGTGTCAGCAGCGTGTAAACAATGAATGCCGATTGGGCTGGAAGAGGCAGTCTGTTGCGCTGGTCTGGTAGCGCGGCCTGCCGCTGCTTGTTCAGAAGGAAAAATGACGGAAACAGCTGGTTGCTGCTGCTGCAGCTCTGCTGTAGTAAGACATCCCAGCTGCCAAATGACTCTTTGAGATACTCGCGCAGGCACACTGCAGCCTAGAGCAAAATTCAAGCATCGCAAACCGTACAACACAAATTCTAGAGGCACACAGGCGGCCACTCCTACGGATCCATGAGAGACGCCTTAAATGTACCTGAAAGGCGGCAAGGCTTTCGCCTGTTTCCTCCTTGTCTAGCTCAAGAGACCTTCCAAACGTTTCTAAAAAAGGAATTTTATCCGCAGGAACTTCTGAACCCTACAGAAAGAGACTCGAAAAGGCAGTGACCAGCAACAGACCAGCACACGACGTTTTTTTTGACGCTCAAGAGGGGCACACTATGGTGGGAGAATCAGGCGCAAACGTTGTTATTTTTAAATGCATGCATCAGCAGTTATTTTTTTGTTGGTATGGCTTGCTACCGCCTTGCCCCAGTTGTCTCCTCTTCTTTCTCCTGCGTGCGTTGCTTTCTAGCTGTGACAGCGTACCCACTGGAAAATGCTGATGGCGCCTGCTGCCGTCTCGCCCTTAGGCTCCGTCTTCTCCACTTGGAGGCCAGAGAGATCGCTCGGAGGCAGCTCATGAACATACTGGTCTTCGCCTTTCCCCAGTCCTACCTCAAGGGAGAGCTTTTGTTCTTCGTGCAGCCAGTGCTGCACGGGCAGCTCCCCAGCCTCTGCCGAAGGTATCAAGTCTTCCATATCCTCGTCGAACGAAGCCAGAAGACCACTATAACGGGGTTCTTCATGAGACGCATGCAGCAACGCTGCGCTTCCGGGGCCAATCAAGTCTTGGTTTTGCCGCAATGTGGCTGCCGTGCTGGAGCGGCTCTGGGCAGCATTTGCATCTGCTTTTTCGTCTAGAAAACTCTCAGGATTCCAGCCCGCCGCAAATACAAGAGTCGGCAGAGCACGTGAAGCCACAACGGCCCCCGTTGACTCTCCTCCTCCTGCCTGGCGGGCGTAAGGGCAAAGATTTTCATGGTAAGAAACGAGCAGCACCCCACAAACGCAAAAGAAAGAAAAGCGATAGTGAAACTGCACAAGCAGCCAACGCATGCACGCTCTTGTCCTTCGACGTATGGATTGAAGAGTGCACAGACTAACTGTACAACTCTGGTTGGGTTGCCTTCTGCCATGTGGTGCTGCCGTTACTGCTGTTGGGGCTACTGGGAAGGGACAATCCCTCTTTAGGGGACTTTTGATTGCCATCATTCAATGCCTATCAAATACTGGTACAGAAGCACACATAAAAATAGCGGCACAGGCATCACGAATCACATAAAACTCTTACTGACCAATGGAACTGGACACGCATTGCAGCAACGCTGAAACAACGATGCTTGTTGTGCAACTGCTGAAGCCGTTGCTTCCGTAGTTCCTGGTGCTACTCATAAAAACAAAGCCCCTGTTGCGTGTACTGCCTGCTGTGCGCCGTTTCTTACTTCACCCTGCCACGGACGGTCTTGCTGCTGCCGTGTTTGATGCCGGAGGTGCCAGTGCCCTACATAGAATTTGCTGATTTCCGCAGCCTCCGGCACCTCGAAATTGTCTGTGAGTGTGCCTATTTTAGCAAATAGGTACGCCATAGAGCTCCTGGTGAGGCCGAAAGCCTCGGGGGGCCCTATATGGACTTGCGTAGTTACCCTACGCTGTGGAGACACCACAAGACCATGTGTGAGGTCTCTCAATGACGAGTGAAAACAGGGGCATTGCGAGCAACAAAATATATTAGAAAAGAGTAAATTAATTGCATTTGAAGTTAGGGGGCTTAGAGATTTCCCGTAGCAAATGAAAAACAGCGCTCTCTGCTCTATCAGCCGACAGTGAATGCTGCAGTGTATCGACACGTCCTTGTGGTGCTGTTACCGCCCATGCTGTTACTGCATATATGTACAAACAAATCTTTTAGCTGAACGAATAACTTTACTCAACCCTCAACTCAAAATTTTCAAAAATGTTGAGAAAGGCGCAAACAGGGCTAGTGGAGGCCCTATCAAGGGGCCCGAAGCCGGCGGACAAGTACCAATTGCACAGAATAAGCAACAGAGCCTAATTAGTTCTTGGAAGCGTGATTCGCACCGAGATACCCTATAAATTACGAATTATAGCTGCGAAAGCTGTATTCATAGCGTTAATCTCCATGCTGTGTATCCCCTTGGTCGAGTGCTTACGACTGCATAACTGGCGCTTGTTGGTATACCTGATAGCTCTGTTGTTTCTAGTGATCCTGCAGGTTCATAGATCCAATCATTAAAGCGAGTGAGGTGGAAAGCGCAGAGTCCAGCATACACCCAAGGCCTCTTTCTGCTCGGCATTTTTGTGGCAAATACGATTGGACAAAATACGACAAAAAGCACTTTGCCTGAGATCTTTACTTTAGAAGCTATTCTTTTGCATGATATAAGAGGCGTACATCGCTCCAGACCAAGTTTAGAGCCGCTCTGATACCTCCTTGGGGTAGCTGCAGTACAACTGCCTGGGTCTTGCCACATGCTCACCCGCATATTGATCTACCCATGAGGCGAATTAGCCCCACACAGGCATGCGCTTAGTCCTACCTACTAATATGCTCACATTTAGCTACCGCTACATCCAGCTATATATAGCCAACCGGGGCTTTGTGCACCTATGTCCATGTAAGTAGCCAAAACAGTTTAGTCAACTATTGAATGAGAGCGTTGGCTCTCCTTATACTAAATTTCCTCTAGGTGGTGCACTTCCGAAAAATGAGAATGCAGGTTTTCTTGCGGATGTACAAACCATTATGTGCAGCATCCATAAAAGGGGAGCGGTAAAGTAGATGGTGTAACCATCTACTTCACCGCTGTCCTTCCTCTCTATCTACGGGATGCAACCATGTGAAGTAGGTGTAAAAAAATCTGGTACATTTCAGATGGGGACGCTTTAATAAGTATACCTGATTCTTGATAGTGTTTTAGGGCTGCAGGCCTTTATGTGGAGCCCCTAAGAAGAGCACTACAACTTGCAGCTGGCCTGCTATTTCACAAGTAGTTATAGCTTGACAAAATGCCGATTTTTGTCGTTGTCCATTTCTTTTATGTGGAAATATCATAAGGTTTGCCTACAATCGAAGGCCTCGTATTAGTATGAGTAATAACCGCTGTGATTTCGTGTTGTGAAACGCCATCTAAAGGCCTACATTCAACGACACTTAGATCCAGAGTCAGTAAGAACTCAGTAAACGGCCACTAAGTGTTTTCCAAAAGAAGCGCATTCCTTTGCCTTTCCGCGTCTTTCAGAATTCCCGACGTGAGGGATGAGTGACAGCCAGATTGGGCATAGTGCACCATCTAAGCAGTCGAAGCATTCAAAGCTAGTTGCACCTAGCATATACCGCACACGCAAATAACATTGTCTCTTGTTGCATAGGGTTATAATGATTGTACCATAAATAGGATATTCGAGTGAGCAAACCAGATAGGCAATTCTGTGGTATTGTCTATTAGATATTACTAATGTAGTTGAAGTTGTCTGAGTGTAGCTTTTCTCGCTGCACTTACCGTGAAGCGAATGAGAAACTAGGGTGCAACGCTATTTTCGATCTAGCACCTTAATCCCAGCCTAGATAATCATGACTCCCCGTTTTGAAACCAGTGAATATATTAAGGACAGGTGAATATCCTTTTTGATGAGTGTCCACGTTTTACAAACTGTGGAATTAGGGCAATTCAGAATGCAGTTGCAATTAGCACTCCACTCAGTAGCTGTGCACACAGTGCTCGCCTGTTATTGTGGATGCTGCCTCCTTTTGTCACTCAACTCTGCTTCCCTCTCTCGTTCTTTTTGCATATTTTTCCTTTAAAAAAGACTGCCAGTGCTGTTCCCAAGTTTTTTTGTGAGCCTTTCTCTGTTGTACATTATTCCTAGCATGTGCTTCTGTTCACGTGTTGACCTTTGGCTCTCACACACCTTTGAAACCCCCCAACAGAAAATACGAAAAGCCGGACAGTATAAATTGTTATCAATACATTAGCGGCTGGAATTGATTTGCATGCAAGCTAAGTGGAGTGCAAGTGCGAGAAGGGGGATGAAACCAGGAAGAAGTGGGCAGAGCGAGCTACATAGTGATACCCCCTGCGGGCTGCGGTGAAAAACAGGTTATTGGTGCTTGGCAGTTTATGCTGGAATCAAATATCTAAGTCAAGGACAATCTCTGTTGAAGTCCTAGATTTTCTCTACATGTGTTCCGCGCCTTCGTGTTTGGTGCAACATTGGGTGTGTTCACGGTAACACCAGTTTTGCCTTCGTTGAGTGATGAGTTCCCTTTCGAACCCAACGTCAAAGCATCAAAATAATGACAAAAACAAGCGAGCAATACTGCTGGGCAAATGCAAACACTTAGACGCCGATGAAAGTCTCCCGTAGAGAAAGCCTGGATAAAATACGGCAAGGGTTGGCCTTGTGGACTACCTGCTGCTTATGAGATAATTGAATTTAATACACATATGCATACTAATTCACAGACACCTATTCGCGAGTGCAATGCAATATGTAAGGAAAATCAGTCTAAAACAACAGTTTCACAGCCTGCAAAAAAAAGATGTTCCCAAGCATCGCGTACCTGCAGAGCTTAATATACAGGCAGTTATGAATGCAGTCGTAGCGCCATAAAACAACTATCTCAGCCAAAATATACAAGAGTCGAAAATGATTAAGAAGCGATAAAGTGAAAGAACGAAATAAATGGAATGACCGCTCGGTTCCAATGGTTCCCTTGCCCGTGCGAGGGTCACCTGGGGGGTTCCAACGCGGTTTCTTTTCAAAATCTCTCATATGGCACGCATGCTATCCAAAATTAAAGAAGCAAATAGATTTTGCAATAAGCAGCATTTCCTGTATAACGAATGCGAGAAACTCTCTAGAATCCAACAAAGGCTCTAGTGCTGCTGCTGTTTCTTCATCTAAGGGTCTGCTGAACTGACGGGGGGGCTGATCTATCGGCATGCCTTTTTTGTTACCCTCAACAGAAATGACCCAAAAAGTATTAAAATTACATGTTCTAAGGTATAGCTGCCAGGTTTGTGCTTATCATGGCACGCATTTTCGCCAAATGAACACTGGACCGGAAATTCGGAGTATTTGTGTTAAATGCTCCTGGAGAAATAATCCAGACAATTACAGGGAAAATGTTTTTATTTTCATCCTTAAAGTGCCAACAGGCACAGTTTACTATTCTATTCATGTGCTTATCCCCCTTCGACGTCAGCCATGGATTAACACCACGGATTCAGCTGCCCGTACACCCACATCACTTCGAGCAAACCGAGCTCCAGGTGCCGCAGCACCACCAACAGCAGCAACCACCGTGCATGCTGCCACAAGGGTCTCAGCAGTACCTGGGGCAGCATCACAGCGAGCTCCTCTTGCAAACCGAAGACGCACTGCCCTACTTGCCCCCCTTGGAGCTCGAGTCCTTCCCACGCCTTCTGCAGCCGATACCCGTATCAGCAGCTTCAGCACAACATGCTCTTGCATCAGCAACACAAGAAATGCCGTCATCAGCCACAGCTATACAAGCAAAGGCCACAAAAGTGAACCCCAAAACCTATACTCTAGAACGGCTCCAAGACAAATGGCTTGCCGATCGGCTCAACGAATCTGTGAATTGGAAGCGCCTTCACGTCGACTCTGCAGACCTCTCAAAAAGTCTGGTAGCTGCAAAGCAATTTTATAATCTGGTAACCGGTCCAGCTGGCCCCATTGGTGGAAAAGGCTCTTCTACAGACTTTTCCCAGGAACACCCTACTAGCCACTCTGGGAATACGTCAAAGAGTCAGGTGCTACTGGAGCTGCTAAAACAGAGTGAAGTGCTGGCAGACAACTTGGATCAGTTGCTAGGCATGCTGCACAGCCTCGAGAGGGAGGCACATGCAGAAGGCATCGGCTTTAGTCCGAGGGGGTGGAAGCTGGTTCAGAGCACAGAGGAAGCCTTAGGAGCTGCAGGAGCTTTCGCGGAAACTCTTGATGATGTGGCAAGCAGTAAGCAGTAGCCACGCACAGAAGATTAAGTTTAGAAATTAATGTAGAGCTGCTTCACACCAATATCATGGTGAGCTCAGGCACGGTGTAGCAGGAGACGCAGCATCAGCATCATGCACGAGTATGCAATCATCGAGCAACCAGCCTGTTTGGAACCAGAACAGCTATTCAAGACTTTTGAACATAGGGAGGCCTATGAGGAAGGATTGGGTCTCACACATGGGCCTGCGTGCAGTAGTCCCTTATCTGTTGCTTGACTTGGTAGGGAAGTGAATTCGAAGCTTATTTTTCGCTTGCTGTCTTATTTATCTTTCGCACAGTACGGCATAAAATACCAAGGAAATTATGCAAAATCTCGATTTCATTGCAGGTGTACTCCCACGCGTATTTGTGCAAGGGTTGTCTTGGCATCTCGCCCCTTGCCACATTCTATGAAATGGATGTCCTTGCGTCAATTTCATGTGTCAAGTGATTATCTGCAATATCAAAGTGGCTTCTTAACATTGTGCTTTCTGTTAATTCCTCTGCAAGCAGTTCACAAACTTTCCACGCATTTCCGCGCACTTTGTGATTGTTGTGACTCTAGGCGATAGCTCTATTTCCCTGCGAGGCTCTTCTCGCCTTCCCGCAACAGTGCTGCGGCTGAGATCTGCTCTCGGCAGCTTTGGATCCAATCCAAGCGCCAGGAAGCTCAGTGATGCCATTCGAGCTCAGCAGCTTGCAGATCTGCTGCAGGGATCCTCCCTGCGACATCTTGCAGCACGACCGCTGCCGAAGAATGGATCTGAGAGTGTCTCTCCAGCTAAAGAAGCTGTGCTGAGCTGAGAGGCTTAATGTGCTAGAAGGAGCCGTGGATCGGGGGAACACAGGTGGAGGAGGGGGATCGGGGACAGGAAGAAAGAGGGTGCGTACCATCCATTTGCCGCATCGAACAGGTTAACTGCAAACATACACCCCAAAAAAGTGAGCTTGCATGGCACCAAGGCTGAAGAGACCGAAGAGCCTCATGGAAATAAAAGAAGAAAGGTTCACGTGCTGCGAGGCTGTGGCATGTAAGCTATGGCGGCAGCGAAAAAGAGGTCTACAAACAGCAATCAAAAGAAAGAATATTCACTTCGAAAATCTAGTAATGACTTGTTTTATGTTCTAATTGTTATAATTAATTCTGAACTGTTAGGGGAAATTTTCCTCTAGGGGAGTTTAAGGTGTTATGATCCTTTCCCAGGGGCACACGCACAGGCACACAGGAACTGCACAACAAAAACACGTGTTTGAACTGAATTCGAATTGAAAAATCCGTTAATATGCAGTAATGCCTATATTATATTTTGATATGACAATATCAGTTTATGCTTGAACATTATTTTAAGTTCCCTTCCCTCTACTGTGCACGGCGCCCGCTGAGCGGGGGAACCACTGGTCCATTAAAAAAATACGCAGGAATAGAGGCAGTGAGCGCACTGGTTATTCACTCAATTGCATCTTTAGATACTTACTAGATTATGAGTTATAAGTAGTGGCTAAATACGGTGTTGGAACATCAACATCATTTTCTTTATCCCGTTCCTCCGATGAATGAACCAAGTCCCGCCCCGGAGCCCGAAATGGTAAATAACATACAATGAAGGTCTTTCATGAAATAAAGTGCACAGGAGTAGAATTCACACATACTTAGAATGTTTATTATTCCAGATGACGCTAAAAGCCACTGCATGCGCTTGACAATGTAACGCTCTTCTCATTGATCCACCGGGGTTGCGTGTCTGTCGTAGGACGTGCACTCAGCAGAGCCCAAAATTAGCGCAAAGCCAGCATGCCATTAAGCGTTATTAAATAATTCTAGAGAGCAAGAATTACCTCTAAGACATCGCTCGTCAATGCAGCATTGAAGTTCAGCAGAAACCGCACCAGCCACCAGAGTTGAAACAGCTAGCAGCAGAGACGGCGACTTGCGTAATGCAGGAAACGGCTTTTGAGCGAGCCAGATGGAAACGATGCATTGCTACCGCATGGGCTGCTGCAGCTCTGGAGGCATATGCTGCGCCAGTTCACTCGGGTGCTTCCGCAGCTTCAACCGAGACACCGTCATTTGTTGGAACAGACGCACCAGGACCAAGAACAGCAACTACCGCCACTGTTGTTGCATCCAAAGGCTTTTCAGCCATGAAAGCAAATAGAACAGCTGCTGCCCTTCGGGCTGGTGCAGCAGCAGCAGAGTTACGCTGTGCTTCAATTTCCCTGCGGACGCAGCGCCCTCAACACAAGCAGCAATTGCATCTACCCCTTTCACCAGGCAGCTCCGGCAAGAGAAAAGCAGCAGACTCTCTGCTGCAGAGGCATCCAGAAAAGCAAGAGTCGCTGCACAAGGGGCGTCTCTCTGGACAGGTCCATCAGAAACATAAGCACCAGCCGCACCAGGTGCACCTACAAAACAAGCAGCAACAAAATGGGCAACAAACGCAGCCTTTGAGGCCTTCAGACACCGGCGCGAAGGCTTTCAATGTCATAGAACCGCTTCGTTTGCATCCGTCGACGCCTGAACACGTTGCACAAAGAGTGCGCCTTTTAACAGCCTCTTCACGAGGTCCCCCAGGAACACCCCCAGCCACGCTTCCTGTAGATGAAGGGGAATGGACAAAAAGCCTGCAATTGCTCGAGGAAGCTTGGGAAACCTCAGCTGCACCCTTTGAGATATACAGGCAGCTGGAGGTTGAGCCGGACGCAAATGCAGTACAAATACGAAAAGTAGGATCCGTCCTAACCCTCCTATTCCCCCAGTCTGATTCCTACCCTAGCGGCTAGGGCAAGGCGTGTGCAAGTTCAACGGCGTGTTTGGCTACTTGTTTAGGCCTTCGTTCGACTTGTCGCTATCCACCATCCAGACAAAGGGGGTTCGCCTGAGTTGTAAGGAAGCAAAAACACGCCCGAAGCAGCAAACCAAGCCGCAGTATCAGTACGGAATTAGAGACAGCATTGAATCATACTGCGGCACTCGACGTCAGCTCTTCTGCATAATGTGTCGCTGCAGATTCAGAAGGCTCCATGCTGCGTACCGGATACTCAGCGTCAGTTGCTGTATACTCAACCTAGCGCTCGATGCTTTTGCCCGCATTGGTGGCTGTGTCACCCTCTTCATGCCTTTTCGTAGCTTTTTTCATCCCCGTGTGCTGCTGCTTTTGCCTGCTGCGTAGCCACGGGGGGCAGCAGTCGCTAGGGGGTTCTGTTTGCGCAAACCCCACGGCTGACGTTCATGCTGTGGGCTCTTGAAATGCTGCAGCCACACACATCAATTTGTGTTTTCTGGGATCTGTTCAGTCTAAGACATGTCGCCAGCTCTACGACTTGCACTGTACAGCAGCTGCACGCGGCGCTGGCAGCAACGTTGGTGACAGCAATAGATGCGAAAATTGCGCAGGCAAGGCCTCTCCTGTTAGGTGCCAAATGCTTTCCCACAAAGACCTGCTTCCCGTGCTATAACCATTCTTTCTGCAGATATGCCTTAGTCGCTGCTGCTGCTGAATCGCGCTTTTTCGCGGTGTCTGGACTGCGTTGCATGCAAACAGATACTGACGCCGCTGCATCTGCTGCGGCCAAAGGGGTTCCCTGCGCCGGAATACCCTTCTTTGCTATTGCGCGCAGCAGCAGCAGCAGCAGCAGCAGCAGCAGCACGAGCAGCAGCAGCAGTAGCAGCAGTATCCGTAGTAACAATACTAACAGCAGTGACGATGAGGCATCCACGAGGGGCGAATCAAGCCCCAGGCAGTCGCATCTAGCTGCTGTTTGCGGCTTTGTGTTCTCACGACTCCGCTCTCATGGGAGTCTCCTGAGGCTGACCCTTCCATCGCCGCAATGCAGCTCGTCAGCAACGCTTTAGAGGCCAAACCCTGCGAGCCGCTTGCATCCCTCTGTCTAGGCTTTTCCCCTCCACCATTCAGAAGTTATTAGCTTAGCGCTATGATGTTTCAAAGCTTCAGGATTGGGTGTGCTGTGCAGGAAACAGCTGTTTTTCCTATGGCAACTTTCTAAAGCTCTTCGAGAGGTCCCCTGCACAGGCGACATTTTTCAAAGCGCCCTAGAGGCGACTTCTACGCGCGCTGCTGAGAGACTTCCTCTAGAGGGCCTTGTGCGACTATGCCCTGTATATTCTGCTCGCATCGAGCAGCAGAGTTTGCTGAATAGGGGCCTCTGGCACTGCAAGGAAGGAAAAAGCGTGGGACTGATGCAAAATCAAGTTGACGCTGACCAGAGAGACCGCCTTCGCCACGAGTCGGAAGAGCAGCAGTGCGCGAAGAAGGTGCAGCCTGAATGTGGCACGGCCTGGCTAGCCAGTCTGAGGGCACAGATAGCTTTGACGGAGCGGACAGTAAGCGACGGCTTTCTCTTCTTGCAGCTCTTGTGGAGTTTCGGAAAAAAAGGAGCTCCCCGTCCTGAGGCTTCCGCCAGTGGAGGTGGCAGTCTATTTAAAAATGAAGGCAATTCAAAACGCCAGCTGCAAGGACTGCTGCTCTCCCGCGAAGCAGCAGTAGCGACACCGCGAGCAGAAGCAGGAGGCCCACCAGCGCGGCAAGCCACTCCAGAAAATGAGTTCGAGAGCAGCCGACAGACCGCGGACGGAATTGTGTCAGCAGCAACTCAGGCAGAAAAGACAACATCAGGAGAAGCGCACAAGCTGCTGCTGCTTCTCTTCTCGCCGAAGAAGTACGTCCCATGGGAAGACCTTGAGGCCATACAGGCTGCTGCTGCTGAGATGAGTTCCTGCTGCTGCTGCTGCTGCCCCGAAAACTGCTACGACGCAAGCAAAACCGCTCACAAACGTGCTTATCCTTTGGTGCTGCTCTTGGAGAAGCATACGCACCGACAGATTATTGCTACTAGACGCCCCTCCGCTCAACAGACGGCCTGGGTGTTGCTGGTTGCCCAGGCCCTGCTGCAGCAGAAGCAGAGTCGACAAACGCAGCATGAGCAACAGCATGAAAGCCAGCAGCACTCTCAACACCAAGCGCAGACTGAACAGGATAGGCTAGTTCTTAACGTTGAAACGCCGTATCACATCAAGGAGGTCGCGGTTTAGCAGCACTCATAGGCCGAGCACGCGTTTTACTCGCTACTGCTCTTTCTGCACTGCTCCTGCTCCCCTACGTTAAAAAGTATATGTATATGTGCCAGACTACATTTAAAATGAAATCGAGAACTGAGGAACAGGCTGCCTAGCTATGCCTCCATAGGGACAAGCTCCGCAGGCCCTTCAGCTTCTGCGGAGCCGCGAGTGATGGATTCTGGAATTCCCCAAGGATCTCACTCATTTCTTCCGAATACGGCTAAAAGGGCAAGATTAAAAACTGCACGGTTGAGGGTTGTTCTGGGTGTTGCACGGTCGAGCAAAGGGGTTCTTCAGTGGCAAATGCCCCTTCTGAAGCCTCTAAAGGCTGGAGGGCCCTATAGAATGCCGGTTTGTTGGCTCTATCCCGCCGGCCTTCTTCTCACCGTTCAGCTGCCTTCATGCGTTGCTGCTTGTTTCTTTAAGCCAAAAAGGTTCTTTGTCATGACTCATGCTGCTGCGGTTGCTGTGGCTGCTACACTGGAGACGGATGCATATGCTGTTATCCCTAGTGCATTACGCTCTGGCACAGTCTTTCTCCTGCTTTTCTGCTGAAAAAAGCCACCCCTCTCATTTGCCTTGTTGCTGCCCTTGCCTTCACCCGCTTTCCTTGTCAACTCCCCTCCACAGAACGCATGAAACTGCTAGTTGAAGCTCAAAGGCCGAGAGAGCTGCTCTTTCTACAAATAGGAACTGTGCACCAGTCATTTGAGGCAAGGCAGCAGTTTTGCGGAGGGGTATGAGGCTGAGGGATGTACACTCAGCAGCGGCCCAGTTGGCAGCAATTGGCTCTCGAATGAATATACCAGGGAGAAGGCGTGTGGCCTTCCTTTTAATTAGGACTTTTGCTACCAATAGCAAGTGCTCAAGCTGTGTACGAGACAGACGCTTGACGCCAGAGTGAATACAAGCTCCATATAGAGTTGCAGAGTGTCTTTTCCAAAGATATCTCCCCCTGCTCTTTTTCCCCGCGCCTCACAGAGCTCGCTGCTTGACGAGAGAAGGGCAGCTAGGACGCGAGTACGAAAGTCCTCTAAGCACCTTGACCTTTCGGAGCAGGTTGCATGTTCCATCTAGCGCAAACGCAAGCAACATTTACTGCATCGTGCCTGATACTGAGCTAGCGCGGCTCTTCTTCAAAAAAAAAATACAAGAGATACACCACTAAGCTGGCTCGTTGTTATTTCTTCGATACGGATGACTAGAGGTGTCGTACACGCTCGAGTGCAGCAGAGCCAGGTACATATGAATGTGTGTACACATATTCATATGTACCGCAAATACAGTGCTACTATGCCTCTGAGCCGTCATGCGTCGCATCCAGCTCTCCTGTGCTCGATTGTTCATAAGTCATGGGGCTATTGGGCGTCTTTCTTCGTAGGTTTCGACTGCCTTTCGGCATCTGCATGACCCCCTGGAGCATCGGGAGGGTGACCAGACACGGGAACTCGGGAAAGCACGATCGTGCACTCGCATGCGTCTCTGCAGAAAGACTTTAAACGAAAACGAGCCGTAAAAACTGACGCTCCCATACCTTTTCCATGATAAGGCCAATCGGGAGAGGGGCCCCCATGAGAGGGGCCCCTGTCCTGGACCCCCAGACCCCTCCTGTCTGTCCGCCCTAAAGAAACTACCGCACGATATTTGGGCATTGTCTTCCTTTTCTGTGACTTTCTCTCCAGGAATTCTTCACTCGATTTGGGAGATCGGCTATCCTATTCGTGCAACTGCGGCGTAGGGTGTGCCTGTTCAGTCCACCAGCCGTAGGTTCCACAGTTTCGGGGAATCTGTAGCGCGTGTGCATGCCTGTGAACTGTCCCTCATATGAAGTGTCTCCCAGACATTTGAACGCTTGCCAACCAAGAGCCTCCTGGCGACCCTTAGGTGCCTCTGGCGGATGCTGGCCTACTAGTGTTTGCTCCTGCAGAATGCCATCCCCTCTGCATTCCTTGCTGCTCCTGCTGTTGCTGCTCGCAGCAGGAGCAGGAGCAGCAACAGCAGCAGCAACACCAGCAGCAGCAGCCGCACCCGGAGCGGTCCATACACCTGCCCACGAGCACGCATGCTCGGTGAGCAGCTCACTTGAGGAAGAACTCTCGCGCCTTTTGAACCCCAAGACGCCAAGACTGCAAACGACAGCGGCACGAGTCACGGGTGCTGCAGCAGCCTCGGAAGCAGCCGGGCCTGTAGCTGCCACAGACACACCACTAGACGATGAAGCAAATGAAAGAGGTAGCCTTTCAACAGCAGCTCGCGCCGAAACTGACACTGCAGGAGCCCTTGTTTCTGAACATCCTGCAGCAGCCCGCATGGCTGAAAACACGCAAGCACCAGCGATCTCTTGGGCTATGCAGCAAGCCGCAGCATTAGCTGCTGCTGCGGAAAACGCGGCGGCAGCTGAAGCAGAAGTACTAGAAGCAGCAACTTCGGAAGAGACTGCTGCAGCAGAAGCTGCTCTTACGGCTCCCCCTGGACACATTGCAGAGCTGACAGAAGGTGCCTTGGCGATAGTCCTCGACAAACGCTCGTACGTTAGCCAGAAAGCCCACCTCGGTGAAAATTGACGCCTACGCTTGTGGGCATTCAGACGTTGACAAAAGTGCTCCCGCCTTTCTTAATTGCATGTGCTCTCCTGGTGTGTGCAGCTCAGCTTTGGTGCTTTACGCTCCCCAGGAGTGCGAGCAGAATACTTCAAGTAGTGCCGCTGTATTTTCAGCAGTCACGCGGGCCTTTAAACGGCTCTCTCTGTTGCATCCCGCAGTTGTATTTGCCAAGGTACTAGCTGTATGTACACTGTCTAAGCGGGGTGTGTGAGTGTGTGTCATGAAAAAGTGTCTCCCTATCCGCATGCGGAGGATGTTATTCAAGGGAGTCGGCCGTCTTGAATGCAGCCCCTCCAACCAGGCGCGAGGTGCATGCAGCCTGCGACGCTAATGTAGCCACGAGGCTGTTGGGGCTTTGCTCCTGGTGGAATTTCACGCTCTGGGAGCCAGATTTCCACGCATGCGCGCACGGAGTCGAGTGCTGCTGCGTGCAGGTGACCTCCGTCGGCATGCGGGGTGTGTGGCGGCCACGCATGCGCGTGCGAGACGCGAGTGGCTGCTCATTGTTTCTTTTATTCAAGCCCCAAAAGCCAAGGGATGTACAGAAACTTGGGCAGGAAGGGGCACCGTTAGACACTTCAGAAGCATCAGGAGAGGCAGAGGCATCACGGGTTGAGGGGGAGGAAACCAAGGCGTTCTTTTTTTCTGAAAACGCAACGGAAGAAGATGTCAAGCTGCAAATCCTAAAGTCAGCACGAAGCTCCTCCCCCCTACAGGGGTATACCCCGGCGTTGCTGCATGCATCTGGTTAGGTGTCTTTTTGGGGTGTTTCAGAAAAGGGCATGCAGATGCAGCCGAGGGGCCTCGCTTTCTCCACTTGTGCGTGTGGGGATAGCCGACTAAGAGGATGCCAGCTTGGGAGCTTGTGGTGTCTTGCGCTTGCTGCAGACTTGGCTTCCCTCCTTCCCTGCGGATTTCTCAGCAGCAGCTGTTCAAGCAGATTCTTTTCGAATTTCCGCGGCTCCTCGTGCGCTGCTTCGCAAACGGTGCGTTCAGCGCTGAGTCCACGGAGGCAATCAGCAGCGCAAAGTCGCGACTGCCAACGGCAGACGCAACCGTGAGGAAGCGCTGTTGACACTGCATGGAAGGGTAGACCGTTTGAGGAATGAGATATTGTGTAGAATGTGTCTCGACTTTTGCTGCAGCTACCGATGTGAAGCCCGTTCCCCCTGCAATTCAGAAAGCGGCGAGTCAACTGCCTATTATTGACATTGCAGATCCTTCATGGGCCTCCTTACTCAACGTAAGTCCTACTCTATGATTTCAAGCCAGAGCAATCCGCGAGTAAAATTCTTCCACCCCTATTTTTTTTACTCGAGCAGACCGTTCATCAAGTCACCACAAGCCGGTGAAGGCTGCTGCCACTTTAAAAATCTTCTTTCTGCACAGGCACAGGCTCCCTGTCAAGTGCTGATTGGACCCAAAGGCTCACATGCTTCCTTCTCGCTGGTGGATGCCGAAAATACAGACGAGCAGGCAAGTATTCTTCTATGTTTCTCTTCCTCATACATTTTTTCCGCTGGGAGTTACCCTACTGCGCGCGTGCCTAAAACGGTAAACGCTTCTCTTCTCTGCCTCTGTGAAGAAGCCCCTCAATTTTTCTTACTCTTCTTCATTCTCTGCCGCTCCCTGCCTCTTTGCGAAAGCCCTAGTGGCTGGCGCCTTCATCCGTTTTCTCGCTATCTTGAGAGGTTTTTCACAAGGGCTAACGGCCTCGGCGGTTCTGTTCGTTCGCCATTTGTTGCTTTTGCGCACCGCTTTCGCATGTTGAATCTCCCGCGTGGAGGGGCCTGCCTGTTTCTGCCTCACGCAGAGTGAAGTGTTTTCTGTGTGGCGTGTGCGGCGATGCAGCTGCGGCTGATGCGCGCTTTACAAGGAACCGCCACAGTCCACACGCTGACGAGCCACACTGCCCCCATAGTAAGTCTCCCGGGTGTCTGTGTGGAACGTAGATTCTCGAGTCGATGGAATGACGGCGCGCAAAGGCGTTCGAGTGTACGCAGTGCGTTTTTGCCGCGTAAAAGAGGCGCAGCCGCCTTCACACGACTCCTGCTACAAAGCTGGCATTTGAACTACGGATTTGTGGCGGCTGCAGATATTCACTGAATCACGCCCCGTGGCATTTTTCTTTGGCGGATCGGAGCCTGCAATTGTCGAGGACTTCGCGGTGGGTACTTGTCGGTCGGGAGTGTTTCCGAAAAATCCCTCATGCAGAATACACCACCAACCGCAGGCGCCCCTTAGCTTCCCTGTTTAGCCGCAGCCTGCAGCAGGTTTTTTAGTGGAGGACGAGGACTAGTCATAGTAGGGGTAGGAGTGGAACCTATGTAGCAGTCTTTAGAAAAGGCGAGATTCTCACAGAATTTATTCTTCGATATATACACACACACTCGTAAATAGCAAGGTTCGTAGGCGTGTGCACTTCTCGTGATGGCGTGCATCGAATCTGTCGTCTACAGCTTTCCATGGCGACAATGGAGTGGGGCTCATTGTTTAGACGCCTTACGTCCCTTTCCCGCAAAAAAACACCCATCCTACCCCCTTTTGTATCTTTCTGATGGTTTTCGTTCATGCAGTTCGCAGAGGCAGCCGCCTCATGGGGGGGATCCGTCACATTTTGCAGCTCCCCGCGCCCCTCGTCGCTGCAGAGCCGAGCCATTGACTACATTGGAATTCGAGAAAAACGGCTTCCACAGGTTACTTCTTTTATCGTGAACCCTAGGCCGTATCCAATAATAGAATTAATCGTGATACTCCTTTAACCGACTCATTTTTTCAACAGCGCAGGCGATAGCGAGGTCCCGGCAATTACGGTGCTGGGCTCATAGAAAGTGTACGTTGCGCGCACATACATATACATATATATACATCATTTTAGAACGCTTGTTCAGAGAACGCCTCATTTTCTTTTACGCGTGTTTCTCGCCTCTTAAGACGTCGTATCTCCTGTTTGAGTGTTCCTCTGGTACTTGTTCTTTTCTCTCTGTTCACGGAAGTGCAGGGGACTCTAATTTGCTGCATTTTTTGCTTAGGTTCTGATTGTCAGTGATATCGACGACCCTAAAAAGACCACGAAGTACATCTGCCCGAATATTTCTACCAAGCAGGCGATCACCGAATGCCTCAGTAAGTAGTTGATTCCCTCTTCTGATTTGTTCCGCTGCATTTGACGGCGTATCAGTCGCCTTCTCGTTGGGTATGGCTGCTGTTCCCCTTCAACTTTCTGCAAGCTCTATGCTACTACGATTTATCTCCCTGATTTTCACAAAGGCGAGTGCCGCTGCTCTATTACTGCTCGAGAGCGTCTAACACTGTAAGAAACCGAGCGACGTGTCAGGTGGATAGGCACTACCTCGAGCGCATGGCTGCCCATGTATCCTCAGACGCATTCAAAGAAGGAAGGCTTCAACCCTACTATAAGTCAGCGGAACCACCAAAGATCCAAAGAGGACCCGTATACGTATGTCTTTAGGCTCATGATTAAAGGTCTAGCTTGGTCAATTGGCATTTGTGGCCTTTCGCTTTTGCCTAATTGAACTTTTTCGATTCCTTATATTTCAGGGATCAGGTGCGTGTGGGGCTTCGCAGGAGTTGGTGTCATCTCAGTTCAAGGCAGTAGTAACCAGTTCCCCTCAGGAGGTTTTGCTGCTCCTCTATTCTCCTAACTGCCCTCACAGCGCAACCTTCATGCCCATCTTTGAGGAGGTAGGGTGATATCTAGCATGCGTTTGTTACCAGATGCTTTGGTGACCTTTCTTTGAATGCGTGCGTTTGATGTATGCGCTTTTCTAACGGCACCAAGAAGGCTAAATCTATCGATTTCTGCTGCTGCGTGCTGCTACTGGGGGGAAAAGGCGTTGCTTCTGTAGCCGCACGCAACAGCATGCACGCCAATGTTCAGGTCTGGGTGCAGTTGGTTGGGGAGGTATTGATCCGCATGACTATCTCTTCGTGGTTGACTGTATTTGTCCAAGACATGAGCTTTTCAAGCTCCCCCAGCGGTTTAGCTAACAGCTGCGTGCTGTATGCATCTGCTGTGTTACCTGTTCTAACGCAGCTAGCCATTCGAGTAGCACACGAGGAGTCGCTGCTGCTCGCGCGGATGGACGGCACAAAAAATGAAGTTGCAGGCTTAAATGTCGCCGCTCAGACCCCAGAAAAAGAGGGCGAAGAACAGTACGGAGTGTACATGCATCCAACTCCAGTAAGTGTGCACGGTTACCCCGTGATTCTTTTTTTCGCAAAAAAAGATCCAATTCAGAACGCTAAGGTGCCCATTGTGTACACGGGCCCCCGCACGGCTGAGGCCCTCAGAAATTTTGTAGTTTCTCAAACAGTGTTACAGGCCCGTGAAGACTTGTGAAACGTTTCTTAAATCGCATGGCTTAAACTGAAGTTCGTTCTATTTGCGGACGCCCGTCTGGATTTGAAACGCCAACTCACAGAGCTGCTGTTTTATCTTCCCTTAGTCCATGCCGACACACCCACAACTTTGCCACTGCTCACGCGCCTATGCTGCGGCCACTGAGAGTAGCATGCCTTTTCCGGCATCTGCAGTAGCAGGATCAGGAGGAACAGCACAAACTGTCGTGTTGTGATTCTTGGTAGCTGCCAGGTTCGAGGCCGAATTGGTTCAAAGAAGTGAAGGCATGCCCTAATTGCTGCAGCCAACACTGTTCTTCCCCCCAACTGTAAAGAACGGCAGTAGCTGCTGCTTCCGTTGTCCCCATTATTACATGCGCATTTCTTTCAGCTCACTTTTCGTGTCTCTGCGCAAATGCCTGCGGGTTACATGTTCGCTGTATAGACACATTCATGCTCGCTGATAGAGCAACAAAAATGATTTAGTGTTCAGTGCAGAGCTAAGCACTTAAGCAGTAGGCTATATAGAGCGGTGAGCTCTACCGCTCTGCGTGAAATAACCTGCGAGTTCGGCCAAAAAGAGGTGCGACATCGAATTCCCAGTACTATCAAATGCGGCACCACTACGCTGAGGGGCTTGTACTCTCGCTATTGGATCATTCGCGCTCTATTGTTAGGGCAGGCACCTCAATAATGCGACGTCAAAAACAGTTTTGGGATGAAACGGTTGTTCCTGAAGCCAAGGAAAATACTTTGAATGATTCGGTCCGCTGCTGGGTAGAAATGTAGCTGAGTGATGAGTGCACCTCTATATTCATGGATTTCGCTCTGGAAGATTTCTACCTCAGCAGATACCCTTACGCCACAGAGCATATTAAACTGTGAGGATCCAGTGTGCGTTTCGTCCCCAAATGTACGATTTACATCACAAACCATTGACAAGGAATTATGCAAAGTCCATCTACTTCGATATTCATCTCCCTCCCGCCTAGCCGAATTCTTTATATCGTGGTCTACAGACCTGTTCTTTGAATCCGCTAGGAAGCGCTTTTGAGATGGGCGTGTACATTTTTGATGCTCTTAAGACTTCTAATCCACCATCCCTGACCGTACCCAAGCCCGTCGTATGCTACTCTACCCGAAGCATACGGCACAGGGTTCTCCCCTTAGCTTGACTTTGCTCCTGACGTTGCAGGAGATATCACTATGTCTTCTAATAGCTCGTGTGAGTTGCACAAGGACTCAGAGTACCTTCCAATCCAACACAAAGAAACTAAATTTATGGAGTGCAAGGATACACATGCTGTAGGGCTTGATAACATGCTCAGGACGAGATTTGCCAATGAATTCAAAAATAGATTCGATCCTCTGATCAGGGAGGCTGAATGACAGCTGTGCATATGCCCACCCATATTAAAACTCAACCTGGGGCCACGCTTCAGAGCCACATCTTTACTATTCAAGGGCTTGCTCGCTGCTCATCCTTTTTCCTGTGCTACACAATCATAGGTATTTCTCAGCCATGGAATGCTTGCGCAAGGGCATGCCTGCTTTTTGCTGCTCGTCTTACTGCTTTTGTACCTGGCGCGATTAAGTTTCAAAGAAGAGAAAATTTAAGTGAAGGATGTCGGTGCAGATGAAAGAGTGTTTCCTTGAGGGGACATGGTGCTGGCAAGCTGCATTCTGGCAGCCTAGGTTGTACTACGAAAGCAAGGAAAAACATCGTTGACTGGCCAAGTCTTGTAGCACATTTCAGTTTGTTGCAGTTGAGGGTTACCTCCATACTATAGGTATTGATGCTGCGTAGTTGCGAGCTGAGTTCCTATCTGCAGCTGTGTGCTAATTCTCCGTGTTAGCAAAGAATGCAGCAACTTATTCCCGTGCGCTTCTCTTCTATCATTCTGAAACCGTGCATAGGTGAAGAGGGGCTAGGAACAAAGGAGGCTTGCTTGCAACAAACGCTTATTGCAGACCTTGCTAGCGTAGTGTCCCCCGTACAGCCTCTATCGCAGGATTCTTCGGCCCCAATCCCTGGGGGAATGCACGCCAGAGCATGAAAAGCATGGCTGGAAGCTGATCGCAACGGCCCCTACTTATATTTGCCCTAGGCAAGCTACAGTGCCACGTACAATTTCGATTGCCCCCGCAAGTTCGCGCCTGGGGCGAGCAGCTGCTGTGTGCGAAAAAATGTGATGAGCAGCGATTTACAAAGACCATGCTTGAAGCCTGGGAAAGATGAAAACTCTACATGCTCCATATTCCAGTGTTGCAACGAACCTTTTAGTGCAACCCTACTGGTGTTCGGGATTTCCGCAAGCCTGAATACACTAGCAACTGGAAACCTTGTATTTTTCTGCCTGTTCGCTCCATTATACCTTTGAGCTAATGAACGGGCCGCATATATTTGTCCCTATGTGCCTTGCTTTCTGAATGCCCGACAGCAGCACTCCCCCGAAGCAGCATTCAACTGGTTTCGAGCTTTCAAAGTGACTGTCCGGAGCCGCGCCTCCACTGGGCGTTGATAAGCACAGTCCACAGTACTTGGCAGCGTTTTAGATACAGCATCACCTTTTAAGGATTTTGTCGAACAAATAAAGAGGGCGGCGTTTCTACTCCATGGGCTGCATGCAGCACTGGCCCCTAGGGCCTGCAATTTTCTGCGATCCGGCTACCCGCCCTGAAATTCCAGCATCTATTTGTTGTCTCAACGACTATAAAAGCACGAGGCGCACTTTGATTGTAGCGAAACGCCACAGCGGCACATGGCTGCCTGTCACCGCAGACCATCCTCTGTGCACGTAAGCGTGCGCTGTATTTGAAACTTCTGCGTGAAATGCTGTTGCCGTGGCATTTCTCTGTAAAATACTTCACGGAAAACACAATATGAAGCAACGCATGCAACAGCGGGAGGGGCGGTTCTTCGTGTAGGTCGCTCGCACATGCAGCTTGCCACTGTGTTTCGACAATGCAGTGCCGTCCGAAGAGGACCTGGTGCTGCAACAGAGCCGTCGGCTGTCCTACCTAGTTGGACGCTGCTGCCTTTGGCTGCTCACACGCCTCTGCAACAGCGCTGCCTTGGAGGTGACTGTTGCGAGAGCGACGCTTCCAGGCGGAGAGCATCGCCGTGGGAGCGCCGTCTTTTGCGTGGATTCTCCGTAGCATGCAGACCAGCAGAAGACGCGAAAGGGGCTGCAAGCAGGTCGAGGTCGACTGGTGCGCCTCAGGGTGCTGCAGACGCTGCGACGCAGTGTATCTCCAGCGGGCAGCATACTCCGCTTGCAGCCGCTGCACAGCGAGCGGCGTTCAAGGTACCTGCTGCAGCAGCTGCTGCTTCTCAGACGATTTCGCAGTTGCGGCGGCAGCATCCAGCTGCATTTGCTGCCGTGGCAGCTGCGTGCGCTGGAGGAAAGGCTGACCTGCGTCTCTTACAGGATCCGTTGTGGCTGGCAGCGCTCGGCATTGGATGTGTCTCGCGACATGTCTCGCAACACAGCAGCTCCCCAGAAAGCGTTCCCTGTGTAAACGTGGCCTGGACTGCGGATGCATCGGAGGGGGAGAACGAGGAGGCAGAGGACGGTGCCGTTGCTGCTGCATGCATGGCAGCGGCAGCAGTAGCGGGGGAGCAGCGTCCCTTGCTGCGTCTGCATGCTGCTGCGCTTCTCGGCGAGGCAGCAGCGCTGCTGCATGCGCTTGGAAGGGCGTTGGGGTCCTCTCTGGATGCTGCTCCGTCAGAAGGAGCTCCTTGTTCAGCAGCCGCTGGAGGACGGCCAGCACCTTGCACTGCATCCGCAGCAGTCTTTGCAGGAGAACGCGCGGAAGCGGCTGCACTTGCCGCGGCAGCAGAGGATGCAGGCAATGGGCTGGACTTTTGGCAGCTTCGCATGCAAGTTCTCCCTTTCAGTCTGAGCTTGTTGACGCTTCGCGCTAAGGGGGCTGCACCCTGGAGGGCACAGCCATGCAGCGGTTTGTCTGGCGTGCATGCAACGCAAGTTCAGCAGCCACTTGCTGCTGCTGCTGCTGCTGAGGACGCACTGCTGCTGCAGCAGCAGCTGCAGTCGGCGTTGCGTCTTGTTGCTAAAGTGGCGACCTTTCTGCCGCAGCACATGCATCCGATTCAGCTCCGCTGCCTTCAAGCGCTGCAGCAAGCCGAGCAGCTGACGGCCTTTGTCGCCCTCCAAGGCTGCATGCAAACCAACAAGGCTGTCTCCTCGGCAGCCGTTGCAACGGAGTCGGAAGCAACTTTATCGGATTCTCGGCTGCCTGCAGCTGCGCCTCTCCTGCAGACAAGGCCTCTTCCCGTGAGGCTGGGGGAAAACGCAGTTGCGCAGCGCGTGCTTGGCGAAGCAGACGATCGAACCGTCCTGGAAGCTACAAGTCGTAAGTTCTCCGAGAGAATCTGCCCGACAGGCAGGCAGCGTCTCTGCAGCCTCAAGTGGGAGTAATGTGCTGAGCGAGCCGTGCAAAAATCCGTAAGCATGCGGGGTCTGTATGCTGCGGGGTATAGCAGCCAGCTGTTGCCGATGTTGTGAGTAGTGCTGCTGCTGGTGTGTTTTTCTGTGCTGTAGGAGTCAACGATGCCGGGGAATGGCTGTCTCAAGACTGGTATCAGCCGCAGCAGCAGCAGTCCTTGCAGGAGCTAATGAAACGCATGCTGCTGCCTCAAGACTCCTCCCGCAGTAGTACGTGGTCTTGGACCCTGCAAGGCAGCCGACGCAGGGGGGAGGCTTCCAAGGCAGCGCTTTCCCGTGGAATCTTTCTTCCAACGGTGTCTGCCTCTTGGCGAAACGCTGCCGAGACACCTTTCGTTGCCACTGCGTCTGCAGAAGCAGCAATGGACAGGCACTTCCTGCTGCTGCTGCAACATGCTGCAGTTAAGCTACACAGCCTCCTTACGGCCAGAGTGGGGCCTGCGTTGGCGGTCCGCTGAAGCGCCTGACACTTGGTGCTTCTCTCCTTTTTTACTCGACTCCTCAATTAGATAGTCCATCAACACGTAGACTGCAGAGGCAGCCATTCCCCGCGGCAGCGAGATGGCCTAGGAGTGTGGCACTTGTAGACACGCGGTGCCTTTAGTAAAGAGAGATGTGCAACTCAATCACGGAATGCTTTGAAAAAAAAATCTACTTTTCAAGATACAATGCAGCGATTATCCGCGGCGAAGTGGGTGGGGGAAGGTGGGGTTTCGCGATTTGTAAAGAGTTGTATCTCGTGTTCCCTGGGCAGGGAATGTGTCCCTTTGTGCATCTATGCATCGCATGCTCTAAAGGGTTTCTTTACGATGTTTTCTGGCATTCCACGATGCGTGTGAAAGGCTTTCGCTAGGCGGTCTCCACACAAAGGGGGTAAAGGGCGGATTCTCTTTATTTTTCTCGCCGCGTCAGCTGTAAGAGAAACATGCACGGCCGTCACAAACGGCGTTGGACCTCGACAACATGCGTGCAAGCTATTTCTTGCAGCGTGTCATACTCAGTAAATGCAAGGCCGAACACCGATTTACGGATGCGCCTCTTTCAAAATGCCAGATATGTCTTTGCAGATGCGCGGGGCGTTTCCTCGTAAATTGCGAATCCGAGCGAGTTTGAAAACACAAAAATTCTCGCTTTGTTGAAGTGTAAATGCATTTCCTCATTTCAAGTAAGAAGTCATTTGGGGGGCGTTAGGTGACTGTCTAAGCCTCCTTCGAGCACTACACCAACCACAGAGGTGTTTGTCGGGAATAAAAAGCTAATCTTGAGCTGCGTTTTATTTAAGCACTTTCAGGCGTATTTGAGAGTTTTTCCTTAACGAGCTAAAAGGCACTAGGTACGCATGCTAGGTACTGGCAGATCTTACTTGAGCAATTCTGAATAAAGGACCCCCCATGCAAAGTATTTGCTTAGTGGTAAGCGGAAATGCAGAAAAAACTTTCTAGTTTTTCTCTCCTGGCTCCGTTTCATGCGCTTTCCGCAAGTAGCCTAGTATCTAATAAGGTCTGGTGGATGATTTGTTGGAGTGCGCTGTACCTGCTCCGCGAATCTGTCGCTCATGATACGTCCATGCACTAGACCGCCTCCACTAATAACGGGACTGACTCAGGTAAGCTATGTTTGGTTTCTACGATTTTTCTCTAAAGCAACGCTAGTCCGAGGTCGTTTTGAGCATTGCGCATCAGGGAAAGTCAACAGCAAGTGCCAGGGCAGGCACGACAAAGCATCTCCTGGCAGCGTAGAAGCTAATAGAGGATGCGTTTTCATGTGCTCACCATCAAAAAATTGCAATGAAAATGTTTCGCAAGGGACAAGGAGTTGAAAACCACACTCGAACGACCTAAAGACACTACACATCAGGGCCCTAGAGCCGGGCAACCACATCTGGCAAGCGCTGATTCAACTCGTCGCACTAAAAGTCACTCAAAACTGGATTGCAAGGGCAGCAATCACTGCAAGTACGCCGCCCAGTAGGGCCGAGGCGGACGAAATTGCTGCTGCTCCACTTGGCGGCACTGTCGGAGTAAGCTTGGCCCAAGTGTCTTTTCTGAACAAACACAAGCGCAGCCAAACGAAGACAGCGTCATCTTGCTTGTGCCCCTTGTTTCGCCGGAGTAGTGCAAAGGTGAGTGACAGTGACACGACCTTTGCATGCAACAGGACTAGGGGCTGGTATTGTGTCGCAAGTAGCGAACCGCAGATCTGCGACGCTCGTCTTTCGCTAGGATGGGTGTGTGCCTCTAACGGCATTCATGAGCGCTGCCCTTAATCAGAGTCTACGATGGGGCAGCGAAAGCGCTGCTACGACGTGGGATTGCTGACGTGATTGGCGCGGTCCCTTCGGTGAAAACGCTCGGACTCAGCTCGCACACCACAGCACTCTCTGCGCAGCCGGTGGCGTCGTAACACGCGACTGTTGTGTTTGTTCCTTCGCTGATCAGCGATATGAAATTTGTTGCTGCGCCATCCTTGTAGATCTTTTCAGAAGAAGTGTACACTGGGGGGAGTTCGAGGTCCCTGGATATGAAACGTATGCGTCCTTCACATATGAAATGGCAACTGGTACTACTGTCGAGCCAAGAACTCAAACAAAGGCCGAAATTATGTAAAACAAATCACAAACACTTCAGATACGCAGTCTCACAGGGCATATGAAGCGTGCCGCAGCAAGTGTAGGGGCTGCTAGGGAGGCGTGCTGCAGAAGTGCAAATGTACCTGAACACCTCGTAACCGCGTTCCCACGCTGTCACAGCCTCAGAGCAAGTACCTTCAGTGCCGTGATGGTATAGGATGCTTTTGTTATTTTCCCCGTCCTGAGGAGATATCATTCATAAGTTGAGCACGAGGGCGTCGATTAGCGTTTCCTCTCTAGCCTGGGGCTCACCCCTCTGTTCTTGTGTATGCACTAAAATAATGTAGAGGGTGGTTGCTTAATTGCCCGTACTAGCTTGGCTGGCAGGACCGCCAAGGCACAAACTGCCATGAAGCATAGGATAGGCAGCAGCGCAACGAACGTACTGTGACGGTAGCATTTCCATCAATGATTGCCTGGCATGTAAGCGTTTTGAGGAAGTCGCTGACGGTTGATTCTTTGGTCTTCTCTTCCTTCTGCTGTGCAACAGCAACGAATGGCGCTAGGCCCAGACTTTCTTGGGTACGAAAGTTGTTGATCTCGTCAAGGCAGTCAGCATCTGTGGTTTCCAATCATAAGAGTCGTCCACCGCAAAGGTTTGTTGGCATCGCGCGTGCCAAGCAATTCGTTTTCTACTACGGCTATCGTTAGTACACTTTTTATCATGCTCTAGCCGAAGAGAAGTACAGGCCGGACTGTGGTTTAGAGGAGGTGCAAGATCTCTTTACCAAAATCGTATGCAAAGCATTTGTGCGGCAACTACGTATACACGAAGAAAATATTGTGCTCGAAAGATGTCTTCGCCGTACCACGACGCTGCAAAGTGGGTCTGATCCCTTGGATCTTCAAGATTTTTTCCCATGTCTCTTCACTGATCACAAGAAACAACATGACATGCGGGAGAAGGCTGTGGCATTTCGTGAAACAGATGGACCTGCAGGAGAGTCTACTCGTAGTTACGAGAGATCATATTTATGAGCACATAATACGAGAATGCACAGGCACTTTATTAGTAGGTGGTTCTGCGGCAGCAGACAGCAGGCGATATGCTAAGTGCCAAAATCGGCACATACGGCAACTTAATGAGTGCTTTTTTGTGCTCCTAAAATTTTGATCCTAGGCACGCCACGCGTATGAGTTGCAAGTTGAGTGTACGGATGCTAGCTGCGTACTCTTCGTACGGTGGTATGACCAGAGGCTCACCTGATGGGATTCTCGTTCTCAACCAAAGTCTTATCTTCAATTATACATATAAGTGCGCTGTTAGTGCAACCAGTAGCATTGTAGCAGCCCATTTTGCGCGACCCATCCGCCATCAGGGACACGTATCCAGCTACTGCGCTGTCATAATAAATTCCAGGAGTTTCCTGGTCGTCACCTGAGTCAGTGATGGTTTCCAGGTCTTCGGATTCTGGTGAGGCTGACTTAGGAGTAAAGGCTGGTGGAAGCTCGTTCCTGCATACAATTACATTTGTTGCGCATCAGAGATGGTAAGGCGTCCGGTGCTTATACAGAGGCTTCTTAAACCAGCTAGACACATGACTTGTTGGATAGACGATTATGGGTCATAAGACAACTTGCAACGACATTGAGAGGCAAAGGATGCACCCCAGATTATTCCGTGGCACTGAAAAGGATTGTTGCGAATGATCTACACTCTAGTTAAGTGCTTCTTCGTGCTCTACTTGCCTATAAAGGCCTCGTCTCGCACTTACCCGAACTGCGAGTTCAGCTTCTCCAACCCCGTCTCCCAAAACTTAACGGCTTCTTCGGCTGTGGGGGCGTCTTCCCCCTCTTTGGAATAGAAGATTACCGTGTACCCGTCCGCAGCCTGCCCATCAAGTGTCCAACGGAGCAGCTTATCTTTTGGATGGACGGTGGAGGCGTTGTTGAAAAGTAACAAAGATGCCTTACCAGCGGTTTACAAGTGCACGCTGGTAGAGCACTACGGGCGTTGGACACGCTTGGTTATTTTCATGCACAGGCTAGGTGTCGTGAAAAGCCTTTGACAAGCGAATATTGTGTTTAGGGGCAAAGGGAGATTTTCCTATGTGGCTGCTCTACTGCATCGGACTGACCGCTGGATCGATTGTTGAATTGTTAATATCGTCGCAGGTCAATTTGTACAAGACCTTTTCATACTCCTTGACGGAGACTGAAGTGCCACCTCGTTTGAATCTTCGCTGAGAATTGCTCTGTCCTAGGGCCGTAAAACCGTCAAGATTCAGTCCCTCGGCCCCACGCAGCTTGTTGACCGCCTCCAAGCACTGTGTATGTTCGGGTCCTATAGTGCATGCGTCCAGAAAAAGAGTAATAAAGAGTGGTTGTTTACAACTGTCTAATATTCAGCTAGCCTGTTCGCGGTGATATATATATATATATTTCTTAGTAGTAGCTCTTACCGTGAGCTTTCAGTGTGGGTTTCGTCTTAAAGTATTCCTCAACCTGATGCCATATTTGGGGGCTGCAGTGGCATCATAAAAAAGAGTCAATATATTCTTTGTAGTATCCGTTTTTATGTACACGTTCTCAATAGTGCACGCTTGACAATAAGTGCTGGATAGTGTAATCTAACCATTGCGTAATGCGTTCAGGCACCATGCATGCTGCAGATACAATCGGGAATCCTGTTTTCGAACCCTCGCTCAAGCTTATATATGACGTGCCAAAAAGTCCCTCGTACGCTCACGTTACAGGATAAGAGCCTTCTTCAATACCGGATGGTTTGAAGTAGCAGACAAGCACACTATTTTCATCGGGACACCCTTTTGGATGCCCACAGTAAATCTTCTGTTCGTTCTTGCTAAGCAAGCTGACAAGGGCTGCAGCATTTCCATTTGCGTATTTGTCGGTGTTGTCTTTGTACTCCGGAGGGTACTTGTTCCTAAGAAATGCATATAGAGGTCGACCCGCACTACTGCTGTGCTGCAGTATCATATACCGAAGACTATGGAAGTGGGAGAAGACCGTGTAATTTTTTTCCAAGCCTACTTAAAAACTGTGAATCCAGTTTTCCATTGCTCAATAGCTTCTTTGCATGTGATTTCAGTTCCCTCTCTTGTTGCTTCGTTTTTCACGGCCGAAATCACGAATAATTTAGCTTTGCTTTCGTCACTGAGAAGGATGAGTTCTCTTTCGTCTTGGCCCTCTTCTTCCAGCTCGTTGCCTCTTCCCATGTCATCCGTTCCTTCCGTGTCGCTTTCCTCGGTCTGCGCAACGAGATTTTGGAAGCACTCTCGTATTCTCTACGGAGCGAAGGACTATGTGAATTGTAAATGAATGACGGATATAACTACGTGTTAAGGTAATGAAGTAGATGGGTATTCACTTGGCAACCTACGATGTGGTTGAAGCTCCCGCGCTTGAGGGCATCACATCCAGTGGAAGCCAAAAATTCTTTGAGGTGTTTGGTGCTCTTCGGAATCTCTTCCAAGGGCTCGTAATCCACAGCTGAGGGGAAAACTTTTTTTCTCCAAGCGTTGATTTCTTCTGTGCAATGTTTTCCTTCGTTGCCACCCGCTGAAGAGTACGGGGACAGCACATGAATCCGAGCTTCACGCATATCATATCTATCAGGAACGGTTTTTCTATAGCAAGACTGCAAAACTAAAGGGTCATGACTTATGTTTTATTTGGTACGGCAAGTAACACCTCGCTACAGTGCCCCTTCCTGTTTGTTTCTCTGCCCATAACCATAGAAATTCCGTGCAAATTCATTGAAACGTACTCAGATCAGTAAGCTCAGAGGCATTATTTCCGGAACTGGCAGCCTGGAGCACAATGGTACGGTGTCCGACGGCAGCGACAAAGTGGCCGTGCGCCGCTGCCGCTGCAACCGCAGTCACGGCAAAAGTGCAAAGTGACTTCATTGCTGGCGCGGCTGAAACTAAGGATGCCTCCCAAGCAAAATGAAAATGCAAATATTGAAATGGCTCCCACTGGAATGTTTCATTTACGGGGGGAACGACCTCTCTGATGCAGTGCGCTTGGTGCTGCGGCGGGGCCTGCCCTGTCGATTGCGCCGTGTCCCGCGAACTGCACCCGGTTGGCACGGGTATTGCTGCACTCATATCCCATTAAACTGAGCACAATAACATTAATAGCTTGCGGTAGCGGCATTCATGTATGTTTTTGCGTAGTGCAGTGCTAGGAATTAGCCACCATGCAATGTTTGGATTTGGCCTCATGTGACATGGTGGGAATGGGCTTTGTGGCAGGGCGTGAAGTGCTTACGCTAGGACTTTCGGCTAGTGCTTTTAAAAGGCATTGATCAGCGTAATGACTTTTTTTGATTAGAAACAGTTGGCAGTGATGTAGCAAGCATACGTTCTCTCATTTTGGCCACTGCGAATAGCTGGGGTCACTTCTCCCACGGCCACAGTGCAAAGTCCACTCACGCCACAACGCAGGTATTTCGATGTGCTTTCTATCCTATAGGCTGCCTGAATGACTGGCCTGGTGTTTGACTCTATCTGCAAGAGCATGTGCTTGCTTAGCATGTGCAACCAGTTGATGTATTGCAGTACGCCTGCCAATACTAGAAGAAAAAACAGCCTTCTTCGTAGCTTTTCAGGCCATACAAAGCCCTCTAATTTCACTTGATTGCTTTGAAAATGTTGAAACCGTATTCAAACAGTGAAAGCTCAACTCTGAGCTATGCAGTGTTTTTGCACAATGCAGCATACCTTAAAGTGGAGCGAAGGTATACATGTTCTTTGAGCGACCGTTTAGATGAGAACAAATAAGTCGTGGTATTATCTAGAGGCACCACTTTCTTGCTCTCTTGTTGCCGACGCAGTCTCTGTAGGTAAACTCATATCGTGGAGACTCTTGTGAAAAAGTGCCTCCAGATTAGAACAAGAAGGTAGGGGAGCATGGAAGTTTGCTGTCAGAAACTGCGGTTTGCGGCCAGTCATCGCATGTCGTTTGCTCTAGTGCATCATCACGCTAACCTCGGCTCAAGACCCGCATAAACCTTTATGCGCATAGTTGTGCTAGGTTGTAAAAGTGCTATCGCATCGCAACCTGTCACATTCAGGGAAATGTGTCGCCCGAACAGGCGTCTTCCTGTAGTCTCTACAAGCACTTTCGCGACTTTGTCGTTAAATTCATACACAGGCTCGCTGCAGTCAGGTTCTTCCAAGCATGAAACGAGAACAGCGCTGTACTGCTTGGGCTAGCTACGCCGCAACCACGTAAACAGCTGTGTACTTCGTTGCGGGGCTTGATGCGTCAGGGTAGGAAGCGGTGATATGTGGGCACAATCAGAAACAATCCACGTGCATAGTGCTTTAGGAGATGAAGGATTCTGATATTTGATCCCTTATGGCGAATGTGGTTGAGGTAGATTGTGTCCGTCTGTTGCCACAACATTCTTTGACACCCTGTGGGTGGGCAAAGTGGTGAACACAAAAACTTGCCCAGTGGTGACATGAGCTCGGTTCTAAAAACATGTGTGCCATGGCTCATCCACTAGGTGACGCTGGTAGCGGCACGAAACGTTACCGACTCCCATAAGCCACGCTAGTCTAACAAGCTCGAGGTTTCGACTTGTATTCTTACCTCTCACCAGAGAGCCTTGCTGACTGAAGAAATACACTGCCGTCAACGAAGCGTATTCCTTTCTGAAACATGCTAAAGAAGCCATCTTCATAGCGTACATCATCATGGGTATACACAGACGGAAAGTTCGTCACGTGAATATCATTTCGGGCTTGATGCTATTACGACACTAAAACACTGTGATTCACCTATTTTAATAGAACTGCAGATTCAAAAGCTTTTGACAATTTTTTAAATACGCTGGATAAGGCGAATCACGAAAGGAGCTATTTTGGGCTTGGTTTTAATTGCTGTGAACAAACACGCGCTAGAAGGCATGACCCCACCTCTGTGCCAGCTCAAGGGCCTGCATCCGCTTGGAGCGCTAAACTCTCTGTGAGTCTTAAAGCACGAGAGGATTCAATTGATGTTCCCGTCGCTAGTTCGCTCTGTACCGCATACACAGCAGATTAGTGGAACGACGAAAACTGTGGATAAACGAATTTCCTATGCTCGATACTTGAAGCCAGACGATACAAAGAGGAGGCATATCATGCATTGTAATCTCTTGGCAAAGCTTTTGAGCAACTGTGACACATTCAGCCATAGGAGGCAGGATACGAAAATGCCCATAACACCAAGAATAGTAGGCCTGAGCACTCGAACAAATTCCAAATCCATGGTAAACATCTTCGCTTCACGAGTGATAGTTTTGCTGCTACGTTTTCGTGCAGTATGTGCCACTCATATGGCATGAAAACGTGATTCCAGGCAAAATACACGCCTTCAAGGCGACAAAAACTAACGTGACAACGTTATGAAAGCATATTGGTAATGCTGAAATGGCATGTACCCCAGGAACATCAGGTGCAAGGATCTTTAAGAGCATTGTCTTTGAAGTATGTGTGCAGCCATTAGGATATTCAATGACGAAACCGATTATGAAAGCAAATGGTGAGAACCCTTCAAGATATACGAGACTAAGCAAAATGAGCTTGTGTATGTACTTTTGTACTAATTTTTCAATTTCGCAATGCGTAGATGGGTTGCCAAGCAGGAGGGTGAAATAGGTCGTGTACCGTGAGTGGCGTTGAAGGACTGTATTGTGGGAAAACCTACTCTCTGTCCGGCAAGAAAGAGTAAATTACAGAGAATCGTACATTTAAGAAGTCACAAGCACTTCTTCCGAGGCGTGCACGCATAAATATAGCACTTGAAGATTGTAGCTCGCTAAAGTGGACCCAACAGGAAGCTTTACACTACTGAACACTGGATTGTATGCTGAAGTGGCCGCCTGGCTGGCCTCTTTAATGTAATATTCAATTGCCTTGAAGAAATACTGTACCGCAGCGGCGCTCTTTCCATGCCACACGTACATATTATCACGCATTCTAATAAAAGGTACGGCCCGCTAATCAAGAAATATCCTAGCAGCCCGAAAGGGGAAACATCGCTCTTTTTTTATAAGAGTAGGATATTATGCATCTTAAGCAGACAAATTCGTTGAATGTACGTCAAGAGAGCCTCAGAGATGAAATCCATTGCTCAGGAACATGCACATCCTCATGTTGATGACACTGTTCAACCAACCACCCTTCAGGCAGTGGCTCTGTAGTGAAGCCGATGCTTGGGCAAGTCATTTTGAAGGATGTAGCTCCAAGCGCATGCTTCCACGTTTTGCCGGTTGCTTATTCTACACCGCGCGATTAACGGCTTGCATAGATGTGGCATTGCTGTGATATAGTGTTCTTCAGCATTTAGCAATACGAAACTAATCTATTGCATGACTGCTCTACTGCATTCGGAGTAGCATCGACCTGCAATTCTTCAAACCAAAATTAGTCCTAATACCTGCACAGGGTAAAAGAGCTTTCGGGTGGATACCTGAGTGTCAGCAAGGTTTTGAAACGCATGTACAGCGATGACGCGCCTGGCAAAGGGCCAAAAGGCTTCTCAACATGAGATTCTAATACCACGTGCTTCGTGAAAGCAGTATCTCCTTTAACTCTAGAAAAAGACTTTGAAGGAGGGCAAAAGTTGATATCAGGCGGTCGGTTCGCTAACTTTTTTCACAGGGCCAACATACGAGAAAGTAAGTAGCCAGATAAGGAGAAGTATCAAAGTTCGGTAGCGCATGGCAGGACTTACCATGAAGTTCTCAGTTCTAGTTAAATGGAATCTACTCGAAAACGTGGGGTCTCCTCATTTCGAGCAGCGGGGGACGTAAATAATGGTCACCCTGGTATATCATTTCGGGGTTAGCATCGTAATTTTGGCTATGTGTAGAGCGTCATGCAAAGGCCTCAAAGATTCTAAGTTCTTACACTACTTACTCACAAGGCGAACACTCATTCTTCGTAAAAGACATGCAAGCACTTCGAAGGACCACCTGCCTGCATAAATATTTTGCCAGTTTTACATAGAATGGTCGACGCCTAGTCGCAGTTGACAATTGCACGTTGCACAAACTCCACAGACATACCCTTTTAGGAGCATCATAGTCCAAGCATTGGGTTCAATTTTTCTCAACAGATCCTGTCTGCAAGTGTATCACGAAACGTATGGTATGGATAGAACAAGTTCGCCGAACACTGCCGCAGACCGATGCAAAGGGGCAAAGGCTTGTTCAGGTAATCAAAGCCACTGCCTCGACAAGCTTTGAAGAGGCCAACACAGTTATGATCCGAGAGGAATTTCACCTTGAGCAGCTCACTGCTGTCGAACAAAAGGTGTAACAGTATGGCACCACGGAAGCCGACGGCACCCCGAAAACACTGACCTGCGTAGTGTTTGAAGCTGCTGCTGCTAATTTCATAGTGAGCTGGCTGGGGCATTGTACATCGTAAAGTCGTAGTGTATTCACATGCTGATTTAATGTCCAAAGGAGTTGCTGGGCAGCTAGCCACATTTGTGCTTTTGCATACCGAATAAATGATAAAGAAGACGGCTACATGTGCATAGGAGCAGCTTAATGGCTTGCTAGAACATGACTATCTTCTATCCCTACACGATAGTGAAGTATTCGCTGTTACCATGACATTGAAGCTGCCTGCGATGAGGCTGTGACATCACGAAAACATGGCTACGAGAAGGTAAGGTACATTTGAACTTGTGCATCAAGCCTACCTAAGAGACCCTACACTGGCTGTGATACGCTTCATACGCTCGCTGGGACCGCGTTTCTAAAAGCTTTCGAGTTTGTCTTGCATACTTCTGGCATTATTGATTGAGGTATCTGCCACCAGTAGGCAGTATTCCATCTATGCAGGATGAAGAGGATGTCCGTCCCACTAACTCGCAGCCCCCAAACATTCACCACTTCCCCCAGAACGACGCAGTAGCTAGGCTCGCAGGCTACAGCAATGTCTGTACATAGACTGGCCTTGTAGCATGCAGTAGAACTGCTGAGCCTCTCGCTCCTTTGCGGCACGAAGCTGGTTGCTGCACCCTGGTTGTGGTCATCCATAGAAAAGCGGCTTTCACGTCCGCATCTCCGCGCGGCGCCAGACACATGCTGACAGACTAGCCGTTAAGGAGTGGAGCAGAAGACAATCGTCTGCGTGTTGAAGCCAAGATTTACGATCCTAAGAAAGAACGTATCCTGAGGCATCGACCAAGCACCCACGCCTTTTAAATAATCAGTGAGCGTAGGCGTCCAAGGGAGCAGAATATGCTGCGTTTCAAAAGAGCACGCCGCACTTCAGGCCTTTCGTCCACTACAACCCTACTGAGCAGCACGTACTTGGCTGCGGCGGTGCCTCCATACCAATTATGATATGTTGCCTTTGCGCTGTGTGCAGCGCCAAAGTGTCTCCTACTACATGATGCGCACTGTTCTATGAGCCAGTAGGCAATAAGAGCACAGTCGCAAATTGAAGCAATGGCAAAACTGGTATTTCCATCACTGCGTGTGTCCACTTGCAAACTGTACATGCTCAAAATAGTTGACAGTGGAAGAAGAGCAGGGTGGGTGATATGGTTCCGAGGGTGCTCGAGTTGTTTGCGACAGTCCTGAAAGCATTCAGTTGGAGCCTAATATGGCTAAAACTGTAACGGCCTCCTGTCCTGTGGCATTCATCGTTGAGTATTAGCGGTTTTCCAATCAGTTATTACGCTTTCGCATACGCGCAAGAGAGATTTTGCGCTTGGTACATCAGGCTGAGACGGCGTTTACACCAGTTACTTCTCCATTAGGGTGCAAATTACGTAGCTAATGATTTGGCGTCGTCCATCTGCATTCGTAAATAGGTTTTGGATATGCTTGTGAGCGCGTTGCCCTACCTGTGCTGCTATGTTTTACTCGAATGCTGGATCGCCTACTGTATTGATGTCCCCTACAAAAATTGTTCGCGCGGTGTCGGGCCAGCCAGGCAACAAGCGCCACGAAACGATTATAGCGCAGTGTACGCTGACGGGAAGCGAATACACCCTACGCCTCTGTAGAGCCGACAGGATGCTGCCTTTGGTGCGGACAAGGCCACCTTTCGCCTGCCCATGCGCTTGCTACCGTGCATGCTCCCTTTCGCCTTCAACACTCTTTGGAGAATATTTTCCCGGTCCATAGTCTTAAAGTGCACTTCACTGGTCGCATTACAACGCTTTGACGAAGTTGCAGACATGAAAGCGTTATTCACAAATGTGTGTTCCTCGCCAGGCATACGAGAGCTTTTCTTTAGCTACATTAATGATCCTTACACCCTAACAATACCCACATGCCCATGGAAAGGTGAGCATAGGCTGGAGCTGGAAACTTATGAACATAAACTGAGCAATGTCTGCTTTTGAGGTATGTAAACGTCCACATAAAGTCTCCGTAGTAGTGAGACGGAAGCAGCCCTAAAGGCATCGAGAAGCTTTGGAAAGCTTCTTGTATTACCCCAGAAGACTTCCGCCTATCCCTGACCAAACCTGTCGGAATTCCCGACTTGAGGATAAAGCAAGACCAGGGAGCACGCAGCTGCACCCTTTAAGCACTTCATGCATTGACAACTAGTTGCATATCGCATCTAGAGCACATGCACTCTACATCGCATCTTGCAGTGTCGCGCTGGTAGTACCCCGCAGTGCGCGGGGCACACGAACAGACATGCCCTTAGTCAAGCCTCTAATGAATTCTCGGCTGAATTTGATTGGTGCTAAGGAAGTGCTCAATTGTAGTTTGTGGCCAATTACAACGCATCAATGGCAAAAGTAGTCCCATGTCGGTCGACTTGTGCGCCCTTAGCGTGGCCTTCTTCCACTGAAAGAGTTTTTTAAAGCGCCTTTTCGTACTACTGCCTGCTTTCTGACTCTTTGGCGACTGATAGCGGGAATACTCGCATGGCCTAGCGGAAGAGCCTGGCGTCCCGAAAGGCTGCACTCAGGTGACCTTCGAGCCACTGTGTGCAGCAACACAGAGACACTCTTCTCAGCATACTTAAAATTCTAATTGGGGCTGAGTAGTACAGAGCCGTACACTGAAATTTAATGTACCTTAAAGTGCCTAATCTCTTTGGACTGCCTCCGGCCCGCCAACCGTGCGCTATCCAGACTCCCAACGCCCTGTTCTGCCCATTCAGAAGCAGTAAAATGACAAAACCCTGACAGTGAGTCATGAATTCTTTGCCGAGTGCAGCCAATTCAGGTGTGCTACTCGTACACCTGGCATACCATACCACGCCTGCCCACCGTAAAGTCCCAGACAGTTCCTGAGGGTAGCGGGGTCATGGCAGCTTTCCTTGAAGAAAGCAGCACCAACCAACGCCATATTCCCTCCTATTGAGCTAAATGTGTGGCTTTTAAGCAATGACGAAGGCAAAACTTGTCAAGGGGGCTAAGAACTTCTGCAATGCCGCTTCTTTCCTGCACCATGCAGACACACATCTCCAGTCAACGGGCCGGCAGCGGCCGCCGCTGCTTGCAGCCCTCCTTGTGATCGCAGCGTTTGTCCCTTTTCCGTCGAATTCGCGCGTTTAATGAATTTCCAGGTGTTTGTCTGCTCCGTATTTGCCGACAGCAGCCGGCTCTATTTGTACATGGCGGCAGCTCGCAGCCGTGCGTACAGAGTTACCCATGCTTGGAGCTCCCGCCGTGTCGAAGGCATGGGCTAGGCGGCGATCTGTGGTGCTATCGGATGCCTTTCAGCTCCCTCTAGGTACTATCTTAACGATGTTTTAGACGTATTTTTACCATGCTTCCATCGTAATCAGAGTCTTTTCCTGTTGTCGCGTACAGCTGGCCCGGCCCCCCCTTCCCCTCCAGGCTTTTGCTACTGCTGCGGAGCCACGCTCTTCTTCTCCATGACGGCGCGTCCAGGTCGTCTTTTTTTCCTGCCTTCTGCATGCAGCGCCTGTTCTCCGGCTGCAGCTGCTGTCTGTGTATCGGCTCAGAGCACCAGTTACCTCTGCCTACTTGCCTCCTGCAGAGTCTCTTGAACCTTTCGACTGAAGGGCATCTTTCCAGCAACAAACGCGGCGGCTGCAGCTGCCGCTGCGCTGCGGCTGTGGGAGCCGCAGCAGCTGCACGTGCTGCTGCCTCTGAAGCTAAACACGGCCACGTAGCAGGCTGCTCACTCCACAAGAATGGATTTGCTGGATGTGATTGTTGGCCTTCCGAAAACGAATGTCACGAAGGCACTGCACCATACACCGCGTGCGCTGTCTCAGGAGGAGAAGCGGCGGCGTCTTCTCCAGCAGCAGCAAGGCCATAACCACGAGCAACACATGCTGAAGGAAAGGCAGTCCAAAAATGCCGAAGCACGTCAACAGCATAAGCAGGAGCAGGAGCAGCTTAGGCATAAGCAGGAGCAGCAAAAGCAGGAGCTGCAGCAGGAGCGGCAGCAGATCGTGAAGCAGCTAATCACGGCAAACCGCAGTGCTCTCTTGGACCGTCAGGCTCAGAAAGAGGTTCGTGTTTTGACCAAGCGGCTGTTGAAGGTTGAGGATCATTTGCAGTTGCTGCAGGCGGGGAAGCCTATTGCATCCGACGTTGGCAGCAACAGCAGCAGCCCTGCAGCTGCGGGTTGCCTAGGCCAGGCGAGCAGTGCTGGCAACGGCAGCAGCAACAGCAGCAGCAGCAACGGCAGCAGCAGCAGCAGCAGCAGCAGCAGCACCGTTTCAAAGGATGAAGTCCATAGGAGCGTTCACGCAGCTCTGCAGCAGCAGCTGCAGAAGCGGCAGCAAGAGTTGTTGGAGCAGCGGCACCAGCTGGAGGAGGCTGTACAGCGTCTCAAGCGGCAGGGGAAGTTGTCTAAGGGAGCAGCATCAGCAGCAGCAGGAGCCGCTGCTGCTGCTGCTGCTGCTGTCAGACTGCCCGTGGCGAACCGTGTGGGTTCTGGTGTGCCTTGGGATGGAGGCAGCAGCGGCATTCGTAATTCCAGCAGCAGGAGCAGCTGGACGGTGCAGCGAGGCGTCAGCAGCAAGTCGAAGAATACACCTCGAATGCATCCCTTCTTCAGCAGCAGCAGTCATAGCAGCAGCAGCAGTAGGGGCGGCACTGGCACGGTGATAGTGAAGAGGGAAGGCGGCATGAAGGTTATTCGACACATCTGCAGCACGTTAGCGGACAGAAGCAATCCAGATGTTCGCTTGCTGCGCCAGCGTCCTCCAGACTTCGAGAGGGGGGAAGGGGGGGTGTCTTGCGAGGCTCTCAAGGCTGCAACAGCCGCTGCAGAAGCAGCAGCAGCAGCGGCAGCAGCGGCAAGCATGTCAGCTTCATCCAGAGCTGCTGGAAGTGCTGCTTTGCGAGCAAAAACGCTTCAAGAAGCTTCAAAAACGGATGCAGATATCGATATAGTCAAAGGTGTACGGCCGTGGACGCCCACCACGCAAAAGATTTCACAACAGCCTCGATGTCTGACTCCTTCGCAGCAGCAGAAGGAGACGCCAGCGCGGAGTCTTCAAGATGAACAGCACGAGCGCACGCAGCTGAACGAGGCGCGTTCAGCGACTGGAATATTCGCCTCAAAGGAGCGAGAGCAGCAGCAGCAGGAGCACGAACAGGATCAGGAGCAAGAGCTGGAAGAGCAGCAGCAGAGAACTAAGGCACGTTCTAGCGGCCAGTCTAACGCACCAAGTAAGCGTAAGAATTTGCTTCTTACCGTGGCGGGGAACAAGCAAGCCTTGCAGCGTCAGCGGCAGCGGCAGCTGATGCTGCAGAAGCTGCTCAAGGAGAAGCAACAGCAAGAGCAGCTGTTGCAGACGCAGCCTCACGCCAAGGAAAGTGTGGTCTCCTTTCAACCGTCGCGCGTGCTGCAGCCACGGCAGCAGCGAGGGGTTGCCTACTCTGCGCAGCCGCTGCAGCAGGCAAGTCTGCCTTCTCAAAAGCTGCCTTCTCAAAAGCTGCCTTCTCAAAAGGGTTTGACTTTGCCTCCAAGTGCGCGTCTGTCGGTAAGCTTGCCAAAGGGAGCGCTGTCGAAGCAGCTGCTGAGGCAGCGGCAGCAAGTTCAGCAGCGTCTTGGGATCGCACGCCTCCCCCCGCGTCAGGGTAGAGCAGAGGGGGAAGCCTCAGGAGAGAATAGCTGCTGCTGCAGCGAGGAGGGGGAGTGGGGTGAAGAGGACGATCCTGCAGATTCTGACATGGATTCGTTCATCGATGATGACGAGCTGGAGGGCGAAGACGCTGCAGGAGAGCGTGGCGATGGCAAGACGCTTCAAGAGACTGACTGGCGTGCTGAAATCAGGGCAGTCACGCGCTATGATCCCTCCGCATACGCGCACTTGGACTGGGAAGAATGTGTAGAAAGCAGCTTCCAGCAGCAGGCGGAGGAGGAGAGGCGAAGTAGGATGCTTGCGGACGAAGAGGACAGACGCGAGCTGATGCTTCTGCAGCAGCAGAAAAAGAGACGTCTCTGTAGCGCTTCTTAGAGCTCTTGCAACAGCTTCCTTTCATGTGGGGTGTCGAGTAGTCCCTCCATGATGGTGATGGTGGTAGTTGTCGTTATTGTCATTGCCGTCGTAGTCGTGGTTGTGTTGCTGCAAGAGCTGCAGAAGAGGGAGATGTTGCCGTGGCTGTATGGGGTGTGGAGTGGTGTATGTGTATGTGCGTTGCATGCAATTGTGGAGGTTGCAAGAACAAGCGGCATTCTTCTGGATGCAGAAAAACGGCACGCCTACTAGGGGGTTGCCTGTGCCACCTGACACTGACTGCCCTTAGAGGCGCGGCAGGCACGTGCTGCTCTCTCCGTGGGGTTGTGTGTTTTAGTACATGCATGCAGCTACCCCGCTTGCCTGCCTGGGGAGAGCCATTGCGTCCTAACCTGCAGCGAGTGCTGCTGCTGCTGCGTCTGCGAAGCGGGGTGCAACACGGCTCTGATGAGCACGTGAGGCAGCGAGCTTTGCAGTAGGGGATTTTCTTTACTTGAGATCTAATTACGCTATACCTATATGTATACGCATGTGCGTCTCCTAGCGTTTCATTTAGTTTCTTGCAAAAAAGCGAGGCCACAAGGCGAACGCTTGGCGAGGCGTCTTGCGCCATGGCTCTCGTGGCACAAGGAGCACGCAAGACGTAACTTTTAGCCAAGCCTTTCGTGTGCTTACATGCCCACCCCTAGGAAACGGGAAGCATGTTAAGATGCTGCAGCTTTCTGCACGCGTTTGCGTCAAGAGCAGCAGCATGAGCAGAAATAGCAGCACTTGAAATCCGCTGCCCTGAGAGGGTTCAGGAGGCTGCAGGCACTTGGCTCGGAGGGGCTGAACTTGCAGTGTCTCGACGCCAGTTGTTACTAACGAGCAACTTGCAGTTACCCTCCTGCACGCGCGCATGCACAATCACACGCACATCCCACAGGATTTTAATGTCTAAGCGTCTATGAGGCTCTTCAACCCTCTAGCCGCAGCAGCATGCATCATGCAGGTGGCGCTGGCTTGGCTGCATGCGTCTGCGGAAACTTGAACGGGATCTAAAGAGGGCGACCTCGAGGAGAGAGAAGTGCGCCTTGAAATTGTTGGAAGCGATCCACTGCTCCACCTGGTAACCAGTAAACTTGTGCTGACTGGCTAGCTGCAGAAACACAGCACCATGCATCATGATGCGCGCGGCAGTCGGGTGTCTGTACAGCTGGCGAGCGACCGATATGTATGCGTCTCAGCTCTACGTTGACTCGTTCGAAACACCGTTTCCTCCCCCGCGCTCGCTAGCTAGCTAGCTGTTCTTTTCCCGAATTCAAGTTTTGTCGAACCCTCCTCCCCTCTGGTCCTCATCTCATGCCCAGATGCTGTACGGCGGCAGACTCGCATGCTCTTTGACACACACAGCCCTTAGCTTCCTCCCTTTTCCTCCAGCTCTCTATGCTTCTCCTCCCCTCCGCTGTCTTCCACAAACGCTTTATGCTACAAGGGTAACAACGAAACGGCGCAATCCCCCATTTCAGCCCACACCCGACGCTTTCCTACCCTTAGAAACTCCTCCAAGTCCACCTTCCGACATTTCTCGATGTCTCTTTGCTCTAGCAGCACCTCGGCTGCCTCCGCATCTGCTTCCTGAGACTGCAGCGGCTGTAGCGCAGCTGCACGCTGCAGCCGCTGCTGCATCAAACGGCGCAGCAAGGCTGCAAGTGTTGCCCAACCTCCAGTGGCAAGTGCAGTGTACCTGTGAAAAACACGAACCCTTTTTCACGCAAACGCCACTCACCATCAGTAGGGGCCTACACAAAGACGCAAGCTAGCGAAGAAGCCGCCCCCAAAGCCTCGAGACGAGTTACTTGAACATCTGCAGAGTTGCATCGTGTCTAGCCATATCGCTACCCCGAAATTTGCTTATTGCGGGAAGAGCAGCCTATCGTATCCTTTGACACGCTGGAGAATCATGGCAGCAGCAGCTAGCTAGCCGTGTATCCCCCCTGTGCATCCAGGCAGCAGCTAGCAGCTAGCTAGACACCTCAACGCTCAAAAAGCTACAATGTAGAAGCGCCGCTTCTCCTGACCTCGCAAATTCCTTCGCAAGTCTCTGCTGAACAGCGAATTTCTGCGCGGAGAGGAAGGAGGACAGAACCGCCGAAATCGCAAAGTCGACATCCAGCGATGACACAGTGGGAGACAGCCGCATCTTTGCATTAGCCTCTGAAATACGCAGGAGCGACTCCACGTGCCTGCACAGAGTCACATGGCAGAAACAGAAGAGAGCAGTAAGCGGCGGCTTCAGGAGAGGAAGCACGCACAGCAAAAGCACATCTGCGCGAAAATGGAAGGCAGCCTGAACGTCGCGGCTCAAACACATGCGGGATGCCTCTTCAAAGCGAAATTCCGCCTTAAAGTGCTCAAACTGAGACGGTGTATATATGCATATGTATGCTTGTATATGTGTACATGTACGTTTGTGTATGTGTACATGGATGTTTGTATATGCATGTTTGTATATATGTATATGCTTGTATATATATGTACATGTATATATGTGTTTGTATATGCATATGTATATATGTATGCTTGTATATGTGTGTGGGAAGAAGAAGCGCTAGAACACGAGGGAAGGGTTGCTGAGGCTTTATCGATTTGGGTAGTACCTCAGAGTTAGCGGCAGTCCTCCTGTAGCTGCGGCGCGTTTGCGCAGCTTTGCGTAGAAGGAAGAGAGCTTGGCGCTTAGCGCTGGAAGCGAACAATCGAGAACGGGGTGGCAGTGCGCGCTGCGAAGCAGTAAAAACGCGAGGGGGGAAGAGAAGAATTCGTAAAGTCTCCACAACAACACCGCAAAAAGCGGCTTGGACCGCACAGCCACGTCGATGGCGGAGTGCAGACAAAACGAGGATAACTCATGACCACAACAAGCAGGGTAGCAGCTCTCTTTCTTTCTCTCTTTGTGTCGCTGTCTGTGTGTTTGTCTCTCTCTCTTTCTCTCTCTCCTTCTCTCTGTCTGCTGTCGTGTCTCGCCTCTGTCCGTACAGTGCGAGCTGCAGTGGGCATCATATACATAGAAGTAGGGATGCCTTTTGCAGCAGCCTCACCGCGCGTATAAGATGTATTTCTGCAGCAGCTCCTGGTTGATAGGTTCGTGTGCTTCCGAGGCTTTCAAGGCAGCCTCGAGCTGCGCAATGCGACGCTGGGGTTGCTGCTGCAGCTGCATGATATTTGGATGATTCAACTGGTGACTGCTCAAGACGTAATCGGCGAGAGAGAAATCCTCGTCTGCATCCGGCTGCAATCCGCGCCACACCACACAGAGCAAAAAAGGAGAGAACACTCGCAGACGGCTTCTTGGAAGGAAGAAAGGATGCGCAAAAATAAGCTGCGCATCCTTCAGGGTACAGCGCAAGAAAAGCCTTATGTACGACTGGCTACTCCAGTCCCTTAGAGAAGCAACATCACCACCATACATCATCACCATCACCCGATATATGAGGCATCTTTTGTTTTTCTCTGTGTTTCTTTCTGTCCCTGTGTCTATCTCTCTATCTGTCTCTCTCTATTTCCCACCCCCGAGATGCAAACCTTGCTATTTTCGACATAGCCAGCCGAGCTGGTGTCGAACTCTCTACACCCCACAGACACCTCCGGCGAAAGGGCACTTTGTTTGCAGACTTTGCATGCAGCAACTTAGGCAGCTTTGCTGCAGTGTCTGTACAGCGCGTTTCGTAAGGGAAGTTCGCGCACAGGCAGGTGCTGCCTTAGCGCATGCACCGCAGGATAAGGCCTTAATATGCTGAAGTCTTACGATGTCTCTGAGTACACAGATGAGGTCGAAGCGAGATAAAATAGGATCCGAGAGATCGACATTCTCTTTAAACGTGTAGGAGGGAATGTAGCGTCCTGAGGCGCAGCGGTAGCAGCACCCAGCAGAAACACGCATGCCAGCAGCACGTCTACATCTCGAGGTGTATGTATGTGTGTGTGTGTGTGTTTCGCTGTCATCTTCCACCGTTCTTCGTCAGGGAAAGAGAGAGAGAGAGAGAAAGCGAGAAAAAGAGACGCAAGGCGGCAATAGAGCATCCAGAGCTAAAGCGCATTCAGGGGAAGAACTCGACGCATTCAAAGGGAATGCTATCCTTGCAAACGTGATTAGAAAAAGGCTGTCTCTTCAAACGGTATTTTAAGACAAGCCTGTCTCCTAAAAGATATTTTTTTAAAATATGAAGGCAGCGCACCAAACTTAGGGTTTGCAGCAGCGATGACGCTGCATCGCGCTCTGAGCGTTGTGACGATGCCAGCCTTGCTGATGGAAATGCTCTGCTGCTCCATAGCTTCGTGGATGGAGACACGATCATTTTCAGACATCTTATCGAATTCGTCAATGAGGCAAATGCCTTCGTCTGCCAGCACCAGCGCGCCGCCTTCCAACGACCACTCCCCAGAGTATGGATCGCTGCACAGAGAAAGGGAGAGAAAAAGGGCAGAACACGAATTCGCTAGAAGAAAAGGGCAGTGTAGGAAAGCGTGCGAGCAGTCTGTGTCAGCGTCTGTTGCAGGAGCAGGAGCAGCAGCAACAACAGCGGAGATAAAGGCAGGCAGCAGGCAGGAGGACTGCCGCAGGGATACAGGATGCATTGCCACATGGAAAAACGAGAACGTGCTGCAGATGCCGAGACGCTTTCTGCTTTTCTCGCAGGGTCGATGGTTAATGCACAGCGTCTAAGGCGGGCAGAAAGGGGAGGGGAAAGGAGAGATGAATGGGGAGGGGAGGTAAAGGGGAGAGGAGTGAAAGAAGGGGAGGGGAAAGGAGTTAAAGAAGGGAAGAGGAGAGGAGAGAAAGAAGGGAAGAGGAAAGGAGAGAGTGAAGGGGAGAGGAGATAAAGAAGGGATAAGGAGATTAAGGGGAAAGGATAGTGAAAGAAGGGCAGCGGAAAGGAGGGAAAGAAGGGGAGGGAAGCGCATGCGTAATAGACAGCTGAAGAAGCAGCTTTTGCAGCTTTGACACACGCACCGTCTGACACCTGCAGTGAGGCCGCATGCAGACGCGCCTTTGCCAGTGGTGGAAATACTTCGCGGGAAAGTACGGGCGACATATTGCAATGCTTGCGACTTGCCAAGTCCAGGATCACCTGCATGCATGCATGCATGCACCCACAGACGCAAGAACGATGATGGCAAACAGGAGACAAGACGCAGCGGCACACGCAAAAGCGAGAGCGGCAGACAGAGCAATGAAGCGGCATGCAAACGATGCAAAATCAGCCCCACAGACCGCTTATACGCGCACATGCAACCTGCCGAGGTCTCCAGAGACACCCCTACAAGCGGAAGAGATCGCCAGCTGGCTAGCTAGCTAGCTAGAGAGAAAGAGAAAGGGGCCAACTGCAGAAGGGCGCTATGCACTGCAACCCAGCAGTAAGAGGTATTTCGAGAGGAAGTTTGCAAACACAAGATACAGGAGGCTCCTTTCAATGAGCGTTTCTTGCGCTGAAAAACCGCTACTTCACCCTGTTGGCTAAAGATGCATAATGCATGCAGCGCCTTGAGTGTGCCCTTCTTCACACATTGAACTGCGCTGCCCAACTGGCGGCTTGCCTCTGCTCTTCCTCCCGCATCTAAGCCTCCCCACCACACCCTTCTTTCTACATTTCTTTCGCTCTCTAGATCTACGCCTTATTGGACAAAAAAACGGCGGGGTGGCCTGTCCCTACACCTCACTCTACACACGGAAGAAGAGGCACTGATATATCTGCGGAAAGCTATGTGCTTCTGTACATGTATGTATATATGTATGTACGTATGCATGTATATATGTGTATGTGTATATATATGTGTATATGTGTACATGTATATTTGTACAAGTATATATAGATACATGTATCTATATACATATGTACGTATTTGCTTGTATACATATGAATGTGTTTATAAATATGTGCGATGTTTGCTGTTTTTTCAAAAGACTCACCCAGCAAAAGGACATTGATATCACCCCGGATAACGTGTTGACCTGCCGTAGCTTTGCCCTCTTCCTGAGTTGCTGCTGCAGCTGCTTGCTGCTGAGCGTGAGCTCCAACCCCACCCGCTGCTGCTGCAGGGATGTCTCTGCCCTTTGGCAAGCCGCCGAAGAGGGCGTATGCAAGAGCCGTCTTGATCTGCTTCGACGCGCAAAGCGTTGGCGCGATCGACGCGATAATGCGCTCCCTGACGTTGGGCTGTCTAGACAGCTCCTTGATGGCCTTGATGTCATCGTCTGTCAGCTCCTTGATCATCTCCTGCTTTGTTGTGCGAATGCTGTTGGCGCAAATTTCTGTTCGAAGGACGGGAAAGCCCGCGCGCACATTCAGCGCTGTGTCCAGCTTTGTTCGATACACCCCAAGTACCTCGATAGTCTCTCCAGGCTTTGCGCTTTCCACCAACTCGCCAGTGAGCAACAACTCGCGCTGACGCGGTGGGCGTCCAGGAGGACACTGCGACGGCGACTCCTAATCATGCGAAACGGAGAAAAAAGCCTGACACGCAATCCTGGATGCTACACAACAAGTATACAACTTGCGTGCAAACGCACATGGCCCTACAGGCTTTTCAGAGTCTTTGGGGGAAGACGTATCGATATCCCACGCAGAGACAGCAGCAGATGCACGACAAGCGAAAAAAACAGGCTACCGTAATTCTCTAGAGACTTCTAAAACCACGGAACGCATGCAATCTTACGCAACTCCACAAGGCAGCTGCGTGTGGAGGGCCTGCCCCCTTCTTCACCCTCATACGTATACAAATCTCTCTCTATATACACGTTTATAAATGTATGTTTAGAAATATACATATATGCATAAATGCAACACCGTTAGTTCTCGGCTATGAAATCTGTCAGCAGAGAGTTCCTGAAAAGAGGGTGTATGTCTTTTGACACATCCAAGCAACTGTGCGATGAACGCGCAGCCATTTTTCCAGCAGCAACAACAGAAGCAGCGGAAACGCACTTGCAATGTAAGCCTCTGCACATCTGTGTAGGACGTTCTGAGGCGGTCTAGGGCGAATCGAGAGGCCTGGCAATTTGGACAGCTGTGCAAAGAAAGAGACACACACAGACACACCTTACTCCCACACAGGTCGGCCGCGTGGATGGCTGCACGCACTGTACGTACACCCCAGCGCCAGCGCGCGGCGCGCATCGCCTCTCGGGTAAAAGCGGGAGCGATGGATGAAAACATACATATATACACATTTAATTAGAGTGTCAAGACACCCGCACCGACAAAAAAACACGCATAGTCCAAAAATCACATGACGGAATGTGCTCCGTGAGACCTCGTGAGACTTTCTGGGAAGTGATGCAGGGTGTTCAACTGAGCGCACCGCTTCGGAAGATTGATTTTCTTCTGCCCTTCCACCACTTGTAGCGGTGCATCAGAGACGTTCGAGAGGCAAAGCGCGCATTTGAGGTAGATCAGTCGCATTCTTGGCAAGACTGCTGAACGCCTCGTTACAACCCCGCTGTTCAAGACACAGCACCAGCCAGAGCAGTACCGGCAACAACAACGAGGGTCCTCAGGAAGGCGCTTTTTACTGCCAACTGAGAATTGCTTTTGCGTGTATGGACATAGATATACATATATGATTATTGATGAATGGATGTACATATATACACATGTGTGTAGAACATGGATACATATATACACATGTGCATGTACATCTAGCGATAGGTATTTCCACAAAAAGCGCCTTACCTGACGCAGACAAGCGTGTTGAGATCTGAGCATCTGAGAGCTCTTAGCTGCGTCTTATATGGCCAGTTGAAGAGCAAGCACTGACACATGCGTGCGCCGTAGAGAGACGGACAAGCCGCTGCTGCTTCAGCCGTCACTACATCGTGTAGCACCTAGGCAGAAAAAAAATTGTTCATCATGACGCGCAATCAGCTGTATGTACAGGCTTATGTAACATGGAGGCATGCACGCGCGTCACACCTAGAGGAGCGCTGGCGTAAAGTCTCTAAAAAAGCTGCAGCGCACTAGATGCCGTGGTAGCCTTTCCGCCTGCGCGTGAGGCTTTACCTGCAAGGCGGGTGTTGGATGCAACTCGAGCCAGCGGACTAGCTGCTCAGAGACAAACAGTAGATGCCTCACGTCAACCTCTAGGCTCTGCTTATCGGCTGAAGCACAAACCGCCGCATGTCTGAAGATGCAGCATGAGTTTCGGAATGTATTGCCGAAAAAAGAGAGAGAGACTTGCCCGCATGGCAAGTACGATGACGTAATTACACATCGACGCCACATGGCCCCCCCCCACCCCCCACAAGAGTTTGCGAGCGAAAAAAAAGCAAAGGCATCAAGTCAAGAACGGTAGCAGACAGTCAATGTTTATTGGTTTCTTGCCTAGGATAAACTGCTGTATCTTCTCCAAATAGTAAGCGCCTCCGGACTCTTCTTGCTGCTGCGCGTCTTGCACGCGCTGCTGCTGGTCATTCTCTTCATGAGCTACAAGGCTCTGGCTGTTATAGGCTGATAACGAGAAGTGATACAAAAAGTATCTGCAACAGCAGCAACAGAAACAAGATCAGCGGTTCGAGCTGCTCCTTCATAAGGGTGTTCTGTGAAGAAACACTGACTCTTGGCAGTTCATGAATGAAGATTCCGGTCTGACGATCGGCACAAAAAGAGAAGCTTTGACGAGAAGATTCGACAAGACACCACAAGATAAAACGAGACAAGTCACACAAACACACGGAGAGAGCAAGAGCGAGAGCAAGCACGCAAGTATGCATGCATGCAATATGCACGCAGGGGAAAGAGAGAAAGCAAGAAAGACGAACGGAAGGACGGACAGACCTGAAGAGCGTGTCGACCGCTTGTTGGTGCTCAGCGCCGAAAGGGACTTGCCGAGGATTGGAATCTGCTAATAAATTCTGAGAAAAGATGCAAGACAGCAACTGTGAGAAATCAACTGGTGAGCACACATCGACCTATATCACGTGTGAAAGACTGCTCGACGCTGGAGCGAAGAGGCCTTGCACAGACAGCAGCTTGAAACACGTCTAAACAGTGTTTCCATGGAGCATGCAGGCAAGCATGAGGTGTATTGACAGCGACCCCATCAGGACGCGTATATCAGAGTGTACAGGCTCAAGAGAAAAAAACCACAGCATGCGAAACGGCAGATAGAAGGGGAAAACAAGTCCAGGCTTCGCAGCTGGAAGGCAGCGGCTAGGGGCAGTAGTATACGAGACAAATAGCACAGAGCTAGACCTTTAGAGGACAAGCAATGACCAGTGCGTATGTAGAGAGCAGCAAACGGAAAAGTAGCACGAGGTTTCTCTCTAGACGCCGTCTAATATCTGCCCGTTCAAACGAGTATGCACTTTACGCCACGGCATTGGTGTGTAGGTGTGTTATGTGTATCTATGCGTGTTTACGTGTGTGTATGTATACATGTATGTAGTTGTGTCTATATATGTGTGTCCATGTGTGTTTATGTGTGTGTATGTACACATGTCTGTAGTTATGTATATATATATGTATCTATGTGTGTGTATGTATGTATACATGTATGTAGTTATGTATATAGATGTGTGTCCATGTGTGTTTATGTGTGTGTATGTATACATGAATGTAGTTATATATATATATTATATTTATGTGTCTATGTATGTCTATGCATGTCAATGGACCTTGGCTTGCTGCAAGTCTCGAAGATTCACAACTTCGCCGTCAGTGGCAGTTTTCGTTAGATGGCGCCTTCTTTGCTGGACGCGTTGCAGTAACCTCTCCATTTCGGCAGCTTCATCCTCGTCTTCCTCTGCGCATAAAGTGCGAAGCGCATGCATGCGTGGGAGCATTATGCATGTGGAGAGACAGTGCCCCTAGCCGACTTTTTCACTCTACGTTTCGCCCCCTTTTTTCTCTCTACGTTTCACGCCTAAGCATCCCAAAATAAAGAGACAGGCACATTTTTCGCCCTTCGAATATTAGGGGAAGCCGTCATCACCCTTCTGCAGCGCTGCCTTCCCTTCCCACTACCCCTCCCACCCCCCTGCCTCCCACAGCCAGACAAGTGGCTAAAAGGAATTTTTTTGCGAACCAAGCAAGCGTCGCCAAATATCTTTGCGATCGCCAGACTGTCGAAGACGATCGCGTGCTCTGAGATGTCGCTCTGCAGCCCTTCGCGCTCTTGCCTCCCTTCGCTCGTCAAGTCCAAGATCTTCGTCATGAATGAGATCTGCATCATCTGCATCTGCATCCAGTCCGGCTGCCAAGAAAGCTGCAGCCTCGCGCTCGTCATCTCTGCAGCAGTCAGCACCCACGAAGAAAGGGCAGAAAGAGGAAACTCCCGTGCAAGACCGCAAGAAAACGAGCGAGGAGGCGACAGAGAGAGAGACAGAGAGAGGGAGACAGAGAAAGACAGACAGACAGAGACAGACAGACAGACAGGCAGAGACAGACAGACAGAGACAGAAAACAGACAAAAAAAGGAAGGCGATACAATAATATGCAGTATTCTTGCCACAGCACAAGAATAGGTACTGCCGCGTTCATTTGCTCCCTCTCTTAGACCTCTACCCGTAACTGACTTCATGCCAAACACGAATCCATCGTCTCCTTGATCATCGATGAGGCGCTCGCCTTCCTCCTCTGCCTGCAGCTCGTCTGCATCTAATCGTCGTGTTGCCTGCAGATGCAAAACGCAGGGGCAGAAAAAATTCTTTCATCTTCAAATCGTTCGACATCTCGCCCTCTCTGCAGATGCAGCGCGGTAACCTTCGGATCAGGAGACGTTTTCTTCTCTGCATGCGTAGGCTTATCCGCTACAAGGCGCACTTGAAGGTAATCGTAGTTTTCATCATTTTCCGGGAGGTCGTCGTCATCAGGAACGTCCTCGAATTCAGGATCAGACACTGATGCCAGAGGCATTTAGGCAGAGAGACGCACAGAGAGAGAGACAGACAGACATACACATAAATTTCAAAATGGCAAGGTTCCAAAGGTTCGTTGAGCCGCAATACCTCTGGACTGAGGGAGTGTCGGGGAGTAACCTCACAGCGAGCCTGCTCCTCCTCTTCCGATTCGTGGGGTTGACTGCGATGCTGCAGCAGCAGCAGCATCCACACAAAAGACACTGGGGTCTATTGCTTTCCAGCAACACCCTGTATAGGCCGAGGGGAATACGATACTTTGCCAGGCTGCCGCGCTGCTACAGGAAAAGAGCTCAAAACAGACACGTGCAAATGCGTGGCGGGGTAGATACACTCCAAAGTTCTTAACCTCCCAGGACCCCTTAAACCCTTAGCCGACCATCGTGGGCAAGCTTCTGCAGGAGGTGGCTTAAGCGTGTGTCCTCCTCCGGAAGGGGAGCTGCATGTGTCTTTTCCGGCTGAAATGCACAGAAGGAGGAAATCAGGAGCCACAGAAATCGCCTCTTCTCCCTGTTTCCTCCGTTGCCAGAGACTTGCACAGCGCGGCACCCACTGAAGGAGCAGCCAAGAGGAACCTACGGGGAACCACTGGACGAAAGAGTGACGGGGGAAAGGAAAGCAGCAAAAGGTTCGACGAATGCGGGAATATGAAAGAATCCGGTAGAAGGACGGCAGAGTATGAGCGATGGGAAGGGAAATGTTGTGGGGTGTATGTACGCACCAGTGCGCCGCTATACTGGCAGAAACCCTGAAAATCCTAAGCCTTAATTCCAAAAACGTGATCCTTGAGTCCGTAGCAAATATTTTTGGGGGAAGTCTGTCTGGAAGAAGCCACGTCTTGAGGCTTCCCTACCTTGGCAGCAAGGTGGTGGGTGGGTGTTTGTTGTTGGGGTTGTTGCTACCTGGTGCGAGGGCCCCTGCCGTAACCCCTGCCGCTTAGGAGGAAAACGCATTGCAAATGTGTTGATTGAGTTGAAATAAAACAAATATGTGAAGCTAGGAACACAACGCGCATGCACGCGTTGCAGCCGTTTATCTCGGCTTAGGCGTACAGAAACGTGCATGTACGCAGACACACACCTCACCACACCAGCTTAATAGGTCCTCATGAGCAGAATATTAAAAGAAGTGAGATTTTTCGCCTAAAAGGACAACTAGGAAGCCCCAGAGGCCACTAGACTCAGTTTTTCGATCAGAACAGAAGAGATGGTGCACGCAGTCCTCTCCCACAAGGGCCAAATCAGCGGGGAGGGTAAAAGCACTGCGTAGGAAGGCAACTTAGAACCTGGGAGCTCCCGAGTGCATACAGTACAGCAAATAAACACCAAAAAAGGCTGGTGTCTCGGCTGCTTCCTCTCTCTAGCGCTTGCCCCTCTAGAAGGTGTTCAGGCCAATTTCGCTCCTCTGCAGCATCTTTCCCGCACCCTTGGCGGTTTGTTTGTGCGTGATTCTGTCATCATCTACCAGACTGAGCTCCTCTTTCTTCTCCCCTGTCTACTGTTTCAGCCTTCTGGGCAGCGATGGGCTCGGCATTTAGGGTGTCTCTCTCTGCCCTTCACTGTCTCGCAGCTGCTGGCGCTGCGTCCTCTGCCACTGCGACCCCCAGCAGCGCAACTGCGCACGCGCGTTGCCGAAAAAATGAGGGCTTTAAGTGTGCGCATGCAGAGGCAAGCGGACTGCCCTCTCACATGTGCCCCCACACCCCTGCTCGAGGGCACCTGCACTCACTGCGCTTTCTAAAAGCTCTTGTACGACTACCTACACCTAAGCGCTTTAGGAGTGAGGAGTTCCCCCCAGACTTCCAGATGCAGACAGCGGCTCAAAAAGCCTCCGCAATTCTTGTACCTGCGGTAAAATCGCAACGCTAGTTGAAAACGCGATCTCTTTGCACCACCAACACACCCCAACCGTAGTATGTAGTACCCCTGTACGAGCGGCCGATCTGTCTCGAGGTGAGCCTCACACCGCTTCGTTTCACACACCTTGCCACGCGGGTGCTTCGACACGTTGTTTGCAGCAGAAAACTCGTCTGCAAAGGCTTCGGCATCACGAGCTTCCTAAGTTCAACGACAAACGCGAGAGAAGCACACAGAGGGAGTCCTCATAGATCCCACGCAAGAGCACTCCACAGGCAACCTTGATAGAAGGGCACCCTTCACGCGAATGCGCGTCCAAAGGGAAAGCAGAAGGAAGAGTAAAGCAGAGAAGGACGCCACGAAATCCTTAGACCCCGTCCGTGCAGAATGCGCCTCCTTACACCCCCTTTCTTCTGCCAGACTAAATCGAAAGCCTCAACTGAGAAATGCAGCTAGTCCTAAGTATTCACCCCAAGAAGCAGCCACAGCCGCAGCCTCTGCATTCACCTGCGATGGGGGGGAACTCGAGTAGGAAGGGCTTATACGCAGCACGTCGGATGCAGCTTTACACAGAGCTGCTGCTGCTGCTGCCTCGTCGCTTTCCCTCCTCGTGGCGTGATTACGCACGCCTTCCTCGCGAAGATTCAAGGTGGCTCTTGGTCCTGGTGAGGCCTCCTCGCGTGAACTATTGACGGCTGCTCCTGCTGCCTGCTGCTGCTGCTGCTCCTGCTGCTGCTGCTGCTCCTGCTGCTGCTGCTGCAGCAAGCGCGAAGCAGCAGCAACGCGACCCTTCGGCAGCAAGCGGCGCAGCTCTTCAGACGTCTGGGGAGAAAGGCCATGAGAACAACACCCCGATAAGGACAGAGACTGAGGCACATTGCGCCTTCCTACAGGACCAGCCAACAACCCACACACCACACATACATAGATACATACATATACACATCCATAGATACATAGATAGATACATAGATACATCCATAGATACATACATAGATACAAATACATAGATACATACATAGATACATGCATAGATACATACCCACACATACACATACATATACATGCATCCATACACATACATAGATACTCACACATGTATACATACACACATAGCTACATACATAGATGCATGCATCCATGTATGCATCCATGCACATACATAGATACTCACACATACACGCATACCTACACACACATACATATACAGACACATGCATATACAGACACATCCATATACACATACACACATCCCCAGACACCACACCTGCCGCAGCATCCATGGTCAGCTGAAACAGCACAAGCCTACATCCAATCACCCCACGAGCGACTCCGCAAAGCACCTGAAGCAGCCAGCGTGGCCTTTGGCTTTCCTGCAGCTCCTCTTCCAGTTCCTGCAATTTCTCCTGGCAGTTCTGATGCCCACTTCTGAGTAGCAGCAAAGCGCATGCAAACTGCGCAACTGCAGGGTCCAAGAATGCCGCGCAGCAGCTGCCTCCTCTGCCGCCACTTTCAGGCAGGAGAGGAAAATATATAAATATGTGTATATATACATAATATATATTGAATACATTCATATATAGAGAGAGAGGGAGAGACATATGCCTTTTATATATATTGTTAGGGAGAGGCCAGTGGGCGCTTTCGGCAGTCCGAGAGGATGGATCGTAGGAGTCGAACAGACAAACAGACACAAAGACAAAGACACACACACACACAAAGAAAATTACACACAATACAGACACACTACAACGCACACAGTACGACACAAAAACACACACGCACACAGTACGACAAACAAAACACACTACAACACACACACAGTACGACAAACAAAACACACTACAACACACACACAGTACGACAAACACACTACGACAAACAAAACACACTACGACAAACAAAACACACTACAACACACACACACAGTACGACAAACAAAACACACTACAACACATACACCCTACGCCACACACTGGCAACAAGACGGCCCTCGAAATGCGCGTTTTACGATCCTGAAAGCAGCCACGATGACGCAAAGGCTAAAGAGCAGCAAGTAGCAGCACGAGGAAAACACTTGTAAACCCCTTCTTCCCCCCTTAGAGGGTTTATCTTGTACATCTGCCGGCTGTACATACAGTCCACTCCGTGCAGTCCACAGCGCAAGAAGCCATCGAAAGATTCGCCAATCCGCAATCCTCATGCAGCATCCATCCGTGCTGCCCCTGTGGCGTCTCTGGCTGCGGCAGCGACTCCGCTTGCTGCAGCGAAGGCTGGAGAGGCGGCAACAACTCTCCAAAGGCAGCAAAAAAATACGCCTTCAGGTCGAGAGTCTCTGCTGATCGAAGGGGCCCCCCTCGAGAGGGGGGCCCCTCAGCCTCGTCTACGGCGCTTTGCCCTCCAAGCGCTAGCAGCAGCGGAGTTCCCCTCGCAGTGAACCAAAGCAGCAAAGACGCTCCAATTCTCGGAATATTCAGAGGTGGCCCTTCGAAAGAATGCAGAGTAGAGCATGCAGCAAAAAACGAGCGGACTAAATCTGCAGATTCAGCAGCAGCAGCTTTAGCAGCAGCAGATCTAGGAGCAGGAGATTTAGCAGCAGTAGATTTAGCAGCAGCAGATTTAGCAGCAGCAGATCTAGGAGCAGTAGATTTAGCAGCAGCAGATTTAGCAGCAGTAGATTTGCAGCAGCTTTAGCAGCAGATGTAACAGCTGCTCTAGCAGCTGCTCTACTCGCAGCAGATGTAACAGCTGCTCTAGCAGCAGCTCTACTCGCAGCAGATGTAACAGCTGCTCTGGCAGCAGCTCTGCTAGCAGCATATTAAGCAGCATCCCCGGGAGAAAACACCAAGCACATCAACGATCACACCGCCACTTAGCCAGCTGCCCCTCAATGCACGAACCTTCAATCCACGTGTTGTTCATGGCGTCGAAGACTTCGACTGACGCGAGAGCTTTCACACCCCCCAGGCCGCCTGCACCAGGGAAAAAAGCATGCGATATTAGACAGAAACTTTAGATGAAACCATCTGCACATACACCCTGCAGCATCGAGCGCGCATACGCGAGAGAGACAGAGAGAGAAAGACAGACAGACATAGACAGACAGACAGACAGACAGAGACAGACAGACAGACAGACAGACAGAGACAGACAGACACACACACAGACAGAGACAAATAGACACACAGATACAAACAGACAGATACAGACAGACCGATACATACAGATACACACAGAGACAGATACAGACGGAGATAGACATTTTTTTTGGTATTCTGTCATTTTTCTCCCTTTTTCCCCCTTCCCCTGCTCCACATTCTCCCCCCCTTCAACATTAGACACACCTACACAGAATATTTTGCCCCTGATGTGTGCTGCAGCAAATCTGCATCGCGCTTGTCGCATAGGCGGTAAAGCTACCCAGGGCAGCACTGGTCCCTTTAGAGAAGGGCGCTGTTGTCTGCTGCAAAATGTCGAGAGGAACTCTCCTGAGGAGACTCTCGCTGCCTCGTGTCTCGGTGTCTCCGTGGGAGTCAAGCCTTTCACCGCGTCCTCCTCCTCCTCGGCTGTACATACACCTGACGGCGAGTCTCCCGAAGTGCTGTTTGGCGACACTGGCGTTGCGGCATTTTTTTTGCTTTCTGCCGCCAACCAGGCTGCTTGTTCCCCCAAGACTCCTTCTGATTTTTGGGAAAGAGGAAGAACAAGCCTCTCACACGTCTTCAGCACTAGGCCCTTGTTGCCAGTGCTATCGCGTCCGCCCATTGCAACCAGCATGTTTCCTGAAACAAAAGCGAGCAACTCGCTGCAGAAAGAGGATGTTGGAGAGCTTTTTTGCACAGGCAGGCGCAATGGAGGCGACGGCCACTGCCAATTTGCTGCTGCTGATGACGCTGTCTCTCCACCATACCACCCTCCCCCTCACCCCCACCACTAACACACGATCGACCCCTCCTGCTGCCTAGGGCAGTGTCGACAGCAGTACAGTCATGTATGCAAGTACCACCACAGGCAGCAGCAACAACGAAGCGCGCGCACAGAGCCAGGAGAACGTGCTGCTCGCGGATACTACACTCCTCCCCAACAGGCGCAGCAGCTGGAACCGTAGATATACCAAAGGCCAGAGCTATAGCAGTTGCTGTAGACACAGATCTAGCAAGAACTGTAATTACACCCGTAACAGCAACATCTAGAGCAGCAACATCTGTAATCACATCTGTAGCAGCAGCATCTGTAATTGCAGCTGTAGCCTGCAACATCTGTAACTACATCTGTAGCAGCAGCATCTGTAATTGCAGCTGTAGCCTGCAACATCTGTAATTACATCTGTAGCAGCAGCATCTGCACTTGCAGCTGTAGCCTGCAACATCTGTAATTACATCTGTAGCAGCAGCATCTGTAATTGCAGCTGTAGCCTGCAACATCTGTAATCACATCTGTAGCACCAACATCTGTAGCCTGCAACAGCTGCAGCATTCATTGTGCTCCTTACCAACGGCAACGGCAGCAAGCTGCTGCCGCTGCTGGAGCATTGGTGGCAGTGTAATCCAAGCGCTGTGTTTGATAGGATCGCACATCTCTACAGACGCTAGGGCAGGGTTGCTGCTGCTGCAGTTGCTGCTGCTGCTGCTGCTGCTGCGACTCCGGCTGCTGCCTCCCAGAATCACCGGCAGAACACCAGCAACAACACATCCAGCTGCATCGAAAAACAGCCGCATCGTGCACACGAGCGAGCAGCAAACGTGAAAAAATTGCCTTCTGTCCTTACCTACCCGCTGAGCAGCAGGAGCATCTGCATCGCAAAGAAGAACTTACCGTGCTTGCATCTCGGCTGGTGAAGATTTCCAGCAATTCTCCACGCATCATGCCTCGAAGACACGCAATCCTCACGAGGCAGCGCTGCTGCAGCAGAACGGTCTGCTACTTCCACGAAGGAACATAACCCTGAGCTGCCATCTCCCCCCGCAACAAGCAGCAAGCCGTCTGCAGCCAAACACGCACATGCAGAAAAATTTATTAGCCGCAAAAAATGAAAAGCAGTATATATATTTACTTAGCAAAACGACCACGTGCAGCAGCAGAGACGTGGCACATTCATACGTCTCCCTCGGCAGCCTGCGTGAGTGCTTATTACTCTCATCATTAAAATATTAAATCGTGATGCACATCACTCTAACCATTTAAAAATTCGATCGTTATGCACATCACTCTCCCTATTCAAAAATTCGATCGTAATGCACATCACTCTAACCATTTAAAAATTCGATCGTGATGCACATGACTCTCCCTATTCAAAAATTCGATCGTGATGCACATCATTCTCCCTATTCAAAAATTCGATCGTAATGCACATGACTCTCCCTATTCAAAAATTCGATCGTAATGCGCATCACTCTCCCTATTCAAAAATTCGATCGTAATGCACATCACTCTAACCATTTAAAAATTCGATCGTGATGCACATGACTCTCCCTATTCAAAAATTCGATCGTGATGCACATCACTCTAACCATTTAAAAATTCGATCGTAATGCACATCACTCTAACCATTTAAAAATTCGATCGTGATGCACATCACTCTAACCATTTAAAAATTCGATCGTAATGCACATCATTCTCCCTATTCAAAAATTCGATCGTAATGCACATCACTCTAACCATTTAAAAATTCGATCGTGATGCACATCACTCTAACCATTTAAAAATTCGATCGTGATGCACATCATTCTCCCTATTCAAAAATTCGATCGTAATGCACATCACTCTAACCATTTAAAAATTCGATCGTGATGCACATCACTCTGACCATTAAAAAATTCGATCGTAATGCACATCACTCTAACCATTTAAAAATTCGATCGTGATGCACATCACTCTAACCATTTAGAAATTCGATCGTAATGCACATCACTCTCCATGTTCAAAAATTCGATCGTGATGCACATCACTCTAACCATTTAAAAATTCGATCGTAATGCACATCACTCTCCATGTTCAAAAATTCGATCGTGATGCACATGACTCTCCCTATTCAAAAATTCGATCGTGATGCACATCACTCTAACCATTTAAAAATTCGATCGTGATGCACATGACTCTCCCTATTCAAAAATTCGATCGTGATGCACATCATTCTCCCTACTCAAAAATTCGATCGTGATGCACATGACTCTCCCTATTCAAAAATTCGATCGGATCACTGCTGCATCGCGTAAAGTCTACGTGCCTGTGCTTCAAGAAAGCTTCATTCCAAAGAAGCCTACCTTGTGTCACGAGCAGGACGGAGTTGCTGCGTCGAAGTCGAAGAAAAGGCGATGAAGCCACTCCAGAGGCAGGAACGAAGAGTGCCTCTGCCTTCGCTCCCCCTGTTGCTGCTGACTTTGATGTTGCTGCTCCTGATGATGCTGATGTTGCTGCTGATGATGCTGATGTTGCTGCTGATGATGCTCTTTCAGGAGAAGCAAAAGTGCTGCCAAGCGGCCCCTGTGGATTTGCTGCAAAGCTGTGGCATGCAGTGGGAGCTTCTGAGACAGGTGGCGTGTCAAGCACCAGCAAACGCGCAGAGTACAAGGCCCCTTCATGAGGCATTTCTTCGCAGCTCGCCGAATTATCCGTCATGACTGTGCAGCAACAGCTGCTGCAGCTGCAGCAGCTGCACAAAGCCGCAAGGACCGCTGCTGCACAAAGCGTAAAAGGCTACTTTCACTGGATAAGACAGGGAGACAGAGAGAAAGGGAGAGAGACAGAGAGAAAGGGAGAGAGAGAGACAAAGACAGACAGAAAGAGAGAGAGAAAGAAAAAGAGAAAGACAGAAAGAGAGACAGACTGCGCCTTCGTGTAAGGAACACCAATGCGAAATTCGCAGGATGGTAAGGATCGAAATCGATGTCTTGTACGGGCGAAAGGCAGTCGAAGCGTGGGAAGCATTTCTGCTGAAGTTGTGTGGTAAGGCAAAGAGAACTGGTGGTGCCTCTCCAATTAGACAAAGGAAATCAAGGCATGCGCAGCACACAGAGAGATCTCTCCAGAAAGATGACGCTGTTCAGAGGTCTTACTTCGGTGGGAGGGGTGCAAAAGGTAGGCGACAGGCGGGAAGGGCAGCTAGCTGCGACGCTTGTGAGGACCGTTAAGGCCTGTGGAAGAAGCTGCATGCGCTTTTGCAGTGCATGCAAAAGCGCATAGAACAGCAAGCCGCCAGATTCACGCGTGGTATTGCTTGCTGCTGCCAAGGCTTGAGCCTTGGCGTCCTCGCACTTTGCTCTTCTGTCCAGGGATGTCTGTGTTGATGCGTTGATGCATTTCTTAGGGGCCAGCTTCCCGTGGTAGCGAGTGGCTGCTGCGCTTCGGAAGGAGAAGATTCCAGCGAGAGGAGCTCAGATGCGCAGAGGAGGATTTTCACGCCTCAAGCCTGAGTTCTGCTGCATCTAGACGCAAGAAAAACGAAGTTTTTGCCGTAGGAGCCAGCCCTTTAGCAGTTGGCGACCGATGCGGCGTCTGGAGGGAGCACCAGAATCCTTGCTGCAGAATGCCCCTCTCTCTCTGGTTGCCTTCTTTAGCGCATATTGTTGACTTTTCTGAAACATCTGGTTGTTATGGAGTCTGAAAATTGGGAGGATTCGGGCTAGATGGAGTGCTTGCGTGGCACATGAATACATATATCTCCTGCTGTACATACACACCCCACGGCGCTGCCACGCCACCGACCGCAGCAGAGAGCTGCTGCAAACCGCCGCTTAACATTGCTCTTTTTTCCCATTCTTTCCTAAAATAAAGACAATTTGCACTTGCCAATATAACGCCCTCTTTGTTACAGGAGAATGAAGTCTAATGAGGGCATCCAGGCCGTACCGGCGGCTTGTCTATAGGGCCCAAGTGACTCTCTGCGCACTCAATGTCTTCTTCCGCAGCTTCCTCGTTGCTTCCTTTTTCGCTATAACTGCCTTCCTTCCTGCTTCCTTCCTGAGGCGCCCTCCCTCTCGCGTCAGCTAAAGGGCAGAAGGCTGCAAACAAGGCACCGTCGTGAATGGATGCTGGCGGCTCGCCAGATCTCTCGAAGGGTTGCAGCACCAGCGGCCACATCCACGGAACACACAGCAGGAGCCACTGCCCCATACAGCGCGAGATCGCTCGAACTATCTGGGGGAAGCGTCACTCTGCAGAAGCAGAGCAAGCCTGCAAGCCATCACGAAGCGCAGACGCAGAAAAACGCCTGCACACACTGCAGATCTCTCTACACGCAGCGTCACAGAGGAACAGAAAGACGCAGCCACACGCGCCAACCGACTCAACAGATGCAACGCTAGAAGCGGCCTCAAACGAGCATCCATTCTTAACCCTATGGAGTCAAAAGCTGGCACTGCCTCCTCACGCCAGCAACACCATCGTCCGAGTATCAGCGCAGCAACTGCTGCAGCTGCAACTGCTGCAACAGCAACTGCTGCAGCTGCAACTGCTGCAGCTGCAACTGCTGCTCCACCCAAAAGAGACACGGAGAGTGCAAAGATTAAAGGAAGAGCAGCAGCACCCGCTGCTGCCGTAGCTGCCGGTCCTGGGGAAGCCGCAGGTAGGCAGAGCGTCGAGAATTCGCGAAGACAGCATTTGAGAGCATGCGCACCTTTTCGCTTCTTCGCCACAATCCACTTGCCTCAAAGCAAGAACTCGTTTTCTTCTCTTCTTCAATGCATCTGCTGCGACTGCCCTCAGTTAGCGAAGAACAGGGGCAGAAATTCCTCGCAGGTCGTTGTCAACAACACACACCACCATCACGAGATTCTTGTTTTCCAGACAAAGGAGGCTGCAGTGCGCATCTCGCAGCAGCAGGAGCAGCAGCGGCTCAGTTCGAAAGCCTCTTCGATCCAGACAAACGTCTCGTAGACAGCCCTTCAGTGAAGTGCTGCGGAAACAGTTTCACACTCTGGCCATGCAGTCCTACTGCAGTGACAGCTGCTGCTCCTGCTGCTCCTGCTGCTCCTGCTGCTTCCGCTGCTCGTTCTCCTGCTGCTCCTGCTGCTTCTGCAGGCAAGGCTAACGCCTTATCACCTTATAGGATCCCCTCTGTCCTCTTTGCCAATGCGTCTAATGCATCCGATGCAGCAGCAGCAGCAGCAGAAGGCAAACTTCCACCTAACACCCCCCTCACAAGCACCACGAAACAGCCCCTCGCCACAACCACCCCTCCAGCAGCAGCAACTACACCAGCAAGCACGTCTGTCGCTGCACGTACACCAAGCACAAAACTGTTAAAAGCCGTCTTCTTAGGATCCATTACTGCAGCAGAGGCTTCTCTGTTCATAGCAGAAAGCCCTCAAGCAAACGCACTCCCGATGGACGCGAAGCAGCAGCAGCAGCAGCAAAAACAGCAGCAGCAACAACAACAGAATGGGAAAGGAGGAGCGATTTGCTGCCGTCCTGCAAGGCTCGGCAAGCAGCAGCACGAGCTGCAGCAACAGCAGCACGAGCAGCAACAGCACGAGCAGCAACAGCAGCAAGAGCAACAGCAGCAGCAACAGCAGCAAGCAGATCAAGCCTCAACGCAGCCTCACAAGGCACAAAACTGCGATCGTAGCCGCCAGCCTTGGATGTCTCCCCTTCCTCAGCAGCAGCAGCAACAGCAGCAGCCTCTACAAGAGCAGCTGTTTCAAGACCAAGACGCCCCTCCACACCTTAGTCAGGAGAGGCAGGATCGAGTTGCGGAGTTTAAGAAGACAGTGCTTCAAAAGAAGCGAGACATCGAGAAAGATTACACGCAGCGGCAGCAAGTCGTGGAAGAGGTAAGACGCATGCACTGAGCACCAAGTAGAGCGCATGCGGTTCTTCTGAGCTGCTGCTGCACATGACGTTTACAGCTGTTGCCTCTAGTGCTGCCTACTTGAGGTTTTGCTTGCTGAGTCAGGAGGGAGGGGAAAACGGGGGGGGAGAGGGGAGATGGTACTAAAGCGATGCTGCGCTTCAGAAGCTTCACCCCTTCTTTGCGCTGCAGTCTTTGTTGTGCATGCTGTCAGATTTGTGTGTTTTTGCAGGTTCTTGCTGTCGCTAGCACCCTTCCACCCCCCGATCAACTTCGCTTCTTGTCAGCATCTTCAGCGGCATATGGGGAGGCGCTTGGCATGCATCTGCTCATCAAGAGACATCCTCTGTCTCTAAAAGACTTCACGTTCATACAAGTGTGCTTACGCTGTTTCTGGTGCTTTCTGCTGTTACTCTTGCTGCCATTGCTGCTAATGTTGCAGTGGCTACTGCTGTTCTTCTGGCATTACTGCTGCTGCCTTTTACTGCCGTTACTGCCGCTGTTATTGCTCTCGCTGCTTTTCTCTGCTGCTGCTCTACATGCTCCTCTTTTAGTGCTGCTCTCCTCCTTTTTACTGCTGCTCCCCTCCTTTTTACTGCTGCTCTCCTCCTTTTTACTGCTGCTCTCCTCCTTTTTACTGCTGCTCTCCTCCTTTTTACTGCTGCTCTCCTCCTTTTTACTGCTGCTCTCCTCCTTTTTAACTGCTGCTCCCCTCCTTTCTACTGCTGCTCCCCTCCTTTCTACTGCTGCTCCCCTCCTTTCTACTGCTGCTCTCCTCCTTTTTACTGCTGCTCTCCTCCTTTTTACTGCTGCTCCCCTCCTTTTTACTGCTGCTCTCCTCCTTCTTACTGCTGTTCTTTCCTACCGCGTCTGCACAGCTGCTTCCCGATCCTGTTGCCGTAGCTGCCACTTTCGCCTCGATTTCTCCTTGTGTCATGGCTGGGGTGTTTTGCGCTGCAGACTCTAGGACGGGGAGGCTTTGGCTCTGTATATTTAGTGCAGAGAAAGTCTACGAAGCAGCTCTTTGCTCTTAAGCAGGTGCCAAGGATGCTGTCTCCTCTTGCAGCCGCACGGAACGCCTTGCCAGCTCTCAAGTCTTGAATTTCTTTTCTTGGCTTCCATGGTGTTGCCACACAGCGTTTCTGCCACTGACGCAGCGCACGTGCATGCGTGCATACATGTGCTCGTGCATGCGTGCATACATGTGCACATTGCATGCATGCGCAAGGATCTTCGGGCTCTTTGAGGGCTTATTATTGCTTTCGCAGGTTCCGAAGTCACGTGTCAGCCGCACTTCCTCTCGCGAGAGACAATTTGCGGAGAGAGACTGTCTGGCGCTGTGTAGTGGAGGCAGCAGCAACGGCAGCAGCGGCGTCGTGCTGCTGCAGCAGACGCTGCAGGACGGGCAGCATCTCTATCAGCTGATGCAATTCTTGGAGGGAGGCAGTCTCATGCATTACATGCATGCGAAACAGCGCTTCGATGAGGCAACAGCTAAACTCTACATTGCCCAACTCATAATTGCCGTCAGCGAGATTCACAAGGTACTGCACATGCGCGTGCTCGCACGAGAGCTGGCATATTCGCATGCGGCACACGTCTGGTAACAGCTTCGCCGACAGACACAGACAGACACAGACAGAGACATGCACATACAACGCAGACATACAACAGACAACTGGAGGGATGCCATGCGCGCCAAAGATGTGCATGCGTCTGTTTCCTGGACGTTTATTTCTGTTGCCTAGTTCTTGTTTCTGTATGTTCGTACTTTTTGTGTGTGCTTGTGTGTGTGCTTTTGTGTGTCGGTGCTTGTATGTCTGTATGTCTGTATGTCTGGCTCCCCTTCTTTCTTTCTCTCTAAATATATAGATACATGTCTCAAAAAAGTTTTCCCCTCTATCTATATATCTATCTCTCTGTCTATCTCTCTATCTGTCTATCAGTCTCTCTCTCTCTCCAAATATCTCTCTCTCTCTCTCCAAATCTCTCTCTCTCTCCAAATATCTCTCTCTCTCTCCAAAGCTCTTTCTCTCTCCAAATATCTCTCTCTCTCCAAAGCTCTTTCTCTCTCCAAATATCTCTCTCTCCAAATATCTCTCTCTCCAAAGCTCTCTCCCTCTCCAAATATCTCTCTCTCTCCAAAGCTCTTTCTCTCTCCAAATATCTCTCTCTCTCCAAATATCTCTCTCTCTCCAAATATCTCTCTCTCTCCAAATATATATATATATATATATCTCTCTCTCTCTCTCAGTCCTGACCGTGCTGCAAAAGCCGTGTGCTCTGTGCGCAGCCGGCGTAAACGCTTGAGGCTGCGCATTTATATGTTTTTGGCAGTGTGTTTGTGGCTCTTTGTGGGATTTAGCTGCACTACATCCATCGAGATATCAAACCAGACAACATCGCCTTCACGCGCGAGGGGCATCTCAAACTGTTGGATTTTGGACTTGCGCGGTATGCCCCTCACGTCTTTAGGACAGACGCGAGCAAGTAAGTTGAAGTTACTTTTTTTTTGTCGAAAGGCGCATGCAAAGGAGGCGGGGAGAGCGCGGGAGAGAAGGGGGAGAAGGAGAGGAGAAGAGGGGTACTTAGAGGGCAGCAAAGAGGCGGGTGCTGTCGAACGAGCGCGCATGCATGGCATGCCATGCATGCATGCGTGTCGAGTGGTGGCTAGCCGTGGCATTTAGGGGCTTTGCTTTCTTCCGTGGAAGGGGAAAGAACAGAAGTCTGGCAAAGGAGAAATGCAAAAATGTCTGCTCACCTCCCGCATACGCCTCCTAGCGCCACTTCTTCTTACCCCAGTGCTGCATTTCTCACACGCTTCGCAACTTGCGAATTGCTGCCTCGACGCCGTCTGCAGCGGACTGCCTGAAAGCATGGGGAGCTGCGCAGCAGCTAGCTGCGCCTCAACAACTCTCAGCACCGACGCCTCACTCCACCACTCCAGCAAACAGCAAGAACTGAACTGTAAGCCAGATATCCTTAGTCGCTACTACACCCTTCCCCCTCGTCTTTTTCTTCCTTTTCCTTCTTTCGCCCCTCCTTTTCGTTCCTTTTTTTAGCACGCCAGCGCCTGCACACACACACTTACAGACCGAACCTAACTGCTTCTGGCAGAAGGCGAGACATCCCCCAGCTCCTCCCTCATCATCATCTCAGCAGCACAACACCGAGCGGAAATAAAGCACGCAGCAGACTCCCGCCTAAGGCGTTTCTGATGTCTGTGCGCGCTGCCTGTGGCTGTGCAGCTGAAGGAGTCTTTATGCCCTCCCTGCCTCAGACTCTGCAAAGACCAACCAGCTCGCTGCTTCGCTCTATATGCGGAACGCCTATGTACACCGCTCCCGAGGTTCTCCTGTGAGTTTCTGGCTGCATGTGTGCGTCTTTGCCGCGCGTTCAAAGCCCCAAGGCTGAAGCTTGCATGCAGATGCAGGAGTCTCTCGCCCTCGAAAACTTCCTGAGGTGTACTGCAGTCCGTTGCCTTAAATACAGCACCCGCTTAACCATCGCTGCCCTCTTGCACAAAGAGACACCTCACCTCTAAGGGCCTCTTCAGACCTAAGCGCGCCACTTGCTGTTGCTTTTTCCTCTAAAAAAATTCCTAGCCTTCCATGCCTGCTCGCTGATGACGAGAGAAACGGGGGAGTCATAGCCTACCTCGCCCTTTCTCTCGCATCCTGGCTATAACCCGTGAACTCGCTCAGAAGGAGCTGCTTTTCTCTTTTTCTCTCTTTGTTTCTTTGTCTCTGTCTCTCTCTCTCTGTGTGTGTATGTCCTTCTCTCTCTGTGTGTGAGTGTGTATGTGTGTGTCTCTTTGTCTCTTTGTCTCTTTGTCTCTTTGTCTCTTTGTCTCTCTCTCTCTCTCTCTCTCCGATCGTAAGAGCACCCTTCAGAACTCCATTCACAATAATATCTCGTTTGCCGTCTTCTGCTTAAAAACTCAACTCTACTACTAATTCTATCTCTCTAGTCTCATGACTCCTGCAGACTCCGTTTGCATGCCATTCTCTCTCTCATTGCTGATCCTGTTTATATTTACATATTAACCGTAACTCTTCTCATTGCC